TCTGATTAGTACAAGTGCTGTTACACCCGGTGCTCCGCAGGTTCTATGGTCATAGACACAAGAAACTAGCAGATGCCTCAGATTACAGTAGAAACTCTCAAAACTCACCTCGTGAGGGCGAACCATCCATGATCTATCGCAAAACCAATCAGTAAATGGCCTGTTGTGCAATTCGGGGATCGTAGAAAAAAGCCGCAAGCTTACCTCAAACCGCACCAAAGTCTCACTTTCATTGTATTGGTTGGGGGGAGATCCGGTCGTTTCACGTCGAATAATGGATAGCTCCATATGTTTGATCTTCAATCGCACCAGAAGGAAGTAGATGCGCCCCACAATGACATCCTTGAGATGATACTTGGACTTGGAATATTCGAACTCGATGTGCAAACAATCCTCAATACCAACATCCATCTTAATGGGACTGTTGGTCTCCGGGGGCATGCGATAGGAGTACACCCATAGGTCTTTCTCGCGGATTACGTCCGCCATCCGCCTCGAGACCGTCACCCGAACGAAGTACCGCAGCTTCACATTGATGCCATTGTATGACTCGTATTGCTTTTCGATGTTCTTGAAGTTGAAGGGGAAGGTTTGCGGGTGTTGCAGCTCTCCGGGGGCGGCGAGCTCTTGCACTAAGGAGAGGAACTCGTAATGGTTCCCGCGATCATAGAACATCTCTGGGAGAAAGTTTCGCGTTAGCGTATGTTAAGCGCAGCATTGTTGACTGTATATTCACGATGGACGGTGACCATGATACGCGGGACGATGATGATGACGAAACCAGAAGTCCATACCGATCGTGCCAATGAATTGCACCTTAATGCCCGTATGCTCTAATCGCTTTCCATCCTTGGGTCTCACCGTAACGGCACCCTTCACCGATTCTCCATCCATATACAGGGGGACTCTCTCGCGCCGGCCCTTGTCGAGCTTGACATCCACCGTCTGACGTTCATCGCTATCTTCGAGGACGACGTCAATATCGACGGGGGTGGAGAAGAAGAGGGAGGTCATCGTGGGTCAAGGGGTCAGGTCGACAGCTCAATGCCCACTGCAGAACTGACAGGACGACTAAGCTTGATTGGAGATCGTGCAGTCGTTAAGGTCACCAGTTAGAGTTGGATATCCCGAGTATGGCCAATGTCGCGGACCGCCGCAACGGTTCGGGGCGTGACTTGGCATAATGACGGCTTATGTAACTCACCGCCTTCCCCAGTTGGATACTTATCTACTGATTGCAAGAGGGCCAGAAGCCCTACATCACCAACATCCTATCCAGGATTCTTTATGATCTCATTGCTCAGTTAGAATACGACGCATGAGCCTTTGTACTACTATATCGTTCGTGGTCAAAGCTCCTCTCGAGTTGTACTGCGTAGTTCTGCTGCCCGATGCCATGGCGGCGGTCACGCTGTCCATGTCGAGTGTACCAATAACGGTTTCGGCCCTCCCCCATATAAGATAGACATTATGATAAGATTGATAAATCACTGGAGGAAAATCCGATCAGCACGGGGAGCATTGATTAAGATATGCATTAATCCCCAGTATCACCCGACAGTCAGCCCCAAGCGATACGAAAATGATCCGGCCAACAGCCTCATTGACAGGAGCCACGACGATTGTAGTATGTACATCCATACCCCCATACGTGGTACTACTTCCTATAACTCTATGCCTTTGAGCAAGAGGGGTCAGGCGCATTAAATGTGGCATCCGTGCCCTGCCTCGCTCTTCTCCAGACTGGCTTTGAGCAGCACTGTTGGGCACATACACATTGGAAACACTCGGGTGATCATTGGCGGAACGTAGGTGCAGCCGCTGGAAACAGATTTCCGGCGTACATGAACATGAACAACAAATAAGGTTGCACGGTCGGAATACGACCTACGTCTGAGAAGGTTTGACCTGCATTGCATGTCTTCCCCGGAATCCGCCCTGTCAGTCTGCTGCATAATTGTCACGTTCTGGGGGATGACCAGTCGACCCTCGGCCAAATGGCGGTCTAAAGACTTTTAAGGCAGTTCGTGTCACACGACAGGAGCACTGTTAATGAAGATGGGAGAAATTTCCAAGGATGTTTGTCCTTTCTTCCCGTGTCAAATTGATCTATCGACCTGATACAAAAGTACTGGTCCATTAATTTCGCCGCCGCCTGGTACTCCGCGGTTGGTACCCCGTGTTTTCCTGGTAGAAAGTTAAAAAAGGGGAGAGAAATTCGAATATACTCTGGGGGAGAAGAAAGGGAAGTCACTGGCAGAAGCTTGATTTACGCTGGGCTTGTCCTGACCATCCAGAGTATTTTCAGGTACTTTCCCCCTTGATGTATTAGATTATACCCATAATTTTCCAAGTAGGGTTCGGGCCTGACAATTGTTCTTTTTATTTTTAATTTTGGTCCCCTGGAAACATCATCGAAAGACAACGGAAGGTGACCCCATGCCCAAAATCGCATAGCGTGGGGGAACCCGCCCCATCCACTGGGCTCAGTACGGTAACATTGCACCGATACATACGACAGTACGGTATTGCGTTCCGAAGCCCCGGGGTTGGGGGGTGTGTAGGACATGACATCATGGTCGCAAGACCTGGCGGCGGCATTTGAACCTCGTGGAGAATTGCCGCCGTTCCCGACGGTACGACGTGCACAAGTTGAGTTGGAGCTTTCGTATTCTTCTTTGTTGAAATTCAAAATCCAGCAGGGAAGTCGTCGGTAGATATCCTTTCATCCCGCATTCTAGACCATGGCCTGCCATCAAGGAGAATTTCCAGGTGGTTGTGACCTTTATCCGGAAAAATACCGAATTGAACGATACGGTATGTACGGTACGGCGAGTGGATAAATAAGGTAGTAATCGTTGACACTATATCGGATCTCCCGCTAATGACCAGACCGCTGGACTCTCTCCGTTTCAAACGATGGGGGTTTGCTTGCTTCGTCCCTGCTGAATCTTTTCCCCCCCACTCCAAGGGGTTTTTTTTCCAATTATGTTTTATGATAATTATTCTTGTCATTACTGCGCATTACTGACTAGGGGTTATTTATTTCTCCCATCATGAAGGTCTTCTTGCCCCATGTTTGTACGACCCAATACCAGCCAGTTCCCAATATAAAATGAAAATACCGTCCCCGGCCTTTGACCCACCGACCCAAATTTGATACTTACGTTTGAAGGAGATTTATGTCCTTTCATTCCCTACTTTTCGGTGCTCGGTGATTCTCCTTTCCCTCCTTCTCTTGCTCGTTTAATAGTACTGCCCATCCCTGTTCTCGGCTTCCATTCCTCTCTCGCCTTTCCAACCGCCCTGGCACTATAGCATCCATCTCTCTGTCCGCTCAACCCTACGTATACACCGCAAATCAACCCATTGGTCGAACCGTTCAGACCGATTCCACGAATTGCGCCCATCGCACCACGTCATCCACTCCCTCCATCTTCTTAAAAACAAACAAAACGCACGATGCTCTCCGCCGGAGAAAGGCCCCAGCCAGCTATAGGCAAGAATGCCGCTGCGGCTCGTACCAAATCTTCCCTGAGTCACTCGCCCGCCCCGATGTGGTCCGTCCAACCCAAGCCGGAGCAAGTCCAACACATCTGGGTCGTAACGGGCCCTGCCGGCTGTGGAAAGAGCACGGTGGGACGAGGCCTGCAGGCCGCGCTGAACGTCCCATTCCTAGAAGGAGATGATGTAAGCTGACGAAGCCCTGAAGAGTCGCATGAACCCACACAAACTAACAGTTACATTTAGTTCCACTCGCAAAAGAACAAGGAAAAGATGGGCAGCGGCATCCCCCTCACAGACGCAGACCGCTGGGACTGGCTCATCTCGCTCCGCAATGCAGCCATCAAGGCGCTCTCGCCCTCGGAAGAAAACAACTTCCACCCCCCGTCCGGCGTGGTGGTTGCCTGCTCGGCCCTGAAGCAAAAGTACCGGGATGTCATGCGCGTGGCTGCCTACGGCACCCCCTCCGTGCAGATCCACTTCGTCTACCTGAAGTTAGACGAGAAGGCCCTCCTGCAGCGCGTCGCCGCCCGCCAGGCCCACTACATGAAGAGCACCATGGTCCAGTCGCAACTGCAGGATCTCGAGGAGCCCCAGGGCGAATGGGATGCGTTGACCATCGATGCCCATGTGCCACAGGAGCAGGTCATGCGCGAGGTCCTGGAAGCCGTGAGTGATAAGCTGGCTGAATATCAGTAGCCTTGCTTTCTCTCCGCTGCTTTGTTGAGTTCTCCGCCGTTCTTTGTGTGAGCGTTCTTTTTACTACTACTACTGCTCGTGGGCTTTTGCTCTGGCTATGCATGGATGACCTCCCGGTCTGGTGTCTGTGGAGTTTATTATCTTGCCGTTGTTTGCGACGTGTTGGAAAAACTGTTTTCTTGGGAACGATGGATGGAGTTTTGTTGGCTTGGATTTGACTCTGGTCCTGGTTTTATAAATATTATACCTATTGTACATGTTAGATTTACGCATGCTTTGTCGTCGTCTTATTCTGGATACTGCCGCAACATTCATTTTCTGCGATCAGCTCATATACATGCATATGTTGTCCCTTCGTTCTCTTTGCCCTGATCACACAAGAACATGACGTTGGCTATGTGGAACTTCCCAGTGACGTCATGTCAATCGTGATAGTTGCTAAATAATGACTGAATAAAACGGTAAACTAGTACTAGGACAACATCAGGCTAGAACCAGCCCCGCGGCCACTCAGACCCTATTCAGAGGGAGCTGAATAGTCCAACCCTTGCCCGATACGTGATATCAAACTCACCATATGCCGACACCAACCGAGCACAAACCGGGTCCGTATGATCCTTGCTAGCCCTAACATTACCTATTCCCGAATCGGTGTTGCTCGTTACGAGGTCATCTCTATCTACATACAGGGCGAGATCTCGGGAAGGTAAAGAAAAAAAGAATCAAATTCATTTTGGTACCTGCTACTACTAGTTTTGCCTATCCAGTAAGGACTAAATATCATGTTCGATCACCGCCTAGTACTCTGTTCGACGAGCCATGGTGATGTATTCTCCAGTAATTGGATCCCATTCTGTCTCTGGATCTTCTTTGCCACAGAAGACTTGAACCCATTGTTCAAACTTTTCGCAGCCATCTCTATGCTGCAAATCGATCGGCTCGCTCTCGGGAATAAGCTGCACGAGACGATGCTTCGGCTCCGGGTCGGTGCAAGATACAGCAAACTGGATACTGGTGGGGCTTGCATTGGGCGGGAGGCCGGGTGCCTCTTCGCGGCGATGGATATAGTAAAACAGCTTCAGCCTTGTACCAAAGGCTATAACAACAGGGCACCCTCGTAGGAGAAACACACTGGGGTATTGTTCTGTGCGATTAAGCTGGTGCACTGCGTATTCGATGGTCTTCGTCCATTCCTCATGACGCTCATCTTGTGGGTGGCGCAGAAAGGCTCGCAGGCCATTGCAGGAAAAGGAGTACATGCTCAGCTCACGGTACCCTGGCGGCAGGAGGCATCGGTACGGGGCGCTATTTATCGACCTGGAGAAGTTTGCCGCATCTCTAGTCTCTCGTTCGATTATCCTACGGAGGTATATGCCCCATGCGTTCTCGATAAAGCCGAGATACTGATAGTCAGATATTCTACGAAACCCTGAAATGACCCCGGTGTTTCTGTGGTTGGACCACTCCCTGGAGTTGTCAGCAACCCTTACGGGCAGGATGAACAAGAAGACTTACCCAATGGGCATCTGGACTTTATTGGTGCAGGCCGTGTCTTTCGGGGGCAAATTTAGGAACCGCAAGACCGCTAGGCTTACGATACTCCACCTGGTAGTTTCTTCCCCGATCACGATATACAATTCAAGCATGTCCTCCGGAGCATCGCGACTTAGACTGAAATCCGATGCGTCGCTATTATCGTGCTGTATTTCGGGGTAGAGCTTCTCCCCAGTGTGTATATCTTCCATGATGAAACGACGGCAGGTCCCCATGCTTTGGGCGTCAATACCAACCACATCGTAGCTGTCATTTAGACGGAACTTGTGATCACTCAACTGTCGGCAACTGGAAGACACATTGGTCAGCTTTTTGTACGTTTGGGGGTCCGTGAAATGCATGACGGAAGTCAGAATTTCGTTGGGGACCCTGCGTGGCTTCGCAGACGCCAAACGCAGTCGGGCGGCCATATCAAGGAAGCGCATCATCACTGTAAAGGTAATGCTGTCATCTGTCCGTTTATCTTTAATCATGGTCTTCCCGTCATCATTGCCGTCACTCGCCTTACTGCAACGAGAAGTATCATCCACCGTCTGTGTCTTACATTGCAATGCATGAATGGCATTGGTACCTAGCGTAGGCGGCTGGGTGGCTTGCGTTGGCCTTGGTCCATTTGGATACCTAGAGCTCTCCTCATGGAAGTAGAACAGAGGCATCAAGTCTGACCTCTGAACACGCACCGTACCGTCCTCCTTCTGAACATGGACGAGGATAACGTCCGAAAGTGAGAAGACCATAGCATAGAATGCATCCAAACCTTGGGCAAGTCCGGCATCTACTGCTTCGATAACCGCTGCCTTTTCAACATCGACTATGTCCAGCCTCGAAGCCAGGTGTACGAGAACATTGCTGAACCAATAAGTACGGTTTTGGGGTGCTGATCCAGGCTCAACGCCGGGGAGCTGGCGTTCATACAGGAAACATTGGAAGCAAGCGACCATCTGGAAGGACGTAGTAGCCCTCTGCTTCATAGTTTTTATCGAGAGCTCGGATGGACTCGAAGGTCACCTCACCAGCAGCAATGGACAGAAGCGCAAATGCTATTTCCCGGAACGAAAAACTCTCGGGTGTCCATTCCAAGATGAACGGATCCAGGAGTTTCTTGAACGAGCTGTGCATACATGAGAAGGTACTCAACAGCAAGGCCTCGCGAGGGAGCAGCGTGCCGAATGAACCACAGAAAACCTCCGACGGTATTGGTTCAACATCTAAGGTATCATATTTGGCCCTTGCTTCACTGTTAATGCTCGGTTTCAAGGCAGCATCGCCAACAATATTTTCCGGGGTGTCCTCTCGCAACACCATACGGCGGCGGTTGTCGTCCTCATCAAGGTGTTGGTGCCAACGTCCACCACGTGAGATCTTAGATAGCTTGAAATACACTGAGTGGTCAACGCCCAGAAGCTCACGGTCAAGATCGAGTGTGTACGTATAGTCGGGGTAGCCTCGCCACACATGGAGTAGTGGGGTTTGTATTGGTGGCATCTCAAGCCTGTCGTCAATGGCAAGGTAGCTCTTCATGTACCTCTGGGCAACAGAGGATGTAGAGTCTCCATGTGTAGGAGAATCAGGGATGGTAAGTGGGAGATACTGTGCTTCGAGCTTCTGGACAATTACGGCGAATACCTTTTGCATTGATTCGAGCCATTCTACAGAGTACTGGATCAGACAACATGCATGTATCACAGTAACCCTTAGTCCAGTTCAGCCTACCATGATATTTTTCAACATTTTCAGGAATCTGTTGTTCGATGGCCTCCCCAAGGCCTTCAAATTAACTATCAAGATTATTGTAGTAGATAAAGTATCTGCCGTGGCAACGGATGAATACAAAGCCATTAGTTCCCATTTTGGCCGACAAGCGACCCCAAATGACAGTCTGAGGTACCGAAGATATATGGCGATTGAGAGTCAAGGAAGAATGAAGAACTGTCAAGGTGATTTGAAGGTGGAATGAAGGGTATTTTAAAGCGGTAGAGATAAAAAGAAGAAGAAGAAGAAGAAGAAGAAGAAGAAGAAGAAAAAAGAAAACAAAAGAAAACAAAAAAAAAAGTGTCAAAGTGACGTTCAAACGCGTCAAGGTCGAGTAACGATCAGGCAGACATCAGGCACTCACTGACTGTCTTCCGTAGACTGACGAACTCCAGTTCTTATATTCAATCCTTGACCCTTACCACTCGGGGACTTCTCCCTACTTGGGGACTTGAACTCTCACAACCTTATCACAATTGAGCAGACAAAGAGGGTCAAGAGCTTGTTTGAACTATGAAGATAGTCAATCTTTAATCTGAGGACAATGTGAGGGCTGTAACATACTCTGCGCATGGTATCGACAGTTGTTTTACCAAGTTCATGCTCCAGGTAGTCCCTCTTCACCATTCCCACTCCATGCTCCCCAGTGACAGTCCCTTCCATTTCCACAGCACGCTTAACCATGTTGTGGACAACACTCTCCGCTACCTTGCGTTGGCCGTCATTAAAGAGGAGCATTGCTATTTCAAGGCGTGGTTAGTGAGTACTTCAAATACCCTGGCATATGTGTGAGTGCCTACCATGGAAGTTCCCATCGCCCACATGGCCAACGATGCCTCCAAGTAAGCCACTGGCAGAAATCTCCTCCCTAGTTTGCTCGATGATGTCGGGTAGTCTGCTCATGGGCACAGCGACATCGGTAGTCCAGACATGATCCGTTGGCTGCTGTTTCATTTGCAGAATACTCCACAGTGCTACCTTTCTGGCACTCCACAACTCATCAACTTCTTCTGAGTTGCGGGCGAATGTGAAAGTCTTCTTGTTAGCATTCTCGGCTAATTTCTGAACAATCGAAATCTTCTCCTTCACTTCACCGGGCGCTCCAGAGAACTTGAAGAACAAGGTTGGAGCCTCGTCCCACGAACGACTCGTTGTTTGGCTCGTGTTGATACACTTCATCTGAACATCATCCAGGAGTTCCACGGCGGCAATATTAACCCCCCGTTTGACCACTTCCGAAACACAGCTGGCTGCATCATGAACGGACGGAAAAGATGCAACTGCCACTGCCTCATTCATCGGCTTGACAGCCAGCTTCAAGGTCGCTTCTGTGACCAGGCCAAGTGTACCCTCACTGCCGATGAATATCTTAGTCAGATCATAACCGGCGCTCGATTTCCGTGGCCTCTGCCTGGTCTTGATAATTGTCCCATCGGCTAGAACAACGGTCAGAGACAAGACCCAGTCACGCATTGTTCCATAGTGATATGCGTTTGTTCCCGAACAGCCGGTACCGACCATGCCACCGATCATTGCACCGGGGCCAGGGTCTGGAGGGAAAAAGAGCCCATCCTTGGCGAGCTCTTCGTTCAATACCTCCCACTGCACTGCAGGTTGCACTACGACGTCCAAATCATCTTTGTGCACTTTTAGGATTTGGTCCATGCTTTGGAAGTCTATGCAGACTCCTCCTCTGGTCGGTGCAAAGTGCCCCTCAAGACTTGTCCCCCCTGCATATGCTGTCACTGGAAGTCTGCGTCGATGGCAGATCTCCATCACACGGGAGACCTCTTCCGTGGTCGAAGGACAAACAACTACTGAGGAGACTTCGGTTTTACTGGGAGAATAGGATGACCACTCAGAAGTGGAGTAGGGTGCCAAAGCTTCCTTGTCACTGATGACCTTGTCCTCGCCTAGGATACCGGCGAACTCTGCAACTGCTCCTTGTATGTTGGAGAAAGAAGTATCGTGACATGGTGCTGGGAACTTATTGAGTGGCGTAGTAGATGTCACTGCTGGTTCCGGGAATTTGGCAATGCCTATGTAATAACCAGTAAGACCTGAGAGAAGGAGGGCTGAAGGGGATTTGCTTAGTTAGTCAAGATATCCTCCATCATAACATACTAATGTTGGAAAACAGATATACTGCACATACCAGATGACACAAGGGCAATACCAACACCTGTAGTCCATTGCCGACGTTGTGGATGACTGGACGTCCCTTGTTTATGGCAATCTTTGGCTGGTTAGCAGGGAGGATGCCCTCGATGGTTAGAGAACAATGCTCACCAGATTCCTGCCTGCACTGAGGGCCAACCGACATGAAAGTCCTTGAAATTAAAGGCCCGCTTATCCTTTGCGAACGAGATCTCGACCAGGTAGGTCCGGAAGAGACGGCCTGCATTAGAGGGCGACCTGCCCTTGCGCCGACCCTCAACATATTTTGCGTTTGTTATTTTCTTGCTTCTGATGTGTAGCTATGGACCTCCCCTATTCGCGCACTACCTAGGTATTGCAATGCCTTTCCCTATCAAGTGCTGGTGACTTTCGTGAATCTGCCTCTTTGTCGGCTGAAACGGATGACCTTGATATAGTCGTCCTCGTCGGTCGAATGGATATTTCATTGAATAGCCACGGTGTTACCGAAACTAGAATCGTTAGACGACTCAAATCTCACGAACAGACAGTGCGTCTCTCGGGGTTGGACTTGTTCTCCCCGAGAGAAATACTACCAAAGCTCGTTGACGTCATGCCACATAAGGGCAACGCCAGTAGTACTCGTTTTCATATCCAATGGGTCTTCCGTCCGAGATCGTACGATAATCAGGACATCTCCATTGTCCCTAATGTTATTGGTTAATGGGTGAAAGACAAGCTTCTTAGAACACTGCATAACTATCGAGGTCTCTATCGGCCGAAAAGAGATCTCGGTCCTCACGGCAGCTAAGCTGAGCCTTGAACCCACCAAGCGGGTCTCAATATGACATAGTTTGCGACCGTGGTACTGTACTTACGTCAATTGTACAGTGTTATTGTTCTTGGTCTGCCTTGATCGATGACTTGAACCTCTGAACATAACCGGTTGGCCGGGTCCATTGTCATGGGAGCCGGTCTTGTACCGAGACAGGCCCTAAGTTGCTCAACCATAAATGGGCGTCAGTGCATTCGCCTCTAGTTAGAGAGCTCTCTGCGCACAGCCTATGGGTTTCATACATCAGGCCGGAATACGCAACAAGTCGAAAGGAGAGACGTCAAACACATCGCAACAATGTCCACAGCCCAGCACAATCCATTGCCATACACCTACGAAACGAAAGTCTATACCGAGGGGCTCAATGATAAGAAGCCCGCGATCACTTTTGATCCTTTCAAATGGGAGGGGCTGGCTAAAGAGTGCCTCTCAGCAGATAGCTTTGGCTACGTCTGGGGCTCCGCTGGAACGAGAGAAACGGATGAAAACAACCGGAAGGCATTCAAGAAATGGGCCATCGTTCCCTCCCGTCTAGTTAAATCGGACTTTCCAAGTTTGAAAACGACGCTGTTCGGCGAGGAATACGAGTACCCGATCGCCATCGCGCCAGTAGGGGTGCAGCGGATTTTCCACCGGGATGGCGAGGTTGCTGTTGCTTCCACTGCACAGGATGAAGGGATAACATACATCCTGAGTTCTGCATCTTCGACCAGCATTGAGGACGTCGCAAAAGCCAATGGGAACGGACCCCGCTGGTTTCAGTTATACTGGCCGTCAAATGATCACAATGACATTACAGTCAGCTTGTTGAAGCGCGCCAAGGCTGCCAACTACCAGGTCTTGGTGGTGACACTTGACACCTACATCCTTGGGTGGCGCCCCTCGGACTTAGAGAATGGGTATAATCCATTCCTCAGGAAAGACAATATCGGAGTCGAGATTGGCTTCTCCGATCCAGTGTTTCGAAAGAAGTTCGCAGAAAAGCATGGCAAAAGCATCGAAGAAGACATGGCGACCGCAGCGGCTGAATGGGCTCATATGATATTCCCTGGGTTAAGCCATGGGTGGGAAGACCTTCAGTTCCTACGTCAGCACTGGGATGGCCCGATCGTACTGAAGGGTATACAAACGGTCGAGGACGCAAAGCTGGCAGTCCAGTACGGCATGCAGGGAATAGTGGTATCCAACCATGGCGGACGCCAGCAGGATGGGGGAGTGGGATCTTTGGACATGCTTCCTGAAATCGTCGACACGGTGGGAAAGGATTTAGAAGTCATCTTCGATTCTGGCGTGCGTTGCGGTGCTGATGTGGCTAAGGCTCTGGCGCTGGGAGCCAAGATGGTACTTATCGGCCGACCCTATGTGTACGGACTTGCTATCGCGGGTAGGGAGGGTGTCCGCCATGTCCTCCAGAGTACATTAGGTGATTTGCAGCTTACTCTTCATCTGTCGGGGATCAGATCGGTGCAGCCAGAGCATCTGAATCGGTCGATACTACGACGGATGGGGTAGTAGACACTATACACGTACTACCGAAGAAAGCTGGATTTGTACTCTATAAGAATTGCCAGATGAAACGATGAAGATGTAAAGAATAGGAATAGGATGTATATAACATGTTGATTGTATGGAAATAACTTTATTGTCTTTGCACATGTTCTTGCAAGTTTCAACCCAACATCTGTCCTCCGTATTTATCATTATCGACTTGATTTACCTTCGCCCACGCATTGATAGCATTCATCTCACGAATTGGAGCTGATCGCACCGCTTAAAAGTGGCAGCCCGGAGCTGCAGGGTCAACTTGAATATACGCATTTATGCTTATTATTCCGAACTTCCGAGAGAAAAGTGGGATTTAGAAGCCATGGACAATGCGATGAATAAATATATATATAGGCAATTGAAGTTCTGTGCTCCATAAAATGTGACACGGTATATATCGAAAGAGATCTAGATCGATCTCATGGCGCTCAGACTATGCATTGGGATTGATCGGGGAAAAAGTTAGGAGGGCATGCATGCAATATCACGGACTATTTTTGTTCATGCAGCTCTGGGTTTTCAGATCAGTTCCTGCGTGCTCCGTAAACCCGCATCAATTCTCTTCTCAGCTATCGTATCGTAGTTTCAGTTCATCATCATGATACGCCAATTTCCCAGAGTTGATAGTCTTCGGATTGGCCATCCTCAATGATGCGGTGGTTACGAAAGAGATTCCACGTCCGCCCTAGAACTGCGCATCGGTGGATACGCAGTACCTATCTGCACAGGTGAATGTAATTATGTGTGGCTCACTTCGTTAAGGTTTGTGGTGGTGTCGTGTATTCTGCGGTCATTCTGGAGTGAGTTGGAATCTGGCTGATGAAAAGCTGCTGCATGAGTCCACGTAGGGAAAATTAATAAAATAGCGAGTGCTGTGTCACCTGCCTACTAGTAGTTCATGCATTCAGCGGTGGATCTGACACATTCTTAGCCATGATAGTTAGATTAGTTACAGTTCCCAACAGGAATACGAAGAACGACATACCAAAGTTACCCAGGATTGCAAGGGAACTGAGGATTAGAGTTGGTTCGTGTCTAACAGCAATGATGAGGCATCAATTACACCCTTCGATAATGTATGACAAGTGGTGCGTAAACCCTAGTTGATTTAACGGTCTGAATGGGAACTCTATCTATATACAATAACTACCGTAGCTGTAACAGCATCAACTCCGGGGATTCAATGCATGCCCGGACCTTATTAGCCATCCGAGCCATAGTCGCGCCATCCACGACACGGTGATCCGCACTCCAGCTGAAATTAACCAATTCACCCTTGGTGACCTGACCTGCTTCATCGAAGACTGGTACTGTCTTGGATTTTCCGACACCCAGGATAGCCACTTCATTGGATACAATCACTGGTGCGACGTAGGTACCTCCAATATTTCCGATATTTGAGACAGTGATTGTCCCACCACTCAGGTCTGCTGGGGTGAGCTTCCCTTCTTTACCTAAGGCGCTCAGACGGGTGATTTCTGCTGCAACGTCTTCAATTGACCGGTTGGCAACATCCTTAACATTGGGCACGATTAAGCCTTGCGGTGTATCCATTGCAACACCAATATTGTGTCTGGGCCGCATGATGAGCTGGGGCTTGTCGGGATTGCTTGTGTCAACCTTGGCGTTCAAGATTGGATATTCATTCAGGGCTAGAGAGACGGCTTTGATGACGAAGGAGAGGAAGGTAATTCTCCTGGGGTCCTTCGGATCATTGGCCAGTTTCTTTCTCAGCGCAGTGATATTGTTGATGTTTAGCTCATCTGCAAATAGGAAGTGGGGGATATTGAGTGACCGCGTCATGGTCTTGAACATTTGTGACTGGATTGGTGTTAGGTTGACCGCTGTGTCTGTTTGCTGTGTCCCAGGGGTTGTAGGGGTTGTAGGTTGCGGCGTAGGTGCAGAGTCCCGCGCTGCTACAAATCGAAGGACATCCTCTTTGAGGACGCGTCCGTCCTTCCCTGTCCCTGAAACATCTAGTATATTCACGTTATGTGCCTTCAGCATCCCACGGACGGCCGGGGTGGCAAGAGTTGCATATCGTGAAACATTCTTCGGGGCTTCTGGCTTTTCAGTAGCAACAGCCACTTCACCTGAAGGTTGTTTTGTCTCAGCCTGTGCAGGAGCAGAGCTGGGTTGCGCGGGTGCTGGTGCTGGGTTGTCATCTGGATATTTTCCATCCTCAACCTCTATATCGCACAGAGCCTACAGTGGAATTCTCTCAGCAACCATGTTCTCAAAGTATAGATGTAGTGCAATTTTACGTACCCTTCCCGTAGGGACGGTGTCATCTGCTTGGAAGTGAAGCTTCTTAACAATGCCTCCGTATCTCGAGGTAATCTGATACTGTTAGGTCTCTGTGTGCTGGTCATTGGTGCGAAAACAACTAACATCATCCACTGCTTTATCTGATTGATATTGACAGAGAGGTTTCCACTCCTCTATATGGGCACCTTCTTCGACGTACCACTGGATAATCTGAACTTCCGTGATACCTGCGGAGCGCAAGGTGGGTTAAGTATATGATATATGCGTATAACACAGGTTACAGAAGGATTGGACGTACCTTCGCCAACATCCTTCAAGATCTGAGACTTGACCCCCCACAGAGCCGGGCCGGCATGGAATGTGCGACGGGGAAAGGATATTGTTGATGGGAAGCGAGTTATCGGCAGGACTCTGCGAGATTGGCAAGACCGGAGAGCCCCAGAAAGGCCTCCATTGCAGCGTAGAATGCTCATTGTCGAGCCGAAGTCAACCCAGGGTTATGGAGGAGAAGAGAATGCTTTTCGAGAGGGGAGAGCGCAACATTTCATTGTGGAATGATGGTGGTAGTGCATTATTATTGCTCTCCTTCCTCCGCATTCTGAACCCCGAGCGCCGACGGTAGCCGACCCCAGCGTCATTTCACGTGACCGGCTCTCCGCAATTTACGGGCGGGCATTTCGGTCCATCTTTGCTTCCGCGATGTGTTGCGGAGAAATAAACCATGGACCTGGCTTGGTGTTGATAAGACTGGGCCGAGATTTGCGATAAACCCGAAATTTTAGCTAAGAAGGGTCCAATTGGTTCCTCTCAGACTACATCTTCCCTTCGACAGGCATTCTTATTCCAATTGGCAGGAAAAATGCTCTTGAGCGGTCGCGCAGTATCAGAGAACAACCATACTCAAAAGATGGCAAAGCTTGAATGACGCGAAAGCATCTCAGACAGGAGGAGGGGTAGGTGGCCACAAAAGAAAAAGGAAAAGAAGATTGTGGAAAAACTATACTCTCGGACAATGAAAGTAACATTGGCAGTCTCAGCCTTACTACACCAGTGAAAAAGGTGAGAGTGGGGGTGATGGATTCATCGAAGAGATTGAGTCGACGCCCGGTCGGGTCTCAAACAATGGACCAAGTCCAGCGCCAATAATAGACAATAAAGCGTGACTGCCTGAGGAACTTGACAATAAGATACAGAACACCATACCGGTATGTCGCCCATACTAGGTTTCAGTACTCTTGTTCAGGTGGACACGCATTGGTACCATTGGCGCGGAAGATCCCAGGAAAAGCCACAAATTGCCGATCACAATTGGTGCGTATCGCATCGTAGCTAATTTAGTGCCGTCGCGGTTCTCCAGCGCTACCATACAATCCGATCCATCCAGGCCAATAATGAGCACCAATTTAACCTTGCAGCCTGGTACTCGGGTCGTCCAACAGCGTCAGCGAAGCCTTATTTACCTCTCGAGTCTCTCCCCTGTACCTTGGTCCCTTTTAGAAACTCATGGGTTGTTATCCGGGATCGTGGCCTAAACGATCACGTACCACAATGGTGGCCGAATACTTGACCCTTCGCAATCTCACTTCCACGCCAATTACTCTGAAGCGCATTGAGCGCTTTCATCCGCATCATGATCGTAATATCCAACATTTGGCCAGAAACTTCACCCGAGTCTTCACCAATGTAACCCGCACCAGTGCGCCGGTCGCTGCGATCACAGATGACAACGAACCCTTTGTTCATGAGGATTTAGATATCCATGTCGAACCTTTCCAGACAATTCAAACCGAGCTTCGTACATTTATCGACTCGGATAAAGAGCGCGTGCGCTGGTCCTTCGAAGTGGAAGGAGAGCGGCATCAAGTCCAGACTCCCGTGCCCACGTCGGAGTCCGCCACAATGAAGGCATTGTGCGACGAACCTCGATTCAAACTCACTGGTATTTATGTGACACCCGAGTCCCATCTATCAATCTACTCCTCCGCCAATCTGAATGCGTGGATGGGCGAGCTGAAGGACGACACCTTGCTCTCCTCTCTCTCGATCCCAGGCACCCACAATTCCCCTACCTGCCATGTTGCGCCGCCCTCCGTTCGCTGCCAAGCAGTCAGTCCACGAGAACAGCTCGAAAACGGTGTGCGATTCTTTGACATCCGTGTACAGCCCCAATATCCAGAAGATGCCGAAAAGGATGAGCTTGTTTTGGTGCACAGCGTCTTCCCCATCTCTTTAACGGGAAACAAATACTTCCGTGACTTGATGCGTGAAGTAAACGATTTCCTCAGCCAGAATCCGTCGGAGACCCTGATCATCTCTCTCAAACGAGAGGGACCTGGTGAGCACACCGATCAACAGCTCAGCCGGATTCTGAGCGAGCACTACGCACACCCAGACAGTCGGTGGTATACCAAACCCAAGATCCCCACTCTCGGTGAAGTGCGCGGTAAGGTCGTTCTTATCCGTCGGTTCGACATCTTGGATCATCTCAAGGAAATACACGGGGGCGCAGGCTGGGGAATTTGTGCCTCGGGTTGGGCCGACAACTGCTCTAATGCGACTTGCCCCAGTGGACAGATTTGCATTCAGGATTTCTATGAGGTCATGGAGACCGAGAACATTGGAGAAAAGATTCAGTACGTGCAAGAGCATTGTTTCCGAGCCGCTGAGACGCGCTACCCATTCGGCGTGCTTCCGGACCCCGAAGCAACCAAGGCGCATCCATTCTATATTAACTTCCTGAGTGCGAGCAATTTCTGGAAACTTGGTACTTGGCCGGAGAAGATTGCCAGTAAGCTGAACCCGGCGGCAGTAGACTATCTCTGCCGAAAACATGGTGAAAAGGATGACGGTGACTGGTCCACTGGTATCCTGGTCACGGACTGGGTTGGCTTGGATGGTGATTGGGATCTTGTGCGATGCATCGTGGGCATGAATGCTCGGCTGAAGCTGAGGCAAGACAGGCATGAAGGGGATAACTAGATGACTCGGTGTATTGGCTCAATATTGTTTTGCTTGTACTAGGGACCGGAATACCAGGTATATTTACCCAGACTATTACCATTCGTAAACTCACAATGATATCCGCAATTGCATCTTTCGGGTTTGACGAATTAGTTGACTATAAATATAAAATATATATACCTGTAATCACTCTGCCAATCCTGGCTCATATCGGCGCAGTCCTGATTATATGTACGCTGTATATTGGAAGCTAATTCAGTCCATTCTAAACACGTGGTCAGGGAAGGGCTCGAGAGATAATGCACAGTTGTATATGAGAATTTTGCATTCTATATTGGGCTTGTGTTTTAAGTAAGCCTTCATGTGCTAAAAACAACCCATAGCCTTCAATAACTGGACAGGAAAAGTACAAGTGTAGGTAGTATTATACATAGAAATCAAACTGGTCGCGTTACATTTAAGCGTCGGTCTTCTCATCACTTGGGCCCTTCTGCTCCTCCTCCAGGACGCTCCTCCTGCTCTCAAGAGTGAAGTACAGGCTCTTGCCAGCGCCCTCCAGAGTGTTGGTGACGCTAGATGCCATGCTTTGCAGGGCCATAACAAGCTGTGACCGCAGACCATCCATACCACCCTCGATACTACCAACCCACTTGGTCTGCTCGACATCAAACACCTTACCGTCCACACGCGCGGCAAGAAGAGCCAGCTTATTCAGACCGTTCTGGACGGGCAGCTCGTGCCATCCTGGGTTGGCCTTGCGAGTGGGAACAGGGAAGCCAGCAGCCTTGGGGGCAAGGACTGTCAGCGCAGCTTTGAGATGTTCCGGAGACATCTGAGGAATGCTCAAGACTGCAATTGGTCCAACCAAGACTGGCGCCAATTTGTGCTTGCCCTTCATACGAAGGACGGCATCGTGAGCCGCGCGGGAAAGGTCGTGTGACAGAGTGGGATCATCCCTCGATCCAGAGAGAGAGACTTCGGCAGACGTTTGCGTGATGGGGTCGACAGCGCTGGGGGTCTGGCCGGCTTCGATCGTGGAGGTGTTGGGTCGGAAATACTCGACGATACGGAGGGCAGCCTCAAAGATGCTAGTCTGAACAATTTGCACCTTGACGTGAGGAGCAATCGGAGGGAGGGAGCGTCCCTCGGAGGCAATCTGCTCGTCCACTTTCTGCAAAGCCTTGCTCAATTCTCGCCGGATGGCAGCCCACTCCACCGACTGAAGGTTATCGTGCTGCAGAAACACCATAAGAGGAGTAGTACGGATGAGCGATGTATACTGTCGGAGAAGTTGCGACCGACGGTACTCGGGATTGCGATGTGAGGGAGGTTGAGACGGAGGAAATCTAGCAATGGGGGCAGCAGAGTGTGTCATCTGTTCCGGCGACGCGGCGGGGGTCGTAGCTGTCGCAGCGGTACTCGCGTATCTTGTGAGAATGGGCAGCTCATGTTGGCAGAGGAGCCTTTGCCGGCGGAGCGGCTGGGGGATGCAGCCACTTGAAAGGCGAATTCGTGGAGGCATTGTGAAGAGAATGGAAGGTATTAGTAGAACTTAAGTTTTTGCACGGTCAATTTATCCTGGGAGCGGCTCCTGAGAGGGACAAGGGCGCCTGAGGCCGGTGAAATTGGAGATACCGACGACAGTGACTTCCGCAATATACAACTTGGACGAAAATATGGCACGAAATCTTGGGTTCCCGAAAAGGCATAGCGGGATCTCCGGGCGGTGAGTTTATGCCTAGGCCGATGACGGATTCTATATGAGGGGTGCAACTGAGTCAGAGATTCTTACAATCGCATCTGTGCCTTCAATTCGGAGCTTTCAACGGTCTAAGGGGATATATTTTGCGATTTTTCTATAGCCAAGATGTCCGCTGCTCCTTTTGACCTGCAACCCGGTCAAGTCTCTATCTCCCCCCTCCTACAGAAGCTTGCCTACCCCTCCGAGAAGCTTCCTGTAGATGCTGCAGACATTGCTTCAGCATTCGCATTGATTTTCGAGGATCGCCTCTCTGCTATACAGACGGCAGCTCTTCTGACACTTTTACACTCTACTGGAAGAGATCGAGATGCAGAGGTTATCGCTAGATGCTCCCATCGTATGCGTGAAGCCGCTACTCAGGTCGACAGGCCCACCTTGAAAAAGATCATCAAGGCCCGCGGTAAGAAGGAGGGCACTTACAATGGAGGCCTGGTAAGCATTGTTATGCATCCGCAACTCATATATTCAAAATAACCTGATATGTGGTCTACCTTAGTGCGATATTGTTGGTACTGGCGGAGATTCGCATTCCACTTTCAATATCTCTACCACTGCATCTATCATCGCCTCGCCGCTTATCCTAATGGCCAAACATGGCAATCGCGCGCAGACCTCTTTCTCTGGATCCGCAGATGTCCTCAATGCTATTCCGCCAATCCCTCCGAATATTTCCGCTGTCAGCGCCGAAAACCTTCCACAGGTGTACGAGAAGACCAGTTATGCATTTTTGTTTGCCCCCAACTTCCACCCGGGCATGATGTACGCCAATGCAGTGCGCCGCGCATTGGGACTACGGACAATTTTCAACTTGATGGGCCCACTGGCTAATCCTGTTGACTGGGCCATTGAGGCTAGAGTGGTCGGTGTGGCCTATCAGAGCCTTGGACCTGTCTTTGCCGAGGCCCTGAAACAGAATGGATGCAAAAAGGCAATGGTCATCTGTGGTGAGGAGGACCTGGATGAAATCAGCTGTGCTGGAAAGACCAACTGCTGGAGACTCATTGAATACCCTAACCCTGCATACAAGGGCTCGGAACATGATGACTGCTCAAGTGACGAGGACGAGCATGAAGTCCCCCGCACTCTGGTCAAATTTGAAACTTTCTCACTACACCCATCAGACTTTGGCCTGCCAACTCATCCCTTGACTGCCGTATTCGGAAGAAAGATGCCCAAGGACAATGCAGCCAAGATTATGAGCATCCTGCGGAACGAACTGCCTCGCGATGACCCAATCCTCACCTTTGTTCTTATGAACGTCGCTGCCCTTCTTGTTATTTCGGGTATCTGTGAATCCGACACTAGTGACATGGGTCCCGGCGATGATGGCCAGGTGATTACCGAACGTGGACCAGGCGGTGGGCGCTGGAAGGAGGGTGTCCGGCGAGCCAGATGGGCCGTCGAAAGTGGCGCAGCCCTTAAGTGCTTGGAGGGATTTATTGAAGTGACAAACAACCTTCAGTAAACCATTTCTTTCGCAACGGTTTCGGGTCTTTCTTTCTCTTTTTCATTTTCTTTTTTTTTAGATTATGTTCACAAATTGGCCTAGGTAGAGGTATAGGGACATGTGTATTGAATGACGGAATTAATGATTTTACTCATGGAAATCTTCAACACGAGCACCTTCCGCCGATGCGCAGATACAATGAGTCCCTTTCAACAAAGGTCATCTGTAGAACCATCGCCGCATCGCAATATCCAATCTTTTTGTCCCATCAAACTCCAAAGCGCCACCTGAATGCATAACACGATACGATCGTAAGAAAGGTATAAAGCCAACGTCGCGCAACCGGTCTATCCCATTTCACCGAGCTTCAAACTGAACCATTCTGTAGAACCAAACAAAGTCAGCACACACCCAATTAAAAGGTTTATTAAAAATGACAAAAGAGAAGGCAAAAACCCCACCTCTTCGTCCTTTCCTTGTACAACACACGATGACCGCATTCCTTGCAGCGGATCTGGTCACCCCTCTTCAACGAGACACGAGCATTGCACTCGCCACATAGATAAGCAACCATAGGGCCGTCCAGGGAGCCTGCACCGGAGTCAAAGGCATTCTGTCCGCCCAAAGAGGAAGGAACCTGGTAAGCTTCGCGAGACATAGTGGGTGGGTAGGTTTCGACGTTCGTCTCTTTGGGAATATTAATATAGGCGGATGTGGACGACGGAGGTGTTGTCTCGCGACTTGGAGGAAGACTTGACTGCGGGTTTTGAGGAGCTTTGGATTGTTCTGGATATTCTTTGCGCAAACCTAATTTTGCTGAGTCAGACTTTTGATGCTGATTGATTCGGGACTAGCCTTTTTCGGATAAGGTGCTATGTTGAGACCGTGGATTGTTCCTGTCCGTATCAGTGTCAGTGTCTACTCAGATTCTTAAGTAGTCCGTCAGAATTCGTCTACCATGGGTTATGCCAACGTTGAAATGAATTAGTCAACCAGTGGAGTGGGATAGCAGGGAAACAGAAGTCACTAAGCTCTTTCAAAACTACGCGGAGATCGCTGCACTAAGGAACCATATATATAACGACATTCTATTGAATACTCTACTGGGCGATTATTCAATGACCCATGAATAAGTGCGAAATGACTGAGGCCATCCTCCGTATATCTGCCACCCCTTGTTGTGTCTATATTCCCTCTGCTATAATAAGGTTCAACTTTGGTGTGATTGTTGTCACTGGTCTCTTTTCTGCGCAAGCCGTTCATTCCTTCTTGTTTCAATATCACCTTCAACAAGCCATTTGCTGGCCTCTGTTAACTGAATCATGTTCACATATTGCTTGAAGAGCATAAATGGCGTTGAAATGTGAAGGAGACACCATGGAACAGAATCGTCTATTTTATTTGCACTGCAATCAATATAAGTATAGGCTATATTATGGGGTATATTAATCGCTCAAGATCTTACCGAGCCACCTCCATTGCCCCAGCACTCCAAGAGGAGCTCCAGGGCATTGAAGGATCGGATTGTGATGCCGTGAAGTTCGGGTTGTTCACCGACGATGGCGATGACGAGAATGAGAGTAAATATAACGCAATAAAGAAGAGCTCATTCAGCGCACACACTGTGAAAAGGACTTTCTATATATATTGTTAGTTTTGCAAAGAAATTACGAGCGGGTTAACGCCAGCATACTGTGTTAGAATAGTAGGTCCGCATGACCCACGGCCGACTGTCATCGATCTGCTTGTGGCTCTGGCGGTTTCCGCCCATTGCCAAGGTCGCATACATATGGATATAGTGGCTTGAATAGTCCAAGCTAATCAAGCCCTGAAAGACAATACTCCACCTGGGAAATGCGCTCGCCAAGAAAACTAGCAGGCAAGTTGTTGTACATCGGTCTGTAATCATATCCAGAACCGCACCGAATCGTGTTGATTGCCCTAATCGCCGGGCTGCAGCTCCATCTAGGGCATCAAGGAGACAAGAGGCACTATATAATAGCGAACATGTTCGTGGGTGCAAGGGCATGTAATAGAGGGATGTGACGGCGAGAACCACGCGGGTGTACCCTAGGAACCTTAAGACCTACTCGGGGGTTATCTCGTCGCTGATAAAAGAGACATACCGATTAGGTTGGGCACGAAGAGGAAAACATTTTCATCATGATCTTTATGCCGTCCAGCATTGCCTTGTGCTGATTGACTGGCCATTAGGGCGAACTTTCTTGGTGTTATCCGGTGAGTGGATCAAAAGAAATTTGGTAGATCGAAGTTGCAGTAGTGTCGATTGAGTAGACTCGGAATAGCTATAGTATATCATGGAATTTATATAAAATTGTTGGGTCACGCATTGAATGAAAGGAGAGAGATAAGGCATTATATACTAGGGTCCTTAGTATTTGTCCCGTGACAGGCATAGTGCCAACGGTAAGCCCCGAGACTAAAATCGGACCTAGTGTCGGCAATATAACATACAAAGAGGACATCATTTACTCGTGAGAAGGGATACTTGTCTGCAACGAAAAATCGCTAGTCTCTATAGAGTACCTATTAGACTCATTAATATGACCGCCCATAACGCCAAAAGGGCAAGGGCTGGCGCCTGCTCGACTTGCCGGTGAGTGCACTAGTACAATCCTCCCCTCGGTTGAAGGGTTGACATAAGGATAGCACTGAATGAGCCTCGGATTCAGCAGTCGAAAAAGACGATGTATTCCTGGGAATAAAGGAGATACTTGTCAGCTTTGTCACTTGTTGTCGGTTCCCTGCAGCCTTGACCATACTACAAGGCCAGCCAGAGTGGCAGTTCAATCGGCACCAGGAAGGGAGAATCCCACTCCTGGTCGAATGCCACTATCATGGGAACCGGACTTTTCGGAAGCACTGAAAACACACGAAGTCTTACATGAATTGGTTGGATTATATTTTCGCCACATTCACAATATTGCCCACACCATGTTCCACGAGCCGAGTTTCATGCGCCATATGAGGGAAGGTACAGCATCCATGAAACATGTCTACGGCATGTGTGCATTAGCTGCCAGGTATGTTCTTACGCATTCGGGATAGTTGATCATTAGGCTACTCAGATCGATGACCGTAGATTAACAGGTTCTCTAAGAACCCGGTTTTCCATGGCATCTCACCTTGCTCCCGTGGTCAAGTTTATGCTCTCCAGGCCATGCGACTTTGTCGCCAATGTACGGATACTCCAAGCCTGGAAACAGTTCAAGCATTGCTTTTGATTGGATATTTTTTTAGTGGTGAAGCTGATAATCAGAGAAAACACATATATGTTGGACTCGCTCGGCTACACGCTGAAGCTCTGTCACTCTGGGGTTCTTCCACGCAGTCAATTTCTAATGGGGTAAATCGAGAAGAGTATCGTCGAACTTGTCTCTCCGTTCGAATTGCCACCCACTGGTCCGCTTCTGACATGTTCATGGAGCCTGAGGATACGTGCCGCAGCTCAGAAATGATCCCAGAAGTAGATGATGTACTCTTTCATACCCTGACTTCTGCCGAGTTGCTGCGGAAACCCCAATTAGCACCTGCATTTCGGTGTGATATGTGGGCTCAAATGGCACGGACGCTTGATATCTTCACCAAAATTAATGGATTACTGAGACAGCTTAGCCGGGGCGTGATTACTCTCGATGACTATTGTCAGGAGGCCCCTTTACTAGAGGATCGCCTTAACCAATGGTACAAGAATCTACCCGAGCACTTGACCTACAGCTACAACCACATCATTTTCTTCTTGGAGAGGCACCTTGGCCGAACCTTTCTGTCTATGCACATTGGATACTATCATTTTCGCCAGATGCTTTTCTTTCCCTTCCTCAAGGCGGGTGCAAGCCGAGATGCAACCACAACCGAACCTAAAGCAGTCAAATGCAATGAAAGCGCGGCTACAGTTTCGGAGATTTTAAATTATGCCACCAGCCTTGAGAATTGTGAGCTGGACTATTTTATTTATGGACATATTGCTGTGGTCAGCTCTTGTGTTCATCTCCACTCTTTACTCTTCAGCGATGATCTCTCAGAGCTCTTCATGGCACGGCAACGTCTCATTCTCAATTTCAAGTTTTTGATGAGAGTAAAATCGTATTGGCCTATAGTTGACTTCTCTGTAAGTCTTTTTCCTACCAAGCGTTGTATAAGTCTCTGTTTCTTTCTGTCTTGTTATTTAGAAAACCTTCAATATGGGTCGAAAAGGCTGATCATAAACTGTTTTAGGTGTCTCGCCTACGAACTTTCCAGAACTCTTGCCGTAATTCCATATCTGACCCATTTGTTTTAGACAATTGGATGGCCCGTTTCCTTACAGAACATTCTTCTTCGCTTGCAGAGAGACAGACACACGACTCGGTGTCATCGGGTCTCGGTGCCGAAAGGCTACCTACGCAGTCTGCTGAGTATATCGAGGAGCTTCCTAGTATCGCACAAAGCTCGGGGACTCTAAATACCCCCAATCCTGTGGCACTAGAAGGATCTCAATCGAAGGAACCTGAGAATGCCTGGGACGGCTTGTCTTATCTTATGAATGATCAGAGCATCACTAATGAGGCTCTTGCTGATAACGCAATTGACTGGCTACTGAAAGACTAGGATGCCATGAAGGTAGAGTTACAGTCATTTTGTGAGACAAGCATCTATGACTGGCTAGAATGTCAATGTTGATACCAAGGAAATGGCTGCCAGCAAATATGCTAACCTTTTCCACCACATAATCATACAACTGCTTCCACATGGGCAGACTTGGTGTCCTTCGTCCCCGCGATGCTTTGTCCATCATCCATGTCCTCGGCTTTATCCCCAGTATTCAAGGCAGAAGGAGGGTCACCAAACAGCTCAGCGATCTGTTCCAATGTTTTGCCTCCAGTCTCTGGGAGAAAGAAAAAGTAAATAAAAGCAGCCACAAAGTTCGTGGCAATGAAAAGTGAATAATATTTCCAACTGACATTCTCCAGTGCGGTTGGTGTGATCTGCGATAGGACGATTGCAGCGACGGATTTGCCGAACACAGCAAGCCCAAGCCCGGTCGAGCGAAGAAAGAATGGGAAGAGCTCCGAAGGGACAACCCAAACCATCGCGTTGAAGAAGACTGCATAAGCACAGGAATAGAGGAAGACCATTGCGATGGCCGCACGGGCACCACTGAGATCGCCACCACTCTTGTCTCCATACACAGCTGATAACGCCATGCAAATGGCAATCAAACACGACAGGACCAGTGAGCCTGTCCACAATGTGCGAGTACGCGGCCACTTGTCTGCTACCACAAAGAGGTAGATGATCTGACCGATGACGCCCATGAAGCCATAAACTCCACTGATCAAAAGCGAAGTCTTTCCGGTAAACCCTACCGTCTCATAAAAGCTGGTTTGGTAGTTTTGAATGACTTGAGACCCACTAAACTGACCCATGACAACAATAAAGCACGCAATAAGCGTGCGGTGAAGATAACGACGGGAAAATAACTTAGCACAAGCAACCTGGAAGCTTGTAACCTCAGTTGCTTCTGCTTGTATCTGTTCCCGGATCTGTGCGAGTTCTTGAGACAAGGAGGCCTCATCCCTTTCAGATCCTTGCAGCATTGTTAGGACGGCGCGGGCTTCTTCATAGCGCTCACCTTGGATCACTGAAGAGCTTGATCATTAGACACTTGCTTCAAAAAGGAGAGTCCCATGCAAGATGATACGGCGTGACTTACACCAACGGGGGCTATAAGGTATAAAGCAGCACCCAAGGACCAGCAGCAGAGGGCCAGGAATTTGCATTGCCAGCGGAATTCGCCATTGGGCGTCGTCCTTAGCAAATGCGCCCCCATATCCGATCCAGTTGGCTATGCAGAAGCCAATGGCAATCATGAAGCCCTGCAAGCCAACAATGAATCCACGTTGATGGGGAGGGGACACTTCGGCTATATAGATGGGAACAACCGTCAAAAGCATGCCGCAGCCAATTCCAGCGAAAAATCTTCCTGCAATCATCATTCCTGCATTGACAGCGGCGGACTGAAGAACGGCACCGATAATTGCTGGATAAACACATCCGTTTAGCAACAGGTTCAATCAACATAACACCAACAAAAGTTGAAGGGTTATGTTCAAAGTACGGAAAGGGGGCAAGAGGACTCTTACCCACTACGGCACTTCCGCAAATAGTCCATCGCCTACTAAACTTGTTGGCTGAATACCCTGCTATGAATGTACCGAGAGCCTGACCAACATTGTACAAGGAAACAATGGCCCCTAGCAAAGTGCTTTATTAGTACCACATCTTAAAAGGAAGCAAAAAATGAAGCAGAGACATGTTACTTTACCTTTCAGCCCAGCATTCTCACCAGTTGGTCCGAACATGGCATACTTGAAGGTATCATGGCCCAAGGTGGTTGCGATGATCCCTGATAATCGTCAACGGCCATTGATGATCTCCCATGGGGTTCAATGGAGACGTACCTGAGTCCACTCCATATACGAAGCCTCCCAGAGCCACCACCAGTGTGATCAAGACAAGGTTAAGGGAAAGCATATCTGCAATGTCCAAGTGGAGGGGGGCAGCCTGCTTGTTGCGTACATGAATTCGCTGCACCCCGATTCTTCCGGTCCTCTTTATATACTGTTGACTCTTGCCTTCTCCGCTTAGTTATACTGTCTATACCGTCTATGCGGTGGCTATACCATCAATACCCCATGGGGTAGCCTTAGCCTTGATTCGGTTACTAAGGTTAGCCCTAAGCTGTAACCATGCGGGGAGCGGCGGCGACTCTCCAATGAGAAGCCGACAACGCCGCCGGCATTCTTTTGTATGTCCCACTTACACTTCTAATGCACTGATCACCTGCAGCCTGGGTCTCGCGTTCGCTCTCCAGCTCTTCATCTAACTGGCTACATGGCATGCATATTGCTCCATATTTCGGGGTCTCGGACGAATGTGTTACGAGGCGACCCATACATCGGCAATAGACACCTCGACGGCGTATTCATGAGAACCGTATAAGAACGGACGACGAGGGGAAATATGAAGCTCCAGGAGTACTTCGCTTCCCACACTTGTGGAAAATCTTAACATAGTTTTTCTTTCTCACTTTCACCTGAATTTACCACGTACCCTCGTTATGATAAGCCGACTGGCTATCACACCCCCCTCAGCCGAACAACACCCGACTGGCTTTGGTGTGGGGAACGCGACTCCCCGCTTATCCTGGAGATTCCTTAACACAAATGAGGACTGTCCACTAGGATGGGAACAGACTTCGTACGAGATCCAAATTGGTCGGTCCCAAGACTCACCCATAGAGACATATGAAGTGGCCAGCAATAAGTCAGTCCTGGTGCCTTGGCCAAGCTCCCCTTTACAGTCGCGGGAAAGCGTTCAGGTGCGAGTTCGAGCTCACGGTACATGTATTGAGAAGACTCAAGCGGAACCTACAAATTGGTCCCCTTGGTCTACGATTGAATGTGCCCTGCTCCATCGTGACGACTGGAAGGGCCTTCCCATTGCCAGTCTCGAAGCTCCGCCTCATGACACCCCCCTGCGGCCAGTACGATTTCGCAAATTCTTCCATATCTCCGGTACAGATACCATCAGTCGGGCTCGACTATACATCACCAGCCTAGGAGTGTATCGCGCCTTTATCAATGGTCAGGTGGTGGGAGATCAATGCATGGCTCCTGGCTGGACAAGCTACCGACATCGCCTTAACTACCAGGTGTTTGATGTCGCAGCTCTACTAAATCGAAGCGGACCAAATGTAATCGCGGTCGAGGTGGGCGAAGGATGGTATGCTACACGTCTAGGATTCCGTGGTGGTCGCCGAAAATTGTATGGCGATAAGTTAGCGTTACTGGCCCAGCTAGAGGTGCAGTCTGAGCAGGACAAGTCCTTTTCACTGGCCACCGATTCTACCTGGACATGTCACCCAAGTGCAATCCTGCGGAGTGAACTTTATGATGGCGAAGTTTACGATGCGCGAGAGGAGAACCCTAATTGGAATAGTGCTCTTGAGAGTATTGATTCTTCTTGGAATCCTGTGCAGGAGTTACAGTTCCCATCAGCAACTTTGGTAGCTCCGGAAGCGCCACCCGTGCGCGTGACAGAGGAGGTTAAAGCAGTGGAAGTTCTACGTACTCCATCAGGAAAGACCGTTGTTGATTTCGGTCAGAACCTTGTCGGTCGGTTGCGTGTCCGCTGCATAAACAAGCATGAAGGCGAGAAAGTCACCTTCACACATGCGGAGGTCCTGGAGCACGGCGAGCTAGGAACTCGCCCATTGCGAGCCGCAAAGTGCCGGGATGAATTTATCTCTGCTGGAAGAGAAGTCACGGATTGGACTCCGCAACATACCTTCCACGGATTCCGATATGTACAAGTAGAAGGATGGACTGACCAAGATCCACCCTTACTGACAACCCTTGCGGCATTGGTAATGCACACTGATATGACTCGCAGTGGCTGGTTCCAATGTTCACACCCGATGGTTAACCAGTTGCATCAGAATGCCTGGTGGAGTATGCGCGGGAACTTCCTCTCCATTCCAACAGATTGTCCCCAGCGAGATGAGCGCCTCGGATGGACGGGAGACATTCAAGTTTTCTGCCCGTCGGCGAATTTTCTCTACAATACGGCCGGGATGCTGGGGCACTGGCTGGAAGATGTGGCTGCAGAACAGCTTAAAGACGGTAACGGCTGCGTTCCGCCATTTGTGGTACCAAATGTGATCAGCGAGGAGTTGTGGCCACATCAGGTACCCCAAGCAATCTGGGATGATGTAGTTATCTTGACTCCTTGGACTCTCTACCTCTCTTACGGAGACGCAGACATCCTCCGCCGACAATACCCCAGTATGCTGGCCTGGATCGACCGAGGAATAAAACGGGGTCCCGATGGACTCTGGGATCCCCAAGTGTGGCAGTTAGGAGACTGGCTAGATCCAACAGCACCGCCAATCGAACCAGGGGACGCCCGAACAAACGGCACACTAGTTGCCGATGCCTATTTGGTCCATGTCACTTCGGTCATGGCTCAAATCAGTGAGGCCCTAGGCGAAACGGCAGACGCCACCCGATTCCAGGCCGACTCCAACCGACTAAAGGCAACTTTCCAGGAGAAGTATATCGCACCATCAGGCTTGCTCGTTGGAGACACCCAGACAGCACTAAGCCTGGCACTCATGTACGACCTCCACTCAACGACCGATCAGGCCATAGAAGCTGCAAACCGACTCGTACTTCAAGTCCGGCAAGCCAAGTTTCGAGTAGCCACGGGGTTTGCCGGTACCCCGATCATCGCCCATGCACTAACCAAGACCGGCCATCACCAAATCGCCTACCGCATGTTACTAGAGAAGAGCCGGCCATCCTGGATGTACCCGATCACCATGGGAGCAACCACAATATGGGAACGCTGGGACAGCATGCTCCCCGACGGATCCATCAACCCGGGCGAGATGACCAGCTTCAACCACTACGCTCTCGGCTCCATCATCAACTGGCTTCATTACAGCGTGGCTGGCGTGTGTCCTATCGCTCCTGGATGGAAGCAGTTCCGGGTTGAACCCATCCCCGGTGGTAGTATCGATTCAGCTGAAGTTGCCTATGATACGCCCTACGGGAGAATAGAATGTCGATGGGCCTTCGACAAGACGGAGGATCGCTTCAGCTTGGATCTATTAGTACCTCCGAATTCGCGCGCGCTCGTCATCTTACCTAGCGAGGAAAGATGGGAAAAGAGGGTCTCCCTGAAGGCTGACGATGAAGATGGTACATGGATTGGATCTGGGCACCACCAGTTCTCATGCCGATGGAGCGTGGAGAGTCACCGTGGTGATTGGCCCCCTAAACCCATTATTCCTATCATGCGGAAGCCGGGGCCGGAGACCATTGCTTGATGTGGGTATATAGACTTAGCTTTCTACCTTTAGACATGCATGTTAGCGATAGAATTGAATGAAATACATTGTTTCAGAGACAGCAATTTAGAAACACGAGACACCTAGGTAATGTGTCCATCAAATCTATCATGATTTCAAGATAGTTGCAATGAGTTCAAAGCCCTTCCTACTGGATGCTAAATACTTGAATCTCCTAGCATAAAGGAAAAGTTTACTGAGCATGAACGAGAGTGGAACAACGACAATATTTTAGAATTCGATGACCATCTACATGCTAAAATTGCCACAAGGAGACAGCACAATCATGTCTCTAAGAAGCAAACATCTATGCCAGTGCAGCCTCCAAATCCATCACACTAACAGTGACCTTGTTCGACTCTCCTTGAAGCACACCGCCACCGTTCAGCAAGAGATAGTTATCCTTCTCCTGCAAGATGCGCAATGACCGAGTATAGCTCGCGCTCTCCGGAGTAGAGATCTCCGTCCATTCGCCTTCGCCCAGGGCCTGGTTGACAAAAACAGAGCCCAAGTTGCCGCAGCTGACAACAAGGGTGCCATTCTCACCGCCGAAGGGAGTCCACACATTGTAAGGGGAACCTGTGGGCTGAGTGCCACTTGACACGACGAGCTTCTGGTGTGGGGCCGCGAGGAAGTTCTCGGGGTCCGCAGAGATACGGTAATAGACGGGGAAGGAATAGTCGGAGGTGCCGAAGAATGACCCATATTCGTAGGTCATGATGAATTCACCAGTTGGCAGCTGTCGAGGCGGGAGTCAGTTGTGTATGTGAGCGAGAGAAGGTTAGCAACATACCTTGGTGACAACGGGCATACCCGGGCGATCAGTGTAGGTAGGATATGTGCTAGAAACAAATAGATCGTGTCAGCCATGGATGTGTTTATTTTGTATCGAAAAGAGCTTGCCAACTTACACATCGTCGATTACATCACCCCAGTTCTTCAGGTCAGTCGTGGTTTGGTGAACCAGCTTCTGGCCATAGGTTTCGTTGGCTCTCTGGTCCGAGTAGAAGCAGATCAACTTTCCATTGCTGTTGAACGAAGGTTAGAGACTGGTCTGGGGTAATGCACAATCTAGTATCACACTTACTGGGCAAGAAGGAATGGCTCCCAGACTGGAGTCAATCCGTTGTTAGGAAGTGCTTCACCTCCGGCAGCGATATGGCTCACAAACTCCCATGTGACGCCAGAGTCGCGAGAAGCATACAGATCGATCTGTGTAGTCGCGAGGTCCGTTGGGATGCTGCTCCCAGCTAGCAGGATGGTACCAGCCTCGTACGATCCAATTGACTCTTCCAGGTAGTAAAGGAACGGCTGGTAGCGCAGGCCTAGTCCATTGGCTGTATCTTCCACGCGAGACAGTTCGCTCCAGGTCTTACCGCTATCGGTTGAGCGATAGATTGGGAAATAGACCGCTGGTGGCTCGGGAGAGTAGTTTTCCCAGGTAGCTAATAGATCTCCATTGGGTAATTGGAGGTTGCGAGCGTAGAGAGTACGAGGAATGACATAGTCAGATGGCGGACTGAAGATGGTTACCTCGGAGAAAGTAGTTGAGGTCTTGGCCTTGGGGATGCTCGCCGCAAGAGCCAACGGCGCGGCTAGAAGGAAACGGAGGAAACGCATTAGTGAAGATTAAGAGTCTATACGAGTCTAGTCAAAAGCATACCTCTCTCATAAGAAGGACGGGGGCTTTTAAGCTGCCTTTTATAGCAGTACGGCAATTCTCGTGACCGTTGTACTGGAGTACTTCCCCAGACCCCAGATCAATGTTCGTGCTTGTGTGGGGAAATGCCATGGACTCATCCCACCGGAAATACTCCAAAAATGGCCGAGACAAGTCTTTTGGTCTTGTATAGCTTCATGAAAACCCCACCAATCGCACAGCTGACCAGGAGCAATGACCATCTTGGAAATGCATCTAGGAACGTGAACATAGTTAGACGATGTCATACTATTTTCTTGGTGACCGAAGAACATACGCAATCCGAGGTCTTCCATGTTGGCGATTGGGACGCTGTCTGACGTATGAGGTCTCTGTCGGGATCATGCAATACCTTTGTAGCAGTTCAACTGTCTTTTGCTGCGACATTGTCTGGAGATGCCCAGGTGGAAGTTAATAGAAGAGCAACAAACAAACCTATATTCAGTGTCACATGTCAGCACCTGATCTTGTCCACATGAATAGTGCTGAAATGCACCATGACTAGAATCTGGAAATATGTATTGATATCTCACAGAGCTCTTGTTACATTCGACGTCTGTATCTCAATTATTCTTATGATTGACATGATTCGACTGAATATGTGCAAGTGTTGATCCAGAGGGGTGTAGCTATTGGGATGACTATAGATGGATTCGATTTTTCCTTGTTCTTGTATTTCTTGAGAAGATGGTAAGTCAATACACTTAGATTGTACAGTAGTTTAGCCTGAGCCACATAGATGGCCTGGATATAATTTTATCCATGATAATTTACAAGAACAAACTTTTAAAGCAATATTTACTTCTGGACTGAGATGAGTATACAACAAATATTTCCACCTTGGCTTATGTATGCAAGTAACAAAGTCTCCTTCAATCTCAATCCTCGATGGTCTAACGGTCATGATTTCCGCTTGTCATCTCATATGAGAACAAGCGCGGGAGACCTGGGTTCGACTCCCAGTCGGGGAGATCTTTTTGTGCTTTTGCACACTGTAACCTCGTTTGTTTTTGGTTCCTCTTAATTGATCCCGTTGATAGCTCTTGTTCAAGAGAAGCTCCCTTCGCCTTCATTTTGATTCTATTCTATTATTCCCCATGTCATCCAACTCCTAGGGCTGACTACTTTTAAGTTGATACTATATCAAATAACTTGATGAACGGCTATGCCGCGAACCACCACACTAGCACTAGCTCTAGTCGAGAATACCCTACAGGATGTATCAAAGACATGTGAATCATCCGATCTAGTCCGGGCTTCATACAATCCTATGGTGTACGGTACTAGGCTTTCCCTAGTTTTCTATGTGGTGGGTTATTCGCCAATAGCAGAGGATTTGTAATTGTGAAAGCGTCTAGTCAGGTACTAGGGCCTCAACCACAACGATGTTCCATGGAAATATATTTCTTTTCTTTTCTTTTTGTTCAGAATTTCTTTCTCAGTGTCATCAGAGGCTGCGGACCTTTACCGGACTCTTCAATTCTGCCATCATAACTTCTTCCTATTTTCTTCGCGAGCACATGGGACTCCTGGAGTTGTAGTACCTCGCTCAGGCTATGAATGGCCTAGTTCAGTTGGTTCTTATATCGCTGGGAAGAATTTGTTCAGGCCGTAGTGTTGGAGGTACCAGTGAACTATAGTGGCTTATGCCCGCGGCATATGCATTTCTTGCGGCTTCGAGGTGGACCAAAGTTTCCATTCTGACCACCCCTAACAGTGCATAAACCGCGCGCCAGGTATACCGATAGCTAAAAGTTACTACTAGATACTGGAACTTGCATATGAGTCCTCAATCAACGTTGGTTGTTTCGACGACGCGACATGGGGTGTCTCCCTTGTAGAAAGACCAGACGGACGAAAGCAGTATTTTTCTTCAGCACTATATCAATCGGACCTATCGCACTCAGCAAAGGTTGTTGATAGTAAGGCGAACTCACACAGGCTCTCTTCGATACCAGCGGTGCCTTTGGTGTTTTAGGGGGTGGGGAATCGAAGGCCCAGAATCAGGACATGGCAGCCGTAGTATACAGTAGCGCTGGCACTGTCGTGTTACATTGGACGGTGATCCGCTATCACAACAATAGCCATTCAGTCCAGGTGGTAAGCCTGGTGAAAAACAAGGTAGGACCGTAGGAATAGCTGGGAGAAAAAGTACGGAATACAAAGTAAGGTTGAATAGGCTGATCGTAGAGCAAAAAAAGATCTCCCCGACTGGGAGTCGAACCCAGGTCTCCCGCGCTTGTTCTCATATGAGATGACAAGCGGAAATCATGACCGTTAGACCATCGAGGATTAGTGATGAAATTATATATCCTCGATTTTGCTATATCAAGCAAAGTTACCCAGTACCCAAGAGCTTAGCCGCTGGGATGGAGTGGCTCTATAAAGTGAGCCTGTCGTCTTCCCTGCGTATGTTGCTTTTCAGTCAGTCAGGGTCAGTTATTTTCCTGGACATTGAGATTACGATATTCTAGCGTGCACTCTAGGCTCCGTAGTGCTTTCTTGTATAGGCATGGGTGGCATCGAAGAAACGAATGTGCTCAGGTCCATGGATTGATTAGTGTCGATAGATCTTGAGCTGGGTGAAGTGGAGAGAGCAAAGTATACACTACAGCTAGAAAACCATTTTTCTTGGGTTCTTAAAACTCTGTCTAGTGTTGTTTAGTGATTTCATGCATTGTATAACTGCGAAATCCTTATTGTACTCTAGTCTCTATCTTGCATCTCGGACTCTCCCAAAAAGGGTTACTCAGACATTTATAGCACCCTTCCCTACTCTCAGTGATAATGTCAAAAGTTGAACCCTAATATATATCAATTCCTCGATGGTCTAACGGTCATGATTTCCGCTTGTCATCTCACACGAGAACAAGCGCGGGAGACCTGGGTTCGACTCCCAGTCGGGGAGCTTCTGTTTTTGTTTTGCTTCAAGTTTCTTTTTTCTTATCATTTGTTGCAGGATCACTTCATACTGATCCCTCCCAGCTGTCGAACAGCCTCTTTAGTACTGAAGGAAGTGGCAAGAGCCAAGGATAAGTCACTATAACAAACAGTGTATCCTCCGGTCTACATAGACAAATGTGCCCTGTTGTAGGGACGAAAAGGGGGCTTTCTGCAACAATACTGGGAATGGATTTCTTGTCGAGCTAGACGTTTTGGCGTTATTGCAAAAGGGAAGGTGTTGAGATCTTGGACAAAGGTTAGTATGTATTGTCGTTGCCATGCGACTCGGTGGTCTCGAAGCTGTAAACAACGCAGCATGGAGATTCGTCGTGAGACGTAAATCTTGTTGATCGATGAAGATAAGTTTGTTTTCAGTATGCCAAACATAGGATAGAGCGTCATATCGATAATGCCCTTGGTCACTTTCTGATATAGAGTTATTAGCCAATTGACATTCTATCGTGGTAGTAGATGGGAATGCGAATTGTATTGGGTACTCAGGGAGTGAACTGCAGCGGTATTGAGACATGTGCTGCGGTAAATCAGGCTGCTACGGCCTCCAATACCTAGTATTCAGAAAGACAAAGTATCAAATAGTAACTTGGTAGGCATCTGAGCGAGATGAGGGGGCTTGACATCTGTATAATCTTTAGCAAAACCACTTCAGTATGCATACCACTACAGAAGACAAACACTGCATATACTGCTAATTGGGTAGACTTTATAGTTCCAAGACCTGTACAACAGTATATGCACAGTCCTTTTGTACAGTACTTGTTACTATGGTAACTATTGAATCTCTTTGTTTAGTCACACAAAGCAGAACTCGATCAAACAGTCGGGTCAATGCACGAAAGTCAAGCCAGGGGTAGTCCATACATGCTCAATTAACTGCATTACTTCTGAGTCAAACAAGGGAGACAGGAGAAAACGTATGCACATGTTCAGGCAACCACCGGCGCTGAACAGGCAGACAACACTTGCAGTCTCTATACAAGCCGAGTTACAGTCTTTTACTATGAACCTTCAGCTACAACCGGGTTACGTCTTGACTGGAACTCTATGTTGTGATTAACTTTAAGCTCAATATTACCTCGTCATCGACATCATGTCAGCAACCATCCGGTCGTCCATCGTTGATCTCGACAAGCTAATCCCCAGACCCGAGGATATCGATCGCGAAGGTAGCCTTACTCCGTGTCACCCCCAGTTGTCTAGTGGTACGTTTCATTTACTGACACACAACCCCAAGATAAGGATGTAGAACAATTAACTCCCTGGATTTTCCGACAAACCGATATCGCAAAAGGAAACTGTACGCGTGATTGGCCGCAACAAGATGATTCATTTCGCAGACTCTTTGACCTGCTTGATTCCCAATACGTCCACATAGATTACCTTGATGCCAGAAACGCAGGCATTGCAAGTGCCTTGAAGACAAATGAGACAATTACTTTACCTAGAAAAAACTGGAGAGTATCTGACAGAGAATATCATCAAACATTTCTTCTGGCGCAGGCTATGATGCTGAATGAGCTGATGAAGGATGTTTATCGCAATCTTGATGGTATCGAAGATCAAGGGCTCGAGGTCAAGTGGGTTCTCCTTCTTGTTGTCCCGAGTGGAGGTCTCTATGCTAACTACACTTTGTTGAAGCTTTACTGCCTCGAATTTTAAGATGCTATATGTGATCGGCCGTAAACAATATGCTACTAAGCCTGAGGGTGCGGTTACTGTTGGACCGAAAGATGAGAACTTGCCAATTATCTCGTATACCGGGGTATGTACTGTCTATATACTCATGACTTCTTCCGTCCTTCACTCGGTGGCCATCCGTCTGATATTCTCCAGTGGTATGCGAGACAAACCTGGAACGAGTTCCTAGGAGAGACCCTCAGCGTAATGCTGGGGCAACTTGCTCAAAACATGACCGTTCGAACAGGCAAACCAGGTGTTCAAGACCAAGAGGTCTTCGTGGTGGGATTTCACGGGCCGCATGTTCATATTGCTCGGGCATTCTTCGCTGCTGATTTAGTTGCGAGAGTACACCCAAGAGGATGTTCCAATGACGAAGACCTTGAGCTGAAATTCACGCGGGACTATGACCTCTCTCTGAAGAAAGATTGGCTCGAAGCTACACGTGCCTTGGCGAGGCTGTTTCGATATCTTCTCAGTGGACGTGCAAAAGTTGCTTCGGTACAGGGCTACTTGAACGGTTCAGCTAATACAGCAGGGGAAAGTATGTAGGCTGCTGGTATGCCCTTGAACTGGGTTCAACAGGGTATCGGCCGGTATCTGTAATTGTTATTAACCCCCAAGACCAATCTGTACTATGTATCTACCGCTACAACTACCACCTTTCTGCTGGACTAGAGTAGAACATAAACTCCTCGGCATGTCTAAACAGTCAATAATTAAGTACGAAGAGAGAAGTTTAGATCCCATTATATATTTACTTGCCTGCTTTTCGGCTGATCACAATACCTTGCCATTCATCCAGTTCCTACTGTCACGGTGTCACCTATAGAAGCTGTATACAGACATCATGTACTAACCAACATAAATATAAACTTTAACTCTGATTTGTATACGCGCAGGAACGTTACATTCACGGTAATACGCTAACAGGGTACAACCGGGCGACGGGGTCCACTCCGCAACAAGATCTTCCAATGCAAATGTGTGGCAGTACATACCCATACATTAATTAGTACATCTACTTATTCACTTCGTCTTCTGAGTCACACTTCTTTCCTAGAGCACTGCCACTATCTACTACTACCTATCTACCCCCCTTCCAAAGACTAATAGATTTCCCGAAAATTAGACTTCCGTATACAATCACCCCCCCAAAAACAGCCCAAACCACAATGCCCCAAGCCACAACAACCCCAGAACCAAGAGTAGGCATTGGTGCCTTCATCCTCAACAAGAAGGGCGAAGTCCTCCTAGGCAAGAGAAAAGGCAGTCACGGTGCAGGTGAGCCTTTCTCTACTATACTTCCCCCACCCGCCCTCATCCTTCCCAAAAACGCCGGTTTACATACTTGACTCGATCCATATACCCCAAAACTAACATGGTAACTCAGGCACCTGGGCTCTAGCGGGAGGTCATCTCGAGTTCGGCGAGACCTTCGAGAACTGTGCCGAGCGGGAGGTCTTGGAAGAGACGGGTCTGACTATCGGGAACGTTCAGTTTCTAACGGCCACTAATAATGTCATGCTGGATGAGAATAAACATTACGTGACGGTCTTTGTGAGCGGGGATATTTGTGGTGATGTTGTGGAGCCGAAGGTGAGTTCTTGCTTCTTCTTCTTCTTCTTCTCCTCCTTCCTCCTTTCAGTTCTTTGGGGTAGGTTGTTCGGTGTATCGTGATGGATGGGCTGATTCTTGGGGACAGCTGATGGAGCCGGAGAAATGTGAGGCGTGGGAGTGGGTGGCTTGGGACGAGATTGTCGCGCTGGCTCAAGATGCTATGGCTGGGAAGGAGAGTGGTGAGAAGAAGAAGAAGTTGTTTTCACCACTGGTGAATCTGGTAGAGCAGCGGCCTGGATTTCGTCCAGTCTTGAACTAGCTGCTGCTTTTATTTGTATATCGATACTTGATGAGTAGTATGAGATCCATGTTTCAAGAAACTCGAGGGTTCCGCATATATTCTTTGAGAGTATTTTTTTACAAAAGCGGTTGGCTCTTTCATAAAAATGGTTCATTTGTTTCTGCATGCTATATACAATCCCTTCTCTATATGAATGCTGGGTAGAACAAGAACTTGGTATCTCCCTAACCGTGTAAATGCAACCAACAACATAGGACACGCAGGCTTTTGACCCACCCAAAAAAGAATACATAAATATGATATCTATCGTAGATCCGCAGGCGTAACAGGGTATAAAGGTCATTAACATCACTGAACGAGAAAATGTGTAGGCACAAGAGAGGCAACTACCAACCACCCCCGATCTTCCCGGCCAACTCAACGACACGGGTAGTATCAATAGGGGCATCTTTGGGTTTGCCAACATCGCTCTCAACCTCACGATAAGTCGTATAGACAAGTTTCGAAAGAGGAATCTTCATAAAGTCGGACCAATACTCAAAAGCCTCATGAACCCTAGCCTCCCTTTCAGGGATGGTGAGGGGCTGTGCCTGGCCATCCATTTCGCCTTCGGTGTCAGACTCGGCAGAGAAATATGCTTCGTCGACACGAGCGAGCCAGGCCCGCTGCTCGTTCGGGGTTGGCTTGGATGGGTTCTCTGCTGCCGTTACTGGCTGTGCGCTAGAGCTTATTTCTCTGGCATCTTCAATACGTATCTGCCCTCCGCCATTGGTACAGCCACCGGGACACGCCATAACTTCCACGTAAGCATAATCCGTCCCAGACCCAGCAGAAGCGCCGTTTCTCGAGATTGGCTGTCGCCGATTGCCGCCCGCTGAAGCTGCAGACACTCTGGCTCCAGGAAGCCGTGACACACGTGCAGGCTTGAGCTTCCGGACAAGATTCTGGATGTTCCTGAAACCGTAATAGCGAGCGGCTTTCATGAGGGTTTCGCCTCCAGGAGACAAAAGCGAGTACTCCACAACATCAGCATTTCTCCCCCTCTGGGTCGCAATCTCACTTCCAGGATTTTTAGCTTGGAAAGTCTTGAGAACGTGATGAAGGTAACCGCCAGATGTACCGGTCTCCATGGACTGTTCCGACGCATTGTGCTTGCGGAACAGGAACGCGTTAAGTGTCTCATCTGGGAATTGTGGGGCAAATGATGGCGCAAGAGATTTCAGCGGTAGTGTAGGGAGAGATATCCCACGGGATGAAGCCAATGTAAGTAGCTCTCGAGTAGTAATGACACAATCAACATCACGGACAGGCTTATTCTCAGTCGAAGCTGCCCCACTGTCAAGAGGGGACCATGACACATCAGTGAGTTCTTCTCGACTGGCCTCAAGCTTCTTATCAAAGCAAGGCATGATCGCGAGATGCCATATACGGGAAGGCGGCACACCCAGAGCCTTGCTTAGCACGGTCTTCAGAAAGGTGCCCGTCAATGCTTGAGGGGACTTCAGTCGAGAAAGGTGTGGGAGTACGAAAGGGTGTGTCTTCTCAGCATAGCAAATCCATCCCGGACAGGCTGATGACAGAATTGGCCGCTTAGGGAGAGAATCCTTTGAAGTACCTCTTGGAGATGGTTCCTTCAAAGTCTCGCTAACTTCGTCCGCTGTAAGAACGAGTACTGCTTCACGCATGACGTTGGTATCGACAACCCAAGTGAAGCCGCTACCGTGTTTTCCTCCAGCCCGTAAGCCATTGGGCCCGCTTAGAAACTGGTCGATCATGTATGTCGCTTCCTTTTCTGAGATGCCATAGGTAGCAGCCAAGCTTGCCCTCACTTGAGGGCTAACACTTGCAACGAAAATCCTACTTTCTCCATCAAGCACATTACTCTTGTCAATGTGAGGCCCGTTGTTGTTCTGTATCAATGGTAATTCGGGATATGCGTCAAGGGTATTGAGGACCTCGGCATGCGATTGCAGCGAGATCAGCACCGCCTCAGCGGAGGTGACGCAGCCTGAACAGGCAAGACAGTCGGTCAACGATATCTGTGCTGGGGGCAGGTTTTCAGGTTGAACTTTATCTTCCGTGGTCACTTCGTATGGGTTCTATAGGTTAAAGAAGTCAGTGTCCATCGGCTTTGAAGGTGAGGGGACCGGTATTAAGAATATCGAACATACTTGTGAATCTGATGACTCATTCTTCGGAAGCGTCTCTACCGGTTTGATACAAGCAACACCGGGAGAGATGAAATCGTTCAAGTCGTCTGCTGATAAAATGGCACTCATTGTGGCGCACGCCGCAGAAGCCCCGCCTGAGGATTATCAAGGGAAGAGATAACGCCACACGAAGGAGTGCTGGGATAGGGTTTTTAATGCTGTTCTTAAGACTCGGGTTTAATGTATCTAGATTGGAGTCAAAAGGATGGACCGCGATCAGTCGTAACTTGAGTCAAGAGAGAGGAGGGGAAGAAAAGTAGATCTATAGATTGGAGAAGATCGAGAGGAGAAATATATCGTTAGTCATGAATTAACAGTGAGATAGCAGCGCTTTGTCATCGGTTGTGGCGAATCCCAGGCCACGGATTAGAAGCGCACCCGCCGATCGGTGCTGATAAGCTCACCGCCTACCCGCTTCCGCCTGGTTGCCCTCGTATAATATATTTTGCCGATCGTTCGTGTTGACAGTGACTCAGGTACAAGAGTCACGGTATCGAGGCTGGGATGTATAAGAGGATCTTCTTCTCACTCAAAGGTGTCATTAGAAATATTCCTTTGAAATACCATCTACTTGAAATTGGCCGAAGTAGTAATTCATATTTGTACTGTTTACGTATCTACTATCGACCCCACTACGAACATGTCCAGCTCCAAGCCTCCACAGAACTCCACCGGCTCGAATAGGAGAGCTCTCTTGAGTTCGACTGCAAAGGAAACCAAGGCACTCCTTCCTCAGATCTTAGCTGTGCTTCCCCATGCTCCTCCTACTGGGATTCGTTGCTCACGTGATACGATACCGGTGTTGGACTTCAAGTATAGTCCAAATCTCAACACCCAAGTGGAAGTTGTGAATGGCGACGCTTTCAATATAGCTATCAGCCTCACCAATCCCACGGACACCAGAAGCGTCTGCGTACTGAATCTGGCTAGCGATAAGAGTGCAGGTGGTGGTTGGCTTCGGGGAGCCTTGGCCCAGGAGGAAGAGCTTTGTTATCGTAGTAGTCTTAGTTTTACGCTTAAGCTGCGATACTACCCTTTACGAAATCACGATGCTATCTACTCTCCAACCGTTGTTGTGTTTCGTGAGAATTTCACAGATGGACACAGATTAATGGATCTACAAAGGCCCGAGTCTCTACCCATTGTCAGCGTGGTCAGTATGGCCGCATTGAGGAGGCCGGATGTAATCCGGAACACAAAGCCTCCACGGTACAAACACATCGCGGATCGCGCGGTGACCAAGGACAAAATGCGTGTGATTCTCCGTATTGCAGCTTACAACAAGCATCGGAAACTTGTTCTAGGTGCCTTTGGCTGTGGTGCCTTCGATAACCCAAAGGAAGAGGTTGCGAACTGTTGGGCAGAGGTTTTGCAGGAACCGGAGTTTCAAGGATGGTGGGAGAGCATAGTGTTTGCGGTTCTGGAAAACACAGGCGACCTCGCCAAAAGCAAGGGGAATTTCAATGTCTTCCACAGCAGGTTGCATGGGATGAGAGTATAGCCAATGTAATAATAGAAAATGCAGTGCTCCACTAAGGCATGGCTCATGAAGCGGTAGGTCAATGCTTCATGAGCGGTCTAGATATACATAGTTCAATTATTGAAGACTCGAGAGATTGTAAGGGCGAAGCAGTATCCCAGAACTCATTTCTTGAGCCGAGCGGAACGCCTTCTCCCCGTAGACGGTGTGCCGTCTACTTCAGGTTTCTTCTCGTCATCGGCGTCCTTGATCAGCTGGGCTCCTTTCTTCGATCCTGCTTTCTTCACCTTTGGCTCTTCCTCGCTTGCCTCTGCATCACTTTCAACCTTAGGCACTATTTCTCGCTTCCGTTTATTCTGCGTATCGCCATCCTCTATCTTAACGTCTTTCGCTACAGGACCGGTCTTTTTCTGGACACTCGGAACCACAGCACTTGTCCTACCACCGACAGTAAGGAAGGTAATTTTATCTCCATTCGGCAGAGTGGGAGAGGCATTTTTCTTCCCTTTCGACCATCGGTATTTGAACAACCAGTCCTCTGGAAACTTGTCGGAGTCTGCCAGCAAATCCACTGAGGTTGAGCAGACGTAATGAATGGCTGAGTGAAGTTCTTTGACTTGATCGTCAGTCAAGGTGTTGCTGTATTGCTCTGGGTGAATTCTTGCATGGTAGAGAATCTCATCTCTATGTAATAGTCAGTACCCATCCCACCATCAATCAACGGCTAGTTGGTAACAAACCCCATCCAATTGCCAATCCCGCTTATGTTCGCTTGGTCCAGAAGTAAAGCCTTGACGGGGACCTTCTTGCTCCTTAGCTTGCCTGCCAACCAGCCTTCGGTCACCGTGTCCTTATCCGCTACAGGGTCTGGGCCATTCTCTTTGAGGGGGCTGAATTTTCGAATCTGCTCCGCAGGACAATCCACCAGTCTTATCCTGCCTAGCCTGCGGAAGTCAACAAAGGCAGCCTCTGTCTTTGGGTCCTCATCCGTTTCCAGCAAAAACTTCCAGTATTTGGGGGGCCATTCTTTGTCTTGTGGCTTATCAGTCCGGTAGTAGTATGTGTCAGCATTTCGAATTTTCAGCCAGCCTGCCATGCCAAAATGCATTACGACATGCGGCGGCGACGCCATGGCTATCCAGAAGTATTTGCCTTGCTGTCCTGCACCAACGATCTTCTTTCCCTCCATTGCTTTCTGAAACTCCGAGGCACTCGTCCCTGCCTTACCATAGACAATGTCATCATTTTGCGTAGATACCTTAGCGAGAGTCTTGCCGACAAGATGCAGGTGTATGAAATGGACGATACGTGAGACTTCGGCTAGCTCAGGCATAATGTTGGTCAGGTAGATTGCACGATTGAAGATCCACTCTCAACAAATCTTTATACAGATGAATATCTATCTGGATGGAATGCTAGCAAATATCGCTTTCTGATACAATTTAAGATACAATGCAAATGTTGAAGGGACGTTGAAGTCCTCTTACAATGCATGCAACGCGTCACGGGTCACGAAGTCCCGTGATCGAGAGCTATCGATAAGAATCTAGCCGTTTTGGGCAAATACCTTATGATTCCATTCCATCCAACACCAACGGCTCGTCTTGTCTGAGAGACTCTCCACTGCACGTAATCCTCGACAAAGAGTCAAGCGTCATTTATATTGGCCGAATCCCTCAGTCTTTGGTCGTATTATCCGGACAACAACCCTTGAGACCCTCACAAGAGTTCCAAATACCACACTATTACTCATCCGCCATCCCGCCACTTTGTCTACTGTTTTCGTGCACCCCTTCAACGTGGTACAATCTGGAGTGGTTTTGGACTGAGAAGGGCAGTTCGGGACGGGAGTCTACACAGGCCGAGCATCCAAAAATGACTCGGGCAACGTCAACATCGGCTCCCGAACTGAGCCCCCAATTTTGCTTCAATGAGAGATTGCTCCGAGGTATGCCTTAGCGACAACGACCATCTAACCATGACAATGGAATCTCAAGCTTATCGACCATTTCCCCGCTTTATAGATTTCCTACGTCTATCCAGATCGACAATAGACGATTCCATTACCCAGAACCTCAATGCTCTGTTCACCCCATCGCGGGAGGGCTTCGATCCTTCTTCGACTGCTGTGCGTCAAACAGATTCTGAAGTGGGGCGTACAATAGACCCCGCTGCATGTCAGAACTTCAAAGACAACGTTCTATTCCCCTCATGGCAGACACGATCGGACGTGCTCAACTACTGCGCCGGCGTCGCTACAAGCCCCGACCCGGACGACCCGGATCTTGTTCTTCGGCAGACCGAATCTGCCAAGGATCGAGAGCGAGTCGTCAATGAACGTTTAGATCCGTACTCCGGGCGATTTTTCCCTCGCGAGGCACGAACTGAGTCCTTAGCGAATCTTGTCCGGAATCAGCGCAATGTTGAGGAGATCATCCGTGCACGAACATGGGGTCTCGTGACCGAAAGATGCAATGGCTCATCGATAGGCTGGGAAGAAGCGCTCAATAGCTGGCGGGAAAGAAAGCAACGATGATCGCAGACAGGAAGAGCTGATACCAATAGCTTTTCCAACCTTGGGAATAGCTATTTGAGAGGGTAACGAACAGTCGATATGTTTTTCGTCAGGCTTATACGGGCATCCAGTCATGATTCAAGATATAATGTATATACTCAATGTGTACACTAGTTGCATATATAAAGCGTTCCTTGATGAAATTATGAATACCCCGATGTGAAGCAGGCGTCGGCATAGAAAGCAGCGCAGTATATAAATACCAGGTCAATCGTTGTCTCACACACTCTTGACAAAATACTAGCCAGCATACGACAGGAATTTGCTGGCACTGATTGTTGGGCATAGATCCGAGTTTAGGGCTGTCGGGGTTCGATTTATGCACGCAAGCGTCCATCTCGGATAAATTATTATTTCGTCCATTTGCCGGTCTGTCCTCGAGAACCTGCGATCGGGAAGGAACATTGAGCTTGAATCGCAGTGGGCAAAACCCTTCTGGGCTGCAACAAGGACCAATTCAAAATTGGTTTGTCTGTTACTCCTTCTCTGTTGGTCATAGCTTATCATTGCCTAATCGCTCGTCGGTCCCGAAGGAACAATTAAATCACCCCCCGCGCACACCAGCTTCAGTCCGTCGACACACAAGTCAACCAACTTGCAGTCCCTCACCCACCCATCATGCCACAACCATTGAGTTCTAAGGACGCATCCTTGTTCCGCCAGGTGGTTCGCCACTATGAGAATAAACAACATAAGAAAGGTGAGCTCCTGTGCGGAATTGGAACCAGTGTCAGCCCACTAAAAGTTGCTTGTCCTCAACAGGTATCAAGACCGCGGAGCAAATTCTTCGGAAGAACCCCAACCATGGCGATACCCTAGCAATGAAGGCGTTGATTACCAGCAACCTTGGACAGCAAGAAGAGGCCTTTGCGATGGCCAAGGAAGCTCTCAAGAATGACATGAAATCGCACATCTGCTGGCACGTTTACGGTCTGCTATATCGAGCGGAGAAGAACTACGAGGAGGCAATCAAGGCATACAGATTCGCATTGAGGATTGAACCGGAGTCTCAGCCTATCCAGCGTGACCTTGCCCTGCTTCAGATGCAAATGCGGGATTACCAGGGATATATCCAGAGCCGAACCACCATGCTCCAGGCCCGACCCGCTTTCCGCCAGAACTGGACGGCTTTGGCTATCGCACATCATTTGGCAGGAGATCTGGAAGAGGCGGAGAAGGTGTTAACGACGTATGAGGAGACCTTGAAGTCCACGCCACCAGTTTCCGACATGGAGCACTCGGAAGCCGTTCTGTACAAGAATTCGATTATGGCCGAGGCAGGCAAGCTCGAGCAGGCTTTAGAACACCTCGAAACCGTGGGTCACAGAATTACGGATGTGCTGGCCGTCATGGAGATGAAGGCGGACTACCTTCTGCGGCTTGACAGGAAGGCGGAGGCAGAGGCCGCGTACACTGCGCTTCTCGACCGCAATCCCGAGAACTCGATGTACTATGATGCTCTGATCAGAGCTAAGGGTGTTGCCGACGATGACCACTCGGCTCTGAAGGCTGTATACGACTCTTGGGTGGAGAAGAACCCTCGTGGCGATGCTCCTCGTCGGATCCCACTGGACTTCTTGGAAGGTGAGGATTTCAAGCAAGCTGCTGATGCTTACTTGCAACGTATGCTCAAGAAGGGCGTTCCTTCTCTTTTTGCGAATATCAAATCCCTATACACCAACACTTGGAAACGTGACACAGTGCAGGAGTTGGTGGAAGGCTACGTTTCCGCACCTCAAACCAACGGTTCTGCGGAAGGCGAGGCGAACGGCGACAACAAGGATTTCCTCTCTTCCTCCCACTATTTCCTCGCGCAGCACTACAACTACCACCTCAGCCGCAATCTGACCAAGGCCATGGAGCATGTCGACAAGGCTATCGAGCTGTCTCCTAAGGCCGTAGAATACCAGATGACCAAGGCCAGGATCTGGAAGCATTATGGTAACATCGAGAAAGCGGCAGAGGAAATGGAGAAGGCTAGGCAGCTGGATGAGAAGGACCGTTATATCAACTCCAAGGCAGCCAAGTACCAACTTCGCAACAATGACAACGATAAGGCACTTGAAAACATGAGCAAATTTACTCGGAATGAGGCTGTCGGTGGTGCGATGGGCGATCTTCACGAGATGCAGTGTGTCTGGTATCTGACCGAGGATGGCGAGTCTTATCTGCGCCAGAAGAAACTTGGGCTTGCACTCAAGCGCTTCCATGGAATCTACAATATCTTCGACACGTGGCAAGAAGACCAGTTTGACTTCCATAGCTTCTCATTGAGGAAGGGCATGGTCAGGGCATATGTTGACATGGTCCGCTGGGAGGATCGCTTGCGTCAACATCCCTTCTACACTCGGGCAGCTCTTTCTGCCATCAGGGCATACCTGCTTCTCCACGACCAACCAGACCTCGCTCATGGGCCCTTGCCCAACGGTGCCGAGGGTGACGCTGACAGCGCTGAGCGTAAGAAGGCTCTCAAGAAGGCCAAGAAGGAGCAAGAGCGACTGGAGAAGATTGAGGCCGACAAGAGAGCGGCAAGGAAAGCAGCAAGCACCAAGGGTGGTGATGGTGAAGTGAAGAAGGAAGACCCCGACCCGCTTGGCAACAAGCTTGTCCAGACCCAGGAGCCACTCAAGGAGGCAACCAAGTTCCTGACTCCGCTCTTGGAGTCCAGCCCCAAGAGCATTGAGGCCCAGAATCTTGGATTCGAGGTCTATCTCAGGAGAGGTAAGAAGACTAACCCATGCAATATCACAGTGACCTCAACTAACTTGATCTGCAGGTAAATATGCGCTCGCACTCAAATGCCTCTCGGCCGCCCATGCAATTGATGCTTCCAACCCAACCCTTCACATTCAGCTTCTCCGTTTCCGCAAGGCATTGGACGGTCTCTCTGAGCCACTGCCACCTCAGGTGGCTGAGGTTGTAAATGCCGAGTTTGAGACTCTGCTCCCGAAGGCCCAGAGCCTCGACGAGTGGAATGACTCTTTCCTGTCGGCACACAAGGACAGCGCGCCCCACACACAAGCAGGCCTGACATGCCGGCAGCTACTGAAAGCAGACTCCAAGGCGCAGTGTGAGAAGGATCTCACCGCCACCCTTGACTCGCAAATTGATAGCATCGAGACCGCTCTTGCTGGCCTGCAATTGTTGGACGAGTGGAAAAGCGACCAGGCCGCAAAGACCGCTTACGCTGAGAAGGCCAAGAGCAAGTGGCCTGAGTCGTCAGTATTCCAGCTGAACTAAGATGATGTCATGGAGAAGAGTACAATCAGTCTCTTCCAATACCTCTCAACTGCGGGGAATATTTGCAGTTGATTTTCCAGACCCGAGTATAGAAGTCAAGAGTTTTACGGCCTAAGAATGAGGGTGGAGTTACACTGCTATAACAATGAAGAAAAAAAGCCCAACTTTTCTGATATAAGATATCAAGCGATCGGAACACCCGGAGATGATGTACCAGTACTAGTATAGTTAAGATTTCACCAGTCGAACTGGGAGCTAACCAGCTAGTGTGTGAAAGGATCAAAAGCAAACTTTCCCTTCATTTTCTTGTTTCTTTCTTGCTCACCCAGGTTGCGTAAATATATCCTGTATTGTATAGAGCGAGGATAGAGTCAATGTTAACTATTAGACCATTTCTCAACACCTGGGCATAGCGGAAAATATGCAAAGAGGGAAGTTTGTCTGATACCGAACAACACATCGAATCCAGTATGTACGAGTAGAAATTTAATGCCGTAACTAGACTAATATACAGTATAGATTCATTTGTTGGTACAGTAGATGAGGTATATCCTATGTTCACCATCCCAACCAATGCTGGTGTATATAACCCAAACACACATATCTAGAGCTTCCGTTCCATAACCATGCGAGATATCAATTTGAACTGGGCCGTGAATCACTGGTCGTCCTCTCCGTCAATGTTTCCAAGGATAGGCTTCCTCTTGAGGGTTTCCTCGTCCTCTCCGTATCCGTACTTAATCCACATACGCTGCCAGAAAGGAACGGGTGTGGGCCGCTCCTGACCAAGGATGTATTCTGCGCCCTCGGCAATCCGTTGCGAGCGGGCTTCATCTTCGGGCGAAAGGACGTAGCGCTGCATTCGGGCTGCGATACGGGAATCCAGAACGACAGAGTCCACCCATTCGCGCTCCTTATCAGGGTTCGCCTCATCCTTCTTGTGCGCGGACTTGTGCCAGTCCTTTTCTTCCTCTTCGAGAAGCGTTTGTTGTTCGTAGTTTCCACCCATCAGGTTATCGGAGGCTGAAGCGGCGTCGATATCCGCTGGGGTTAGTTCGGAGTCTGTGCTGAATGAACCATCGTTGTATGGCCGGGTCGTCGAGGCGAGAACGATGCCAGCAACCTCTCGTCCGACGCTATCGGCGAGGTGGCGCTGGTTCAAGTATCGGTACATTCTGATAGGAGTGTTCAAGAATCCTAGAATGTGAGGGAAATGGATCGGAACGGAGCCATCCAAGGACTGTGGGAGAGATCGTGGGAGGTTTTGTGACGAGTAGTCGGCGGGAGTGATGTATGCTGGGGTCGGGCCGGTAGGTTTCGGTTTCTCTTCCTTCTTCTCTTCCTTCTTCTCAGGCTCTTCTTTCTTCTCGGCGTTCTCTGCGGTAGGGGTGTCATCGGGAGAGCCACTGGTCTCTGCTCCCTCAGATGGTGACGGCACATCTATCGAAACAGGCGGCTGGGGAGGGTCGAGTGGTCCAAGCCAGCCCTCATGGAGACCTCGGATATACTCTTTCCAAGTATTACGTCCGATGATCAGATCGCCCTTGGGAACTGGCTCCTCCACCACTCCCATCTTCTCCCTAGCCTCCGCAACGACCTCTTCAATGCCAGTTTCTTCCACCACAGAGCTTGACTCGCCGGACTTCCTCCTAGACTTGCGAATTCGCTCCGCAAGGCCAGCGCGGATGTCGCCTTCCCGCCGTCCTTCGATCACCTGGTAGTCCAAGGCCGCGGCGACTAGTATAGGCTTGACATATTCTTTGAAGTGTTCCCGGGCAACGCGAAGACCATCGCCAGGAGGGGCCGACAGAAAGACTGTAAGCTTCCGTCGCGTTTGATCAATTGGGAGAGGCTCCTTGGAAAGGTGCGCCACCAAGTCACACCACTTCTGTTGTGTACGCTTCTTCTGTTTGCGGTCATAGACCAGGGCAGCGGTGAAAGAGCCGGTTACTGTGAGAAAGATCATCCAATTGCGGGAAGGAAGTTTAAGGCGGAAGTTGGGCATCCCTTAGATAGAATGGTTAGTCCCAATTGATATGAGACACAGGACGTAGTCGGGGACTTACCCATCATTTTCCATACTGGGTTCGGTGCCTTCGTAGGCTTTGCCGCGGTCTGCGTCTGGCCAGAGGCCGCAGCGGAATTCGAAGATTCCGCCATGGTCTCCGAGAGTGGAGGGGGATTTGGCCGAATATGACACGGAGGATATCAAATGGTGTTATTAAGGATGTGGTATATAACCAGATTGGCACGGTATGGTACTAGGGAGGGAGTATCCCTTCTTCTTGGATGCGTATCATAGTCCATTTGCCCAAAAAAAGTTCGGGATCTCTGCGCCGCTCCGTCATCCGGAACATGGTTAATCCGATGGAAGAAGGGTATTTTTTTCTGCGCGGCATTCTAAAGCACTAGTGGTACAGAGTATACACATGAGAGATGTCTCGAACTTGTAGCTACTTCCCCAAGGTAGATCAATTCGTTCAGTTCCAAACCACCTTTTGGAACTCTGGTTGAGGGTTGAAGGGAATTATCATCGACAAGATGAGGTGCTTCCGTGGCCCACCTTTGAGAGATGGATACCCTAGGTTATGGAGTAATTACACAGTACTCCGTACTCCGTAGTTCATATTACTAGGGGGGGAGATGGATGGGCTAGTTAGTTTCTCCCCCAGAAGAAGCATTCATATGGATGGAACTCCGGGCAATAGAGTTGAGACGAAGATCTTCTATTTATAATTAACTCGGGTTGACTATTCCTCACGATCCAAGTCTATCTCTTTGAGGACATCGAAACAATAGAAGTATATGTGGCTGAGTCAGCCGGGGAGGACCAATCGGGGCGGTTTGTCAGGTGGGAATCGAAGTGGCGCCAAGCGAGTGAAGAGCCGGCCAAGGTGCCTGGCAGCCCCAGGCCAATAAAGCCAACCCCCCCTGTTCCGCACTCGTGGCACCAATGGTTTTCCGTAGGCGTGGAATGGCTAATGAACCCAAAAGTCCAGACTCCAGTAAAAAAGTTACAGACTTGGACTAGTCGGACAACAGGAGGAGCGACTGGCTCACGCTCCTGCTCCTGGTCTCACACCACGGGCGTTTCAACTTCTCCCCAGTCTTTCCCCTTCTTTTAGATCTCTGTCTCTCTTTTCCTTGGTAACAACCCCTTCCTCAACTCATACGGCACAGAGAGTGAGAGACCGTAATACCCGTGTCTCTCTCCTTTGTCTGTCCGTGGAGTACGGAGTTGTCCACTCCACTAATTATCCGCCCCTCTTGATTACTTGTCGCACTCGACCTCCTGAGCCACCGCTCCTTTGGGCAATTCCCCTCCCCCTTGAAGGTCTTCACTTTTCACCTCAAACCGCCTCCTGTCCCATTTTTAAAGACCCCCTCATCCGGGACGGAGTGACCACCGGAGGGACTTTGTATAAAGATGGATCCCAATAATAACCGTCTCCACCTGAACTTCGGGTACAACGAGCGTGGTTTCAATGCGGCGGCCAACAACCGCGCATATCCCACAACTCCTTCCGCGTTCCCTCAGCCGATCTACCAAAACCAAGGCCCTCAGGATTACATGGATGCTCAAAACGGAGCCTACAACCAGGGATATTTCATGGCAAACCCATATCCTCCTCAGGCCGCCTACGCTCAGCAGCATTATGGGCAGTCAAACTTGCAGTCCCCGCAGCCCGCATATCAATCACGCATGGGGTACAGCGCCAACGATGGAACCAACGGCCTCATCCAGCAGTTCTCCAACCAGGACCTGAACTCGAACCGGACTGGCTTCTTCGGTCGTTCAGGCTCTCCGGCTCAGAGACCTCGTACCGCTGGCTCGTCCGCCCCGGGACAGCAACAGCCTGGCCATCTAGCCCCGCCAATGCCGCGCAGCCCCCGGACTCCCGCCGAGAATGAAGAACTCCAACGCTACCCAGAGCGATACTCAGAGAATGTCCACAAACGTGGTAAGGCCGCTAAGGAGCTGGTGAATGTTTTCTTCCACGAGAACATTGAGCGTGCGCGCGATCGTAACATGCGGTAAGTCCCACATGAATGGTTGGAATAAGGAACTTGAACTTGATCAACTAATGTCCGTGCTGGAATAAACAGTTCTACGAACCTGGACAAGATGATCCAAGACCCGAGTATCTCCAAGGATGCCAAGCGTCAGGAGGGAGAAACTATTGCGAAGAAGGAGTCGAACTTCCTCCGATTCCTTCGGACCAAGGAGACGCCGTCGAACTTCCAGACTATTAAGGTTATTGGAAAGGGTGCATTTGGTGAGGTTAAGCTTGTGCAAAGGAAGACCGACGGCAAAATCTATGCGCTTAAGTCTTTAATCAAGACTGAAATGTTCAAGAAAGACCAGCTGGCCCACGTTCGCGCCGAGCGTGATATCTTGGCTGATTCCAAGGATAACCCTTGGCTTGTGAAGTTACACGCTTCGTTCCAGGACACCGCATACCTCTACCTTTTGATGGAGTTCTTACCTGGTGGTGACCTGATGACCATGCTGATCAAGTACGAAATCTTCTCCGAGGACATCACTAGATTCTACATGGCAGAGATTGTGATGGCTATCGAAGCAGTCCACAAACTAGGCTTCCTTCATCGGTAAGTTGGTCGCTTGTCATATCGCTTGTTCCATCGCTGTCCTCCCGGCTGTTTTTCTTCTTTTACTTGTTTTTTTTTTTTTTTTGTTTGACGCATTCATTTGTGCTCAAAATAATATACTGACAGCAACTCAATTACAGTGATATCAAACCTGACAATATTCTTCTCGACCGTGGTGGTCATGTTAAGCTTACCGATTTCGGTCTCTCGACTGGCGGCAAGAAGACTCATGACAATTCATACTATCAAAACTTGTTGAAGAATTCTACCTCCAAGGATAAGAACCGTAACTCGGGATACTTTAGTGATGCGATTAATCTCACGGTATCAAACCGTGGCCAAATTAACACATGGAGAAAGTCCCGTCGAGCCATGGCTTATTCAACGGTCGGCACGCCTGACTACATTGCGCCTGAAATTTTCAACGGTCAAGGATACACCTATCTTTGTGATTGGTGGTCAGTTGGTGCTATCATGTTTGAATGTCTTGTGGGATGGCCACCTTTCTGTGCTGAGGATACTACCGATACCTACAGGAAGATCGTGAACTGGAGGGAATGTCTCTATTTCCCTGAAGAGCTTACTCTTTCTCGCGAATCCGAGGGCTTAATCCGAAGGTATTTACCCCCGCCCGTTCTTGGCACTATATTCACATGCATGGGCCTGACCATTTTATACAGCTTCCTTTGTGATGCAGAGCACCGTGTTGGCAATGACGGCGGCCAGTTCGGTGGTGCCACGCAGATCAAGAACCATCCGTTCTTCCGTGGTGTTGTTTGGGAGCAGCTTCGCAATATTCGCGCTCCCTTCGAACCTCGGCTGAGCTCGAATATCGACGTGTCCTACTTCCCCATTGACGAAATTCCTCAGGAAGATACCAGTGCTATCCATCGTGCTCAGGCCCGTGCCATGCCCGAGGAACAGGAGGCTGAAATGAGCCTTCCGTTCATCGGATATACATACAAGGCATTCAATGCCTTCCAGAATAACTGAGAATCGAACTGATACTCGGAATGATCGCTGTATGCAGGATGAGCGCCTCGGAAAGCCGGTCCGCGGGCAGGCTTGCGCGGAAGTCTTTCCGGCAGCTTATCTAGGATACATTCTCGACATATCTTTGTTCGTTTGATTTCATCTAGCGTCTAGCGCATTTGGCATTTCATGTCATTGATAACGACCTGTGCATCTTCCTTACTATGTTTGCATGTCGCAAGACGACGCCCGCTAGTTGCACACTGTGTCTAGCCTTAAGAACTACAAACAAGTTCATGATTTGGTTGAAAGTTCAGAGCCTGTGACACCTACAAGTGCAGATCACGAATGACTGGCTACTTTTGTTACCTCTAGCTTGATGCATCAATGCATTTATCAGGAAAAATACCCAAAGTACAAAGTTGTACCTTTTACATCTCAGTCTAGTTTGCATATAAAATAGTTGGTGGTGATCCCATGAAATACTTGAACTTGGTAATAGGCTTCAATCCTTGTAAATTTCCCGTGGCACTCAGTAATGTTCCAGGTTGATGTTTGTACCAGCTGAGACGGAGAAAGAGTTAGATATAATAAAGGACGCCATCGGAAGGCCTGCTCTCGGCCAAATTACAATAGCTGGGGTAACATGAATTTGAATCACATAAAGCTGCAGTAAAAAACAGATCCTCAAACGCCCTATGCACCTCCGTTGAATGGAAAGATAATTTCGTCAACTTTTCCTTCTCATGCAGACCCATACGTAACCACCACTTTAGGCGGCTCACTTGGGGTCCATCGGTGCCAGACCTGGGACACCGCTAAATCTTTCCTCTCGTTCAGTCTTGAACATGATCTGAACCCAGAATTCCTTGCTATCTTCATCGAACCATGTCCAATAGCGACCCTCCCTACGGTCAATCTCCCGAGCCTGAAGCTTGAAACCACACGTCTGATATGGCTCCGCGGCTACGACAAGATATTGAAAGTTCTTGTCCGGGGGGTCCTCCACCTTCTGCTCAAAGGCCGACATGAACCGTACTCGGGGCTGAACACCTGGTGTGATTTCCTGATACTGCAGCTGAAACAGTAAACCTAGCTGCCGCGTCAATGGATCTCTGATCTTTGTGATCTTGTAGCCAGGCCGACCAATCTTGATGGTCTGCTTCTTAACCTGAACGCCCATCGCACCCGGCAGCGTCGATGGATCCTGATTCTTTCCTTCCCTTTGCTCCCTCGCAGCACGTCTAGCCAGGTTTGTCTGATGCTTGCGGCCTTGGGTATGGGCGAGGTAAGAGCCATCGTTCTGGTGAACCGTCAAACACAGACGACACTCGAAACTTCCGACATGGTTCTTAAAGAAGTACGGGTCCTTATCCAGGTCGATTGTCTCGAGGGCGAGCTTGCGAAGACGCTCGCGACGGTCGGCGTTGGTCGCGGATTGCGATGCGACACCACCGCCACCGAATTTGGACCCTGCACGATTCTTCAACGGCGTTAGCATACAAAACACACAGTAGATAGAGCAGTCATAAGAAGAGGGTATCGACTCACCTGGAAATCCATTATGATTTGCCTTGAAAAAAAACTTTGGGTATTCCTGATAGTAGCGGAGGAGAACAGCGCGGCGGGTGATAAGCTTCAAAGGGAAATTCCACGGAAATCTTATGTCAGCAGTCTTGCCGATTATCATTGGATGAGAGGGACTGTTTGTCCTACTAATTGACAGCCCATGAGCTTTAAGTCAACTATAGAATGTCCGTGGAATGCCTGCGAATAGGGTAATCTGCACAGAAGAGCTTCTGATAATGGATTCAACAAGTTTTGTGTGCCAACGGCGATCCTATAATGGCGAATTGTGCACCGTCCGCTACGCGGGGAAAGTTGCAGGCACCACCGGCGAATGGTTAGGTGTGGAATGGGACGACCCAACACGGGGGAAGCACTCTGGAGAGCATGGAGGAGTGAGATATTTTACATGTACAGCATCTATCTCTTATTCTTGACAATTAATCTGTTCTGGCAAATCTGTTCGCATCTTACTGCACTTGCTCATACTTATCATAGGCAAAAGAAAGCACCCCACTGCAGGGTCGTTTGTGCGTCCGTCTCGAGCTGCAGACCAGCCTAGAAGCTTCCTAGAGGCTCTGCGTGAGAAGTACGCATCTGAGTTTGAAGAGGAAGCCGCCAGGAGAAAGCTTGGTGGTGCTGTCTCCGGCGATGCTCTACACAAACCGATTGAAATCAGCGGCAAGGTTGTAGAAGAAGTTGGTTTCGACAAAATCCGAAAACAACTTGCCGAGCTGCAAGAGCTGAAGATTGTTCTCTTAGATGGGCTACGGGTCGCAGGAGTCCTTGCTCATGATGGTAGCACAGAACAAATCCAGTCAGTCTGCAATGAGATCGAGCAGACCTGCCCTAAGATTATCGAGGTTGATCTCAGTCGAAATCTTCTGAATCGTTGGGGTGATGTTGCAAGTATATGTGACTCACTCAAGCGCCTGAGAACATTGAAGTTGAAGTAAGTGGCATTTAACATGTGTAATCCATTGTGACTAACGCAATTAATAGTGGAAACCGAATAGGTCCTGTGGAGGGAGGCTTGAAATTCGAGAGGATTGCAGAGCTTCAGTTGGATGACACGCTTCTCTCTTGCGATGAGGTATATCGAAGTTACCTGGATCTGAGTTTGCATCGACTAACTAGTCATTCACAGATATCAGCTTTGACATATCAATTTTCGTCCCTAGCTACTTTAACCGCCTCCGCTAACCAGATTTCAACTATCTCATCAACCCTTTCGAGCACAATCACGACATTATCCTTGGAGGATAATGAGATCTCTTCTCTATCTTCCCTCAGAAAGCTTACGTCCATGAATAGTCTGAACCGTCTTTCACTACGCGGAAATCAAGTTGATAAGATCTATGAAACCAATTCAGATGAAGCATGCCCTCTACGGTTTTCAAACAACCTTCAGTCGGTCGATCTGTCCAGGAATAGAATTGACAATTGGCTTTTCATCAACCATATATCACTTGTATTTCCTGGACTACAAACTCTCCGCATATCTGGGAATCCTCTCTACGACCAACCGGTGGGCCCATCAACGATCACTGGGTTGCCAGAGAAAACAATGACAGTAGACGAGGCATATATGCTAACTCTTTCTCGAATTTCCTCGTTAAAAATGCTCAACTACGGCACAATAACAGAAAAGGATCGCAGCAATGGAGAGCTCTATTACCTCTCGCTCATCGGCAAGGAGTTATCTGCTTTCCCGGAAAGCGCGGAGCGGGAGATCCTCGCAAAGCACCCTAGATATAGTGAACTTTGTGGAATGTATGGTGAGCCTATGATTAAGAGAGCTACAGCGTCGACAGGGTCAGGTGCTGCTGTGAATCCACGGTCTGTTGCTGCACGCTTGTTGAGGTTAGCATTCAGCTTACGCCGAGATTTACCGATGACTGGCACCTCAGACACGAATCAAGACAATGCGTCAAGGGAGGAAATCAAAGTGAAGGAGATACCCCGATCGTTTGATACTTATCAAGTTAAGGCCATTGTTTCGCGTCTGTTTGGCCTGGCGCCTTATGAGTTCAGGTTGATTTGGGAGACGGACGAGTTGGACCCCGTCAGTAAACAGAATATAGATGATGAGGACGGATGGGATAGTGAAGATGAGGGTAACAAGCCCTCGCAACCGAGCGATAACTCCGCGTTCGTTAAAAGAGAGGTTGAGCTTGTGGATAGTACGAAAGATATTGGATTCTTGTTCCAGTCTGATCTTACTGAGGCGAAGATCAGAGTCGAGTTAGCAACACAGCCCTGACATGAACGTGGCGTTATGTAATTAGAGCCTTTACATGGATGAGTTACGGTGAATACCTTGGTGATATCAGATATACTATATTCATGTTGGTATTTGCATTTTTAATAAAATCCAAAAAGGTGAATATATACTTCAATGTGACGGTGACCAACCCCGTGATTACTATATCGGGATTAGCTCCGATCGCGCTCAGGAAGCATCATTTATCGCCGAGTCGCAATAAAAGTGATATCATTTAGCTATCGAATAACTCATATACCACGAAAATCTTCCACACGCTGGGCGAAGAACAATCCTTTAAAAATGGCAGAGCATTGGAAGTCAGCCGTAAGCTTTGATCACTTTCCAATTTTATTCGCATCATTGTCTAAGCTTTTTCGCAAGACACCCAACCCAAGCAGCTAACATAATTACAGCCCAGATACTGGTGCAAACAATGCAAGATATTCATCCGAGACACAGCATTCGAAAAAACCCAACATGAAGCAACGGGCAAGCACCAAGGAAACCTGAAGCGATTCCTCCGGGACATCCACCGAGACAACGAGCGCCAACAGCGGGAAACCCAGAGGGCCAAGAATGAGGTTGAACGACTAAGAGGAATTGTCTCCGGTAATGCAGCTGGAAACGGCGGCAATGCAGCTTCCTGGAAACCAGCCGCGCCAGTTCCTCAAGCGCCACCGCGATCAGTCTCCCTGGACGAGAGGAAAAAGCAGATGGCGCAATTGGCGGAGATGGGTGTTGCGATTCCGGACGAGTATCGTGGCGATATGGCCCTGGCTGGGGAGTGGCAGACGGTTTCCCAGAAAGTGATTGGCGCAGATGGAGAGAAGACGGGTCCTTCGCTTGGGGTTCGCAAGCGCAAGCATGAGGGGGACGAGGAAGAAGAGGAGGCTAAACGGGAGGCGGAAAGGTTTGTTAGCAAGGGTTGGGGGTCGAGGACTAAGGAGTATCCCGGTGCGCAGGACGATGCGGATTTGGATGCCCTTCTGGAGTCTACGAAGGATGTCAAGAAAGCGAAACCTTCGGCTTCTGAGGCGACTCCGAAGGAGAATGATCAGGAGGTTGCTGACGTCCCAGCTAAGGGCGAGGGTGACTCTGCAGCTGCAGATTCCGAGCAGACGCCGCAAACTGAAAAGGAACCGTCTGAAGCGCCCCCTGCGCCTGTGGTTAAGGATGAACCAGAAGAAGCAAGTGCGGGCGTCGTTTTCAAAAAGCGCAAGCCAAAGGTTATGAGAAAATAGAACAACACTGGATATGCGCTATAATTCGTCTACGTTGCGCTGCTTTATGTACCAGATGAGTGGTCCATGCGCATACTTGCGTTCACTTACTGGTCCGCAACCAGTGCGTATCCTGAACATACACCAAGGGGCCAAGTCTGACATCCTCTCAGTTATAGCTAAGTGAGAACCCACTGAGAAAAGAGATGATATACCAGAAACGACTACAGAGCGATAAGGCCCTATTTATGCATTATGAATAGCTTGTCTACGGAAAGAATACCGAGTCAATTATAGTGTTAGATCGCCGTCATTCTTCCCGGGACCGTGGATGGATAGATCTTGGTCGACAAGATGGATCATAAGCGCGAGTTATTCGGAAGAGGGCCCGGGCTGTGCTTTCTGTATACTCAGCCATGGAGTATATCACAGCACCAAGATTTACTCGAGTGAACATCGAGGTTTCTCTTTCATGTTTTTATATTCCAAAAGGGATTATGCCAAGGAGAATTAGACATGGTCTGAAAAATGAGTGTGATTCAAGGGACACGCTTTGAACTGATCAATCTCCGATGGTGGCTACCAGTTAATTCTCCGAGATTGGCAAGGGAACCTCGTATTGGGGAGTATTGCAGAGAGTCGGACTGGGAGGATAGAATATTGTTGAATTAGTTTGATGAGATAGTACAATCCAAATGGATTCACCGTATATTTCAGATTGAATGGAAACCAATAAATCGTGGTGTTGTTGTCAGAAAGATACATTGATATAAAAAAGAGAAACGTGGTGGTGGTGTTGTTGTATTGCCACAGTCTTTCTTGGGTGGTCAATTTTTTTTTTCCCCCTTCCGTTGCAACTTTGGCAGCGTTGTCAAAAATCCGGGGAGGAGAGACTTTCTTTCCCTTAAGCTAAGTCTCACTTTTGTCGCGCAACGACCTTATCGCAACTTTCCTCGTCACAACCCACTCCAAATGCGGAGACTGTCTGGTCCCGATTTCATAGTTCTGGTGGAATAGTATTTCGGCTCGCTTCTTTTCGCTTATTTGGACCAGTACATGGTAAGTAAACGAGAAAGCTTCGTTTCATCGCTTGTCCCCGGTCACTCGCATCCGAGACACGTCTCTTTCCCCTCTATCAGCCCGAAAACCTCAGCCATTTCACTCGCTGCATTCCTGGAGATCTAGCCCTTCACTCTCTGTTTCAGTGTCGCATATGGAGACTGCACCTGGTGATGCGCGGTGGTTGTTTCCTGCTGTCAGCACTGCGGAAGATTTCATCCAGTCGCGTACCACACCCAAAGGCCATGGGTGACTATAATGTTACTGGCTCTGGCTGAGTGTGAATCTTTGGGAAGAGTGACTATACATCGCTACAATTCTCATTGAATAGCAAGATGCATACGGGCCTGCCATACGCAGACAGTCCTCGCAGTATTACACAATACATTTCCAGCCAGTGCTATGCGCAACCCGGCAGAAACCATGTCTCTTCGGTCCAGCTTTGGAATACCACCGTTCCCATCCCTGAGACAGATGTCTCTGGGCTTAGATACATATTATTGGCGGATTGATTACACTCAGCTTGCGTTGAAATGGGTTGGCTAACAGTACCTTTAAAACCGCAGCTAGAGCGCCGCACTTGTTGACGGGCACACAGCATTTTAGTCTACGGCTAAGGTTATCGACCATCGAGGATATTTTCGTTTTTGCCTTACGGTGAGGGCTCGCGCCTGCAAAATTTAATCGATTCCGCCCGACGTCAATCAATACCTGGGATTCTTTTCGCGCGACAGCACACTTTTCTTAAAGAGATCATACCACAAGGAAAATGGCGGAGACGGCAGATCCTGCAAGCACACCTGGCGAGTTGCCAAAACAGGCCGCCGAACCAACCGATGCGCTGGCTGCACCGACGAGCACCTCTGCCGAAGATTCTACGTTTTCAGCCGTGGATGTTTCTCTGCCCCCTATAGATAAATCTCTACCAGCGATGGACACCCCTGTGACAAGTGTAGACACAACGCTCCCACCACTGGACCCATCAATACCGTCTCTGCCGCCAATTGACACATCCTTACCTCCGATAGACACTACCTTGCCAGCTACAGACGGGGGTTTGGGAACAGATACGCATTTCTCGTTCGACGATCCAGACCCAAAACACGATGACGGAGGACTCGGCGGGCCGGAGCCTACTACGCATGTTTCGGCAACACCTGGTAGTAATATTGGTGAACAACCGGGACCTTCGCCTGCTCCCGACTCTTCATGGCAGCTGCCGTCCAATGGTACACATTCGCAACACCTACCTCCACTACAGAACCAATCAGTGCAACCGCAATCACAGTCGCAGTATCAGCAGCCACAGCAACAGCAACAGCAACATGCGCCGTCACAGCAGTATCAACCCCAGCAGCCACAGCAGCAGGGTCAAATGCAGTCGCAACCCCAGTCGCAACAATACCAGCAGCAGAGCTCCGACATGTATCACAACCATCAAGCTAGTTCTGCACCGATGAACGCACCCTCGATGCAGACAATGGACCATCACTCTACCCAGGGACAGACGTCGCATGTGCCACAAGCCCCCATCGGATCGCCCATGCCCCCAATGGCCTCGGTAGGCCAGTACATGACGGGTTATCCAAACAACGTTGGGCAAATGGGAATGAATTCGAGTGCGCAAATGCGGTACCAACTACCAGGAGACCCGAACAAGATGCTCTCTGGCGGCCGACATAAGAAGGAAGTCAAGCGCAGAACCAAGACAGGTTGTTTAACATGTCGAAAACGGAGAATCAAGGTACGTGATGTGAAAGAGCAGATCAAGAAGCTGTTAATCCATTTATTGTGGACGGGGAGGTTTGAGCAACAGGTTGGGTGGGCGTCGGGGAAGGAAATGTGTTGTGGTCGCTTCGCTTGTGTCGCAAGCTCTGCCTTCGGCTCGCCTGCAAGAAACCCCGCCATTCGCGGTGTCGCTTGTTGTTGCCCACTGTTTTCCTCCCCGCCCGACAACCCAATCCTGTTGCCTTTATTATTGTTTTCTGTCTTTATTTTTATGCGTGGAAAATTATTCAATATTGCCCGGTGTCACTCCCTTTCCCACATTCACACTGACGGTGGGCAATACTTTAGTGCGACGAAGGCCATCCCGTCTGCCGAAACTGCGTCAAAAGTAAACGTGAATGTTTAGGTTACGATCCGGTCTTTAAACAACAACCGACTCCTTCTGCTATACAACCAGCTCCGAACCCACATCCGTCGCTGGTGGTCAACCCGCAAGATCCTTCCACCTCGTCGTCGACCCCCACATACCCTTCTGCTCCTCCGGGTTACGTGCCTGCGGTCTCTCAGCCTTTTGCTCCGTCCGAGTCTCCCAGCACGTCCACCGAGAGATACGATTACGGCGCGCAGATCGATCCAACATTGGACGGAAACAACTCTTCGAACATGGCCAGTGTGCAGAATGCTGTAGAGGGTGGCTTGCAGCCGACTGTCAATCCGGCGAACACCACGACATCGTCGGACCCTACAAGCTTCAGAGGTGCGTTGTCGATCGGAGTGTTCTTGGCTTTACGCCCGTTCTTGTGCTTATCTCCTGTTTAGTGAAGCAAGTCCAAATCAGCGATCTTCTGGCGCTGAGAGGGATTCCTCCTCCCCCACCTCATCCTATTACTGCCATTCAGCCGAACCGTCTAGAAGAAATCAAGGCGGTGTTCCTTGCCACATATGCGCCTGCCATTGACAAATTCTTCGAGACGCGTTGGTTCCAGGAGAAGGCTTTGACTCACCTTTTGGCCAATGCCCAGCTCATGGCCGAGTATTCGGCGCTAATCGAGGCATTCAACGATCAGAACCTCAATGACCCGAATGTCATCGCACGACTAGAAAGCTTTGAAGCATCCGTGGTCTGGAGCTCCATGACGTTATGCCGTCATGTTATGAATGTGTCGAATGGAAGCCATGGCCAAGATTATGATTTATTAGCCGCTTCTAAACGACTGGACGTCATTGAGGCCATGATCACGGGCGAACATCTGGACTCGAATCCCTTGGCACAGTTTCCTCCCAGAGAAACGCCCACAAATCCCCCGTGTCTATCGGATCAGTTAGCGCAACGATCGCTGGATTTCTGGAGCGCAGTTGGCCACTTTCTTACTCTCCATGACAACGAGGCTAGTTCAGCCAAAGAGATTGACGATACACTGGGCCGTTGCCGCACGCTGTTGGATACGTTTGAAAACCGTGATGTGATCTATTCAATCGCTATTGCGCGTCATCTCGGACAGCGCTGGGCAGATTTCCCGCGCAGCTTCCCCCAACCCATCACAACGAACGAGAAGGATGCTGGAGCTAAGCTCTACGTTGCACAGAAGTTCCTCGAACAAGAAGCAGGTGGGAAAGGCACCACGCAAGTTATCAAACGTATTTGCGGTATGGTGGTCCGTTCCTGGTTCGTATCACGGGAGTAAAAAGTTATCGGGCTTTGTCCGACTTGCATTTGATGACTCTGGCGTGGATTTTGTACTATGGGAGAAAGAGCCCTCGCACACTGCCGGCGAAGTTTTTTTTGGGGCTTTTTTTTAATGATGTTTAACTAGACCTGTTCTTTCCTTTCGACCATATCCCTCACTTTCAGTGACTATATTTTTTTTCTCTATCATCATCTTGGTTTTCCTGGTATGGAGGACGTCATGACTCAGGAGTTGATTGCTATTCTTAGTCCTGTCCGCAATCAGGGCAGGACAGCACCATGGCGTTCAGGGTGCATAAGTTCTTACGAAATACAATGATGAGAGATTTGTTGTACAGTTTTCTCAAATCTAGCTTTTTGAAAAACCATATCCAACTCAAAGTTCCGTTGGAGGATGTCTCGCGACAATGTCATTCATGTAATCGTCCCACACTGAAAGCCGCCCTATGTATATGTATATACCGACGCAACCAGACGTCCCGACCCTCTATAATAAAGTCCATGTACAAGTCCAATCGAAAGTCAAAAAGGATGCAACGTAACATTTCGCATTCTTAACCAAATCTATAGATCAGCCTGTTCGGGAACAGGACTCTTCAGCTTCCCAGCTTCAATTGCCAAGCGCACATTTTCCATGGCCCATTCTTCCATGGCGGTTTGAGTCTATCACATCGCCACAAGTTAGTCTCGGTCAATGTTAGAAGGATAGGGCTGGTGAACATACCTCAACAGTCCAGGTGCCCATATGGGGGACCAGCATCACATTGGGGTTCCGGACGAGACCAGGATGAATCTTGGGTTCTTCCTCGAAGACGTCCAGACCAGCAGAGTAGACTTTGCCGCTGTCCAGGGCGTCCACGAGGGCTGCTTCGTCGATAACGGCACCACGAGCAGTGTTCACGATGACGACGCCATTTTTCATCTTGTCGAATTCGGGCTTGCCGATGATGTGGCGAGTGTTTTTCTGTGAGAGACGCATCTACGTTAGCCCATCTGGCCATATGAGATATCCACTGTAGTAGTGGATGGCTACTTAGACGGAAAACCCACATTCAAGGGCAGGTTCAAACTGATCACATCACTCGTCGCCAACAGCTCGTCAAACGTCACATAATCAGCCCCACCGGCCAGCTCCTCGGTCAACTGCCGCCGGTTATGGTAGATGACTCTCATGCCAAACGCCTCGGCCTTCTTCTTCAGGTTTCGGCCAATACCGCCCATTCCCAGAATGCCCAGTACTTTGCCCTCGGGATCATGGCCCAGGGCAGGGAGCGGTTGTCCGCGCCACTTGCCCTCGCGCAGGGCAAGCATGCCCGTGTTGAAGTTGCGGAGAGCCCCGATAATGAGGAACATGTTTACGTCGGCAGTGGCATCGTCAACGGCTGTTGGGACATTTGAGACGCGGATGGGGGGCGTGCGAGCGCTGCAGGCGTGGACGTCGACTTGATCGTATCCGGCGCCTGTATAGCCCCATTAGTTTGTGCTCAACAAAAGTAATAGCATGAGATGGGAAATGACGTAACATACCACAGTGGGCCAGGTACTTCAACGAGCTCGGAAGGGCATTCACCAATTCCTCGTCTACCAAGCCGGTGATGCTCACTGAGTCGAAGGTGCGGTATGCGGCGACGACGCCGTCGAGCTTGCCGTCTTTACATTCTTGGATGAACTCTGCACGGTTGGTTGCGGTTGGTTTGACTAATTCTGCAATATCACTCAGGGATTGCCATGTGGTATGCGCGCTGGATCATACTGTTAGATTGGCACATACTAAGACCGTTTGTATAGTATAAAGTGGGGGTTAACCGTACTGGATGATCGCTCCTAGGAGCAGAACCTTGGGTTTGGTATCGGACGAAGCCATATTTGCTACTTCTGTAAGTACAACACTTGTTAGCAAGTCGTTGGACAGATAAATGGTATATTAAAAGGAAAGGAATGAGTCAGAAGTCCACCACGCACTTGAATTAACCCGAGAGGAGATACGGCGCGGGGAAGTTGATATACTGTTCGGCCGAGTGTGTGTCGCGCCTCAATTGCTGTTGCCACAACAATCGCAAAGGGGTAATTCAGGTCGGTATGAGACCACGGACGTGCACTTTGCCTGGGACCAAAAGAACAGAAGGATAGAAGAAGAACAAGAAGCGAAGGAGGGGAAGAACGACAAGGAATTCCTCCGCCGCAACGACGAACTTCCCCCACGTGCCCCACTTCTTATCATTTCAATGTCCCTTTTGGTTGAATTTATTCTCCAACTCAAGTCGCGATGAAATGATGCCATCTAGGGCTCGGGATTACCCCGTATTTTCGCCCTCGTCTTTCTCGGCCGTAACAGGGGAGTTGCGATTGCGATTGAAGAGGCGTTCATGTCGGAGATATCCGCGATGACAATGGCTCTATACATGGGAATCTCCGACTGAGTACCCGCGGGTAAAGTGGACTATCAACAAGCCCCCGGACTTATTCAAGGTTCGGAAAACCGCCGATACAAGGCGAACGACGGATGGATCAGCGCCATAAGTATTGATATTTGCATTGGTCCAAATTTTCCAAGGTGGTTCTACAAAAGCATCCTGGTGCACAAACGGTTACCAGCTCATACAGATGAAGGCGCAACATGGTGGAATTACAACAGTCGCTATGGTCAATAACGGTGTGCATGATTAATCCGCTTCGGGAGAAGAAAGATATATAACAAGAGGCTCCTAAAATCCTTTATATTGCGGTCAAATGAACATGGAGAGTAGGAACTTAGGTTTGCCCCTCAAAAAGCACCCTCGTCCAGTCGAATCGCCTCCACCGTTTCTTAAACCCATCAACTCGTCGATCACCTCCACGGTTCCAGCGGCCCTGCCGCTTGATCACATCTGGAGCTAAATCCAACATTCCCCCGATGACTTCGCGTGCGAAGAGGTCGCCTCGGGGCCAGCGGTTGTCGTCCTCGACTACATGCCCTAAACCTCCGTCCAGTTCGAACCAGACATGGAAGTACGGCATCTCTTTCACCAGCGTACGGCGGAAGGCAGATCGGCCCAATCCTTGCTTAGATTTAGCCAGCGTGTCGATTAACTTTTTGTGTTGAGACCATTCTGACTCTGCCGCGAGAATAGCCTCTTTGAAGAAGGCAGGAGAAGTCTCCCCCAGCTCATATGGCAAGGGCACCACCTCCATTGTCGCGTGCCTCTTTCGATGAGGCTGGGCTGCATTCTCATAGAAGATAACGTCGCGGCCTTGGTCGTGATACATGCGGGTCAAGCTCTTCATGAAGTTGCGGATTTCCTCCCATTCATCATCATCGCATTCTAGAAGATTCGTCCGGTGTTGAATGGGGACAATGGTAGCACACCCTTGATTGAGTTCTGGCTCGGTGGGAAGAGTAAGATAAACCCTGGTCGCCAGAGATACCACAGGGGCAATAGGCGGGGTATTCGTATCCTCATGATGACAAAGAGGGCAATTATCCAAGATTCGGTTCAGCTTTTGGAATTCACTGATAGTCGTGTTCTTAAGGTTGATTTCAGACTGATGCACCCGTCGTGCTAGTTTGGAGGCGTTGTCATCCATGTACTCCAAATCATTCTGGTCAAGTTAGTCAGTCTCTCGGATGCGGCTATAGAATCCAATTACGGAGCTCACCTCGAATTTGGCATCTTTTGCTATTCTCTCCGCAAGCCGTTTTCCTTCTCCTCCTAACTGATCTCGGGTTCTTCGCTCCTCGCGAAGCATATCTTCAATGCTCATATCCTCGTTCTCTTCTACTTGGCCCCTCTCCCGGCCTCGTTTAGTATCCACAGCTTTGACTTCATTTCTCTTGCCAGCAAGCATCCGGTTCTGCTGGACCCCCAACACCACAACACCAGGGTCCTTCCGGTTCGCCATGGCTGCCGCGGCGGCATTGTATTGCTCTTCAAGCTCGCCAGCATCAGAAGAGCCTTTGAGCTTTGCTTTCATCATCTGCGCCTTAAGGCGGTTGAGCGCGGTTAAGTCAAGAGGTTGCGAAGTATTCTGGGGCGGTTCTGTATCGATCGGTTTGCCCTGGCCGTGAGCTTCTAGTTCCTGTTCAGGGTTCCGGACATGCTCGTGTGTATCCCGATGGACGCCCTCCTGTAGCTTTCTCTCTTGGAAAAGTTCACCCGATGGCTTTTCTTTACCTACATAGCCCTCGCCGTACCGCTCGCGACGATCTAATTCTGCCTCTTCCTCGCGTGCATCATCAAAGGAACGTAGATCTCCGAAGCGCTCGATAGCAATTTCCTCCACTGATTTTCCACTTTCCTCCGCTTCCCTGTAAACGGCATTCAGTTTAGTCATTCTCCATTGTGAGCCAGAGTCGCCGAAAGTGTAGTCAACATCGTGTTGCGCCTGCTCTTCCTGGATTTCCTCTAATGCCTTTCCGTCCTTAAGATCGTGCAAATGTTGATTCAGTTCCCTGCCATGAATCTTGAGCTCAAAGTCTGCTTGTAGCATCTTGGGCTTTGGCTCCTCCTCTAATCGCGTCGTATCACGCCGATGCACGTAGTCAATGTCCAGCGCCGATGGAGCTTCCATCCATGCATCTCTCTTTAAGCGAGTCGGTTCCTCCTGGACTTCCTCCTTCGGGGCCGACGCTTCGTCGTCTCGGCTTTCATGTCGATGTCGGCGCTTATGGGCATGGTCGCGATCGTCTCCGTGGTCGGTAGAATGGCGTGATCGTTTATGCCGATGTCTGTCCTCATCCCTGTGTCGCGAATCCCTGTGCCGATCGGATTCACGCTCTCTGGATCTGGACGAATGGCGGCGATGGTGATGATGGCGGTGGTGTCTGGAGCGATCCCGACTGTGGTCTCGGTCGCGGTGCCGATGCCGTTCTTTGTCGCTCTTCTCGCGCCGTCTCTCCTGATCCTCCGCCAATGACTTTTCAAAATCCTCCAGAGCCATATTCACTGGTGTTAGGAGTGACCCGTGCGGTGTGATACAGGTGGTGCAGTGAAAGTTCGAAAGGCGAAACTGCCGAAACAAAAGACTAAAGCGGAAAAGGCGCTAATGACGTCTGGCCGGCCTTTTGGACTCCACCCGAGCAGATCCTCAAGAAGTATTCCCCGCGCGTTTGGAAGAAATTATTCGAATTTTTCTTTCCTTTTTTTTTTATTTTTTTTTTTTATTTCCTCGACCATCACACAGCTCTCATTCTCCCGTGTCTCATGCGGTGATACATACTAGAGAGTTTTTACTACTCGAGCAATATTACACACGGGAAAGAGCAGCACTGAGAGAAATTTTACTTGACGCTATTCATCATGGCGCAATCACCCGTGGCCGTTGTCTGCGTGGGCATGGCAGGTAACAAAGATAGATGGTTTCTTGATCGATGCTACGGTGACACTAACTGGTTTTATCTTTCACATTAAGGCTCTGGAAAGACGACCTTCATGCAGCGAATTAACTCGTACCTCCACTCGCAGAAGAAGATTCCTTACGTTCTGAATCTGGACCCCGCCGTGTACTCCGTACCGTTTGAGAGTAACATCGATATCCGCGATTCCATCAATTACAAAGAGGTCATGAAACAGTACAACTTGGGCCCCAACGGTGGTATTCTGACGTCGTTGAACCTCTTTGCTACGAAGGTGGATCAGATTATCGCGCTGCTGGAGAAGCGTACCGCTCCGAACCCAAGTAACCCGTCTGCGAAGCCTATCGAGCATATCCTGGTCGACACCCCCGGACAGATCGAAGTCTTTGTATGGAGTGCATCGGGTAGTATCCTGCTTGAGACCCTGGCTTCCTCGTTTCCCACCGTGATTGCATATGTGATTGATACCCCACGGGCAAGCTCCACGAGTACTTTTATGAGTAATATGCTTTACGCTTGCAGTATTCTCTACAAGACTAAACTACCAATGATTCTGGTGTTCAATAAAACCGACGTTCAGGATGCTGAATTTGCAAAGGAGTGGATGACCGACTTTGACGCCTTCCAGCAGGCTTTGCGGGAAGAAGAGGAGTCGGGAGCCTTCGGAACAGAGGGCGGTGCTGGAGGTTTCGGGTCAGGAAGTGGATACATGGGCTCGCTACTGAACAGCATGAGTCTGATGCTCGAAGAGTTTTACCGGCATTTGAACATCGTGGGCGTGAGCTCAATGACCGGAGACGGCATCGACGAGTTCTTCCAAGCGGTCGAAGAGAAACGTCAAGAGTTCGAGCGTGACTACAAACCGGAGCTGGAGCGTAAGAAGCAGGAGCGCGAAGAGACCCAAGCAGCCCACCGGGAACAGGAACTGGGTAAGTTGATGAAAGATATGAATGTCTCTGGGTCTAGTAAGGGCAAACGTGCCGAGAACGAGGCGGAAACCGTCAGTGAAGCGGAGGAGGAGGAAGAGGAACTCGCGGCTGCCAAAAAAAGGGGAGACTACGAGGAGCCTGAGGAGGAGGATGATAGTGAGGATGAGTCGAGTGTTCCTCGTGCTGCCGATAATGATGGGCTCTCTCAGCGGTATCAGGATGCACTTGCCGATTCTAAGGGCGCACCATCCGATCAGGATCTTAGCTTTGCTAGATACTTGCGAGCGAGCCAGATGAACCAATGATTTTAAGTCTCTTTTGTTTTGCTCGTCTTGATCGATTTCCCCGGCTTTGGTCTATTGCACGGCGTTAACACAGTCCCTTTGACATCTCATACTTTTTCCAACATATGCATGAATAAATGAACTAGACACGAGATAAATGGATATACTAAAAGGCATCCTACATAAAGAAGAAAACAACTAAAGAAAAAAAAATAGTCATGTGTATAGAGGGCAAGCTCCCAGTGCAAACAAGACAAAAATAGAACTTATGATGTCAGAGCTCAAGCTCCGCCGGTTGATTGTTGCCTGTTCTTTTTTCCTTGTCACATCAGTTGGCACAAGGTGTAACAGTTCTTGTCAACTTTGTAAATTGCGACCGATCCATAATTTTCCTTGATCGATCCAATTCCATCATGGATGTATGTTCGTTGATGGTCTGCCAGCCCCGCATTTGAACAAAGACCAGCTAACGATCGTCCCACGACAGGTATTCTATGCTTATACCTACTCCACAGCGGGATGGCTCTCACTGCAGAGCATATCCTTGATCACCGTCCCGCAGATCATGACAACCTTGCTGTTGGACGAGACCAGATCGGCTTCTGGTAAGCTTTATACTATCCCAGGTTACTCAAGACAGCGTGTAATTGGCTCCATGGCTTGAAAGAACTCACCCTGACCCGTCTATAGAGATGGAGATATACTTCGCACGGTGCCTGGGGTTTAGTTTGCTCACCATTGCAGTCCTAACGGTGATGCTGACGGGATCGATCCCTTTGAACTCCACGGTGTCGGAGCCAGTGACCACAGAAGACAACGATCCCAAGGGACCATATGCCGTCCCCACATTGATCGTAACAGGGCTTTTCCAGGGATTTTCTGCCTTCTACGCGTATACCCGGTACTTGTCCTCGGGTCACACTGCCTTTGCTATAGGGATGATCGGGTACTCAATGACGGCCGCCATTGGGCTCTGGTGTGTACTCTTTGCCAGCAGTAATGGGAAGATTAGTCGGAAGACGGGAGCAGACAAGAGAACGGCAGGATTTCCATTCAAAAACACGGAGGCAGCTAAGAAACATGCGTGGAAGAAAAGCTCATGAAGGACGGGCGCCCCTAGAGGGCAAATGTCTGGATGATTCGGTTATGTCGGATACTACGGGCGATCGAGCAATTTGGATCCATAATGGGCACATTTACACCATGGATGAGTCCCGTCAAGTTCTATCTGCGTCACAAGGGCAAAAGCCAAAAAGAAAGAGGGCCAAGACCGGCGCTTATCGGGTGGCTGAACAATCGCTGTTAGTGTGTACACAGGATGCATAAATTAATTTAGAGCGAATGACGTTATCGAAGGCATGTTATTACTTGATTTGCTGCGGTGCTCCGACCGAACTGGTATCAGATGAAGATGAAGGGGTTCTTGATCAGTTCTCGTCCCGAGGCATGGCATTGCTCCTCTCCAATCCGAGACAAAAGTCGAATGCCCAGAATGACGCCTGGGAGCGAGAGATTAAAAAAGAGATTAAGGGTGAATGATTGCCAACGGAAGCCCGATGGAAGAAGATATGCCAAGAATTTAGCTGCCTGGATGCTAGTGCCCTTTAGCCTCAGGCCACCGCTGAATCCCTGCCAATCACGAGGCAGGGCTGACCACCTCCAGCCCTGACACAGGACTGGCCCTCACTCTATCCTGCAGGTCCTCCTGCTTACTTCCCCTCTTTTCCTTCCCTAAAATGTGCCGAGGATGCCGTGAGCAGGCTAGGAAAGCTACGAAGGCTTAATGTCTAATTCCCCTGGCAAGTCAGGTTGCCGGACCCATCGAATGCAACATCACCAACATTAATTAACCTGCAGCTCCGTCAGCCCACTGGAAGGAACTAGAGATGCCAAGGACTTGCTTGGCTGGTTTATGCATGAAGATAGATGGGCACTAGGGCGTGCGGCACACCACAAACTTCACCTGCAGAGTGCTGCACCTGAAAGACACTGCCAATGATCATTTGACTCGCCAGGTCAACGGGTTGGTCTTGGAGCCCTTCGCTAATGCCGATGCCGCCTCTTTGACTACCACCTTTCTTGGCTTCCCCTCTTGGCCCCTGCCGTCCCTTGATGCCAAGCGCCTTGGTCGCTCGGACTCCCGGCGGTAGGCTTGCCCACCTACCCATGGCTTGCGGAGACGGGCCCCTCATGTAGTGCCTAATGAGATACTCTGATGCCGACGGGTAGGCCGGCTGCTTGCTGGTGTCATTGGCCGCTCGAATGACTCGGAGTATTGTCGTCTTGCAGGACTTTTGTGTAACGACTGCTGGCGTGGCATATGCTTTGACTGCGAGCCCTGGATTTTCTGCGGCAGGAAAACACCCCCCCAAACAGGGCGAATGTGTGCGTGCCGAAGTTCTGATACTATCAGAAGACCTTCAAGAGCACATGCCTGTTCGCATAACCCTGGTGTAGCCCCGGCGGTTGCTTAGCTTAGCTTCTTGGGCGCGGGGCCAGAAAGTGCTTATCGCAAAGATCCCACTTCTTTGTGTGATAGCCCCTCTCGCGGCCCTTGACCAAGCCGTTCTCACTCGCCAATACCCAAAAGCGCGATATTATAGGTGGACATGGCTATTATTCTTTTTCTTTTACTTTGCTCTTCATGCAACCCCATAGATTGCCGGATTTGGCTTCACCTTGGGGCTCATGCTTCGAAGTTTAGATGCAGACAAGACCTGATCCCCCAATCAGAACCCTCGATGCCTGATAGAAGACGAAGGGAAATGCGGATATCGCGTGAGGATGCCAAGCCAAGGGAATGGGTCACGTTGATCTCTGTCGCATTGTTGGGATGATCTTCACTCCTCAAGGTATCGCCCGCGCCATTAGGCCCTCCCTGTCTTTGATATCGTTTACTCCCCTCGTTATGGCGAGCTCTTGTCAGAATTAATTGCCTGCGGGGTATACCACCTTCCCTTTGAAGGCACCAAGCCCCTATGCTGAGCGTCGGTTACTCCTTTGAGGAAAGTGTCCTATGCTGGTCTCTGCCAAACCCTGCAGCCTCGACAACTTGCCATAGCCTTGTCTTCTTCACCGTCTATCGGAGCACCGGTTCTTGACTGAAGCGGGTCAGCGTCCGTGGTGGTCATCACCAATCCCATCCTTCATCATGTCCGCTGATTGATAGAGTAATCTCCGGTGGAGCACAACGCAGTCCTCTGAGAGATGCAATGTTACCCTGTGAGTTTCAACCACGGCCTGTAGTACAGAGCATCCTTGTCATTGCATGCTGTACAGGTGATCTAAACTCGTAGAAACGGTTTCGAGAACGGGGAAATATAGTGCTCCTGAAGATTATAAATACCACCTGCATCCCACTCCCATCCTCATTTTTATCATCAAGCCAGCGGTTTCTATCCTCCGACTTGAGTTGTTCTCGCGCATCTTTGCAAGCTTTTCATCATGCACTCCATCAAGCGTACCTTGCTCCTTCTCGGAGCTATCCTTCCCGCGGTCCTCGGTGCCCCTGTGCAGGAGACCCGCCGCGCTTCTGAAAAGCTTCCCGGAAAGTACATTGTCACCTTCAAGTCTGGCATCGACGACGCGAAGATTCAGGAGCATACCACTTGGGCTACCAACATTCACCGGCGTAGTCTGGAGCGTCGTGGTGCCACCGGCGGTGATGGCCCTATCGGCATTGAGCGCAACTACAAGATCAACAAGTTCGCCGCCTATGCAGGCTCTTTCGACGATGCTACCATCGAGGAGATCCGCAAGAACGAAGATGTTTGTGGTCATCCGCTCACCATTGTGAATGACGGCTAACTCGTGCCCAGGTTGCCTACGTCGAGGAGGACCAGATCTACTACCTCGATGGTCTGACCACCCAGAAGGGTGCCCCCTGGGGTCTGGGAAGCATTTCCCACAAGGGCGAGCAAAGCACCGACTACATCTATGACACCAGTGCCGGCGAGGGCACCTTTGCCTACGTCGTGGATAGCGGTGTCAATGTCGACCACCAGGAGTTCGAGGGCCGCGCCAGCAAGGCCTACAACGCTGCCGGCGGCGAGCATGAGGACACCATTGGCCACGGTACCCACGTTTCCGGCACCATTGCTGGCAAGACTTATGGTATTTCCAAGAAGGCCAGCGTCCTTTCGGTCAAGGTTTTCCAGGGTGAATCGAGCAGCACTTCCATCATTCTTGACGGCTTCAACTGGGCTGCCAACGACATTGTCAGCAAGAAGCGTACTAGCAAGGCTGCAATCAACATGAGCTTGGGTGAGTTTACAGTGTTCTTCACTACCAGCACCCATACTCGGGATGTGCGAACGCTAACTTCAAAAACACAGGCGGTGGCTACTCAAAGGCTTTCAACGATGCGGTCGAGAACGCATTCCAGCAGGGTGTTCTCTCCATTGTCGCTGCCGGTAACGAGAACGTATGTCTCCCCTTCCTTGAGCACAGACGAAACTGTAACTGACTTAATTCTCTTAGTCTGATGCCGGCCAAACCAGCCCTGCCTCTGCCCCTAATGCCATCACTGTTGCCGCTATCAGCAAGAGCAACGCCCGCGCCAGCTTCTCCAACTTCGGCAAGGTCGTTGATATCTTCGCTCCCGGCCAGGATATCCTTTCCGCCTGGATTGGCTCCTCTTCTGCCACCAACACCATCTCTGGCACCTCCATGGCCACTCCCCACATTGTCGGCCTGTCCCTCTACCTCGCTGCTCTTGAGAACCTCGACGGCCCTGCTGCCGTGACCAAGCGCCTCAAGGAATTGGCCACCAAGGACGTCGTCAAGGATCCCAAGGGCAGCGTCAACCTGCTTGCCTACAACGGTAACGCTTAAGTACCAGGCGTACATTAGAGTGCTTCCCCATTGTTTCTGGAATACAGTGGTGATTAGAAAACGACGAGCGTTTTGATTCGGACGGATATATGCATGGCACGCATACAGCGTGATACATAGGCTGTTTGCTCAAGAATTAGGATTTTATCTGAATCCATGTACAGAGTTTTACTTATGTTAGTAGTCAATGAAAACTTGGCTTTCTAATTTGTCCGATCTACAAGGGGTAACCAGTCGCCGAACGAACCGGATGTGCAGGGGCATGAAGATCACCCGCGCTTAGCAAGATCTCTAGTATATGTCAATCGTAGATTGAACGCGAATCATGACCTTATTTCTAGACTGCCACCCAAATCACATGACAAGCTCCTGCTCGGGGCGGAATCGGTTGTTGATGAGATCCCAGGGAATGAACTAGGGCTGGCATTACAATTCCTGCGAGAAAACCCACCGATGTTGCTGTATGGAAGACAGCAAATTTACTGGTACACAACTCAAGTACAGATTTAGATTTACTTTTAATATACGTATTTACAATAATATTCTAAGATCGAACAAAGCCCGGAGATATAGTATTCCTGGGTTCTACCCCGGCAACACAGACATAAACGGTTCCACGTCGTGGTGATATATAATTGAAACTCACCTTTTCCTCGAGTCAGACCTGCCAAACGAAGTAGCATCAATTCCTTCCGCCACTGCCAATACGTTCCCATCCGTAATAAAGTTCATTACAGTAGAAGTCATCAGACCTCTTTTGGGAACTACTACCTTGCACATAAAAAACTCTGCCGAGAGCCGGGTGATTGGATCGGGGAAACGTGAACGGCTACAAAGCCAAGGTAGCCGGGGAATGGGACCTCTGGATTTTGTGATTTTTTTTTGAGAAGTCTATGTTGAGATTGATGTATACGGTAGCTATTAAATGGTGTGATTTTATCCTTCTATCTCGCCACTGCTTGTATTGATTTCGGTGGTCTTATATCAATGATGCCAGTGGGATTAAATATGTTACCGGAGGCACAACAACTTCTTAAAAAACGCCGACTGATTCTCGTAGCCAAAGAGCCTAGACCTATGCTGCATTATATTAGGTAACAGTACACGATGCTAGTAGTCTATTTGGGAAACCTACATAGCTTTTCTCGGTTTCGACTTGGAAGGGGGAGGGGTGGACCTAGGTTATACATCGACAGGACAAGGCAAGTTCGGATCATTTCACGTAATATAATTCGTCCTACTTCCTATTGGAGGCGCATTCTCCACGACGATACATAGGTCATAAGGGTGTAAGGGAGAAAGCCCGGAGAATTTCACGGTTTCGAGCTCGACCTGAAGCTCCATGTCTTAGCCCTACCGCCGACGAGCAATGCCAGTTTGGTACAAGAGCTCTGGGAGCACCCTGCGACAAGGGACTTTTTCCTTGTCCTTATCCAGTTGACGCGTAGGCTATGGGGCAAAGAGGGCTCACAAAGGGATAGAAACGCTGACGAACATTGCTCGCGACGCCGAGCATTCTCCTAGTCAGTCTTCCGTCCGGTATGTAGATCTTCGTCTCAAACGAGAGGTATGGCCACCAAGGGGGTAGCTCTTCCAAAGTTTCTAGGACGCTATATTGCCTCAGCCTATGTGGTGCAGGACCAAAGAATTCGGATACCGGCCGTTGAAATGACTTCAGGAGCACCTGAAATGGCCAACTGTGGACCAGGTGACTAACCGGGTGCCACTGGGAATAGCATCATACCTCCCTCGACACCTGTGGGGATCTGCACCACCTAGCCCCTTGCATTCTGGGGAAAAGAAAAAGCTTGCAGCTACGTATGTCTGTTTGATACTCTGTTTGCTTCAGCAAGATGTAGTTCAGATTATTAAGTCAAAATCCAGATGCTGGGGCCCTACCGGATATTTTATGCTTGCTGCTTTCAGCCTCCAAGTTTCTCCATTCGACTTGGTCTATTGAATATCTTTTGCCGCCCAAGATGAACTACAAAATGCCCGAGATCGCCATGTCTCAGTTTGAGACAGACAAAGGCATTTTGGAGCCCCAGCTGAGACAATATGGCCTAGAGTTCGCGACTGACGGATTCCATATCCGATGGGCGAAAGGAAATCAGCGTCATCCTCGCAATTGGAGCATTGTACGGAAAGCTTATGACACTAGTTTGATCATCTTCCTCGAGCTCTTCACGTATGTTGACTGCCTGTTGCTTTGTACTCGATGAGGCTCCTTGCTGACAGACGGCTGTATACAGGACTGCCATCAGCGCGTCCGGCGTACGTTCCCCAGTCTCCCTCCCTGCCCCTTTGAGAATACACGCTGAGTATCACAGTCTACTGCTGCCAAAGATGCCACACCTGAATTCAACATCGAGAAGGAACTTGCTATATTTGTATTTGTATCAGTGTCCGTTCAGCACCTTTCAACCCTCTGGACTCTCACCTAAATTGCGTTTTCTGATGGCTTGTTGGACAATAGATATCTGTTGGGCCAGGGCCTCGGTTCCATCATTTTCCCTCCGTACTCGGAAGCGTTCGGCCGCAAGAACCTCTATGTACTCAGTACGGCGCTGTACAGTATCTCTTGTGTCATCGTGGCTGCAGTCCCATCTTTATCTGGCGTGGTCATTGGTCGTCTTTTCAGCGGAATTGTCTCGGCGATCCCGACAACAGTTGTGATTGGCAGTATCGAGGATATGTTCAATGCTAGAGACCGCGTCTGGGTACTTTGTCTCTGGGCCATAGTGGCTAACCTAGGGTTGGTGACCGGACCCATATTGAGCACCTATATCGTGGCGGATCTGAACTGGTATGGCTTCGCTCGCCTAAACTCTGACCCCAGTACTGATAGAAACATCTAGGCGGTGGTTATTCTATGTGGCCGCCATTGTGACCGGTATCCTCACCTTCGTCCTACTGACCCTCCGCGAATCCCGTCCCTCCTTGTTGCTGGCACGCGAGGTGGAACAGCTGCGCAAAGTCACCGGAATCGAAACGCTTCAGGGATTGAACCCAGACCGCACGCCAGACCTGAAGACCTTTGTGCGTACGGCGCTGTTCCGCCCAGTGCGCCTCTTCTTCACCGAGCTTATTGTCTTCTTCGTGTCCGTGATCAGCGCCATCGCAGTTGCTCTGGTTTACCTCTTCACAGAAGCCTTGCCTCCAATCTACGAGGATTTCGGTTTCAGCACTAGACAAGCATGTCTCCCGTTCATTGCTATCGGGGTCGGTCTGAGTTTCGGGTTCTTTACCCGCTATATCGATCTGCATATCATCGATAAACACCGCCAGAAGGGCCAGCCACTCCTCCCCGAGCACAAGTTGACTGGTTTCTGGATTGGAGCCTTCGTTCTCACAGTGGGACTCTGGGGTTTCGCCTGGACTGTGCCCCCCTACAGGACTGACCTGCACTGGATAGTGTCTGTCTTCTGCCTGGTGCTGGTTGGATATTCGTTGAACGAGATTGAATACGTGCTGGGCGGGTACTTGACAGACAGCTATCTTAGCTATGCAGCCAGTGGACTGGCTGCCCTGGCTATTGTCCGAGCCCTCTTATCTGCCATCTTGCCGCTCATCGCTCCGCCAATGTTCTCGCGCCTCGGCAACAATATGGCTATCTCCGTGCTGGCGATCATTGCGACCATGTTCTGTGCAATCCCGCCCCTGTTCTCACGGTTTGGAAAGCAGATCCGCGCCAAGAGCAAGTTTGCTAAGTACAGCTTGCGCATGTATAACGAGCATAGTGTTGACGAGGACGGATACTAAGGATGATGGCTCATGCTTTAGAGCTAGAGGAATGATTCACGGCCTTTATATCTCGTCGATGTGGTATAGATTATGAGGCAAGAGGCTATGAGGAGGTGGTGGATAAGTGATGGAGAGGAAGAGTTGCCAACCGGACCGATAGTTTGCTATAAATATGGCGTACGCTGGGCGATTTGATGATTTTAATTACTCTTTCATGTGGTACGAAACGGAGGTATCACAAAACACGATGATTGTTTTTTTTTTTTTTTTTGGAGTTTGCTGTCGTGTTTCTTCCCCCCCATGATCGTGCCATCCATTACTTTGTTTTTATTTTCTTAAATAATATAGGCGCAGTTTCAGAATAAATAAATAGATCTTATGCAGTGTTCCGTCTCTGATTTCGTAATTTCTTTCCCTTGGGTTTTCTGCCAGGCCAAAAACCCCTGCCGCTTCAACCTCCCCGCCATTTCTCATCTTCTCTTTCGCAAAAGCAGCATCCCTTTCCATCTACAATTACTATTTACCTCCACGATTGATATTGTTTGCCCTTCTTGCTCCGTGACAATTTTACTCCCTGTCTCAGTGCAGAATGGATAACCCGGGAGTTCAATCCTCGGATCTCCCCCATTCGCTCCATCTTGACTCGCTCTCCGGTGTTGCTGAGGATGCATCCACATTGGCAGCGGCACAAGCACAACACCAACATGATATCCAAGAACATGTCCCCAGTGCTGAGCCCACTGACGCGCAGTCGTTGCATCCTCTACAAACGGCCGTTGGCACCTTAGACTCCTATTCAATTCAGCAACAAGAGGAGCAAAATGAAGCCCGATCATTTCGAGAACCATTCAACAACCTACCCGTAAGTACTGACTGGCACATACATACATACATACATACATACATAAGCTGGGGATTCCCAGTCACAAGTCCACCTTCACACATAAAATCTGGCAAATACTCAAAACAATAGCTAACGGGAAAAGCCCCGCGACGATTCCCATTCTCTGCGCATGCAGCCACAGTGCAATACCTTCTCCGAGGCTTCGATCTTCTCACCCAAACAGGGCGGGTACCTCCGAGACATGCCCTCGGTCGTGGACCCGCCTGATCTGGACCTGTGGAGAGAAAGGCTGTTTAATGTGGATGAAACGATTGTGCTAAGTGAAGAGCAGTATGTTCATGATCTCTTCTCAGCTTTTTCTGTACATGTACCTACCAAAGCGAGACCGGGGGGAGAAATGGGAGGGCTCGTATAAATTCATGTGATGGACACCGATCTGACAAAAAGCCCCGATAGATTCCTGACTTACTTCCCGCATGTGGATAACATCTACTCTCACCGTTCTACGCAGCATTACAAACGCAAGCCGCTCATCTCACATTACTGGGACTGTCGATTGAAAGGCCGTCCGCCCGGGACTCCCAAGTCCGATGATCCGAACAAGAAGAAGCGGAAACGAACAGCGCGCCAACGGGATCTCTGCGATGTGAAGATCAAGATCACGGAGTATTTCCCCGGGTACAGCCCGATGATGATCGCGGAGGGCGCCGCCAATGACGCCGGGGCGGCTCTGGGCGCAGAGTCACTCTCCAGCGGAGAGGCGGTGTTTCCTCCGCCTGAGGATCCGGAGCCTCGCGATCGCCAGCCATTTGGGGTGCTGACGCCTAATCCGCCGTTACCTGAGGGTCATCCTGGGGCCAACGGACAGCGGTTCTTCACCATCCAGCGGGTGAACGGGAATGGTGCCAATGGGAAGAATGACGGGGTAAGCGGTGGGCATCGGCATACATTAGAAGAGAGTGATCGGGTGAAGAAGAATAGTGTACAGCGGTATCTGCTGAAGGAGGCGAGGGAGAAGAAGAAGGCAAGTTCGGTAAGTTAAAAATTCTCTATTCGTTGAATTTTGGCTTTTGGTTTCTATCCGAGAAAAATCCAGAGACGAGCCTTACGTCACATCAACCCTCCAAGCCTTGATCAATAGGAATCAATCATTCCTGCGTCTCTTTCCTCTTCCCCGCTTTCTCACCAGTTATTGAATGGTTGCGTTTTCAATGTTCCTCAAATCCCTTTGTTTCCAAATACAAAGACAGCGGCTGTTTTCCTGCCAGAAGTTCCCCGCCATCTGTTTACCCCCAACAGTCTATTCTCGGAGTCTAATTCAACCCGCGCAAAAGATCAGGACAATGTCTACTCCAAACCAACCGCCACAGAAGACATATCACACAAAAGCCACTGGCTTGGCTGCTGTGACGGTGTTGAATCATTCCAGCGAGAATGAACTGAAATTGTACGGCAGCTGTTTCTGGTACGTACTAAAGATATAGGTATCTCCAATAATCTGAATGTCCTCCAAACTAACTTCCCCCAGTCCCTTTGTGCAGCGTGTATGGATAGCCTTGGAGGCCAAGGGCATTCCTTATCAGTATATCGAAATAGATCCCTACAAAAAGCCCCAGTCCCTATTGGAAGTGAATCCAAGGGGCCTTGTCCCTGCCCTGCGACACGGGGATTGGGGTTCGTATGAAAGCACTGTTTTGCTAGAATATGTATCAAACCCCACGACTTAACGCGAGTCAAGCTAGAAGAAGTACTGACACTTCCATGCAGCTTGAAGACTTGAACACCGGCCCGCCTCTGCTCCCGCCAGGGGATGCGAAGTTACGAGCCCATTGCCGACTCTGGGCAGACTTTGTGAGTTTCATTCAATGTAATGCCCGTAAGAGGCATACACTGATGAATGCAGATCAACCGCAAAATAGTACCCAACTTCTACCGTGTCCTTCAGGAACAGGATCAGCAGAAGCAGATTTCAAATGCGCAAGAGCTTAAGGATGCATTCACGACGCTAGTGAATGCTGCCGACACACAAGGGCCATTCTTCCTGGGGGCTAATATGTCCTTTGTGGATGTCCAGGTGGCTCCCTGGATCATTCGATTGCATCGCGTCTTGAAGCCCTACCGCGGTTGGCCGGACCCCGACGCAGGGAGCCGATGGGGCGCTTGGGTCAACGCGATCGAAGTTAATGAGCATGTCAAAGCGACGACAAGTGACGATGAACTCTATTTTGACAGCTACGAACGATATGCTCGTAAGTTCCCTTGATGAGGAATCTATTGTCAGGAGACTGACGCGCGTCCAGAAAACCGCCCCAACACTTCTTTGCTTGCGAATGCGATCAATTCTGGAAGAGCTCTTCCATGATCACTGTGTAGGGAACAGTACGAGTAAGTCTCTTGGAACAGCCTACTAAAGAGGTGTGGCGCGAGGCTGTTGAAGGGCTACCTTCTAAGTGATCAGTAGCCCTAATGGGTCGTGGCCGGACCCGTCCCAATGAGAGTATTTCCCATTGCGTGGGTTATGCTGATCTGGCGCCTCTGTTGAACCGAAAGCCACCCCTACCACTGCTGTCCGGGCCTCGAGGGCTGCGAATGGGCTGCTGGGGAGATTGTTGGTCATTTCCATTTCGGTCATTGGCCGGTTGCTTCTCTTTCCTCTGTACATAACTTGGCTTAGGCGAATCGGGATCGTAGAGCTGTTTCGATTTTCCGGATGCCGCGGAAGAATCTCTCTTGTCTCGGTTGTTGTCTCTTCCATTACCACGGCTTCTTCCTTTCCCTCTACCCTCCTGCTTTGGTGGGGTCCCGCTGCGCGGTGACGATGCACCTGACGTAGTGCCGGAGGGGCTCCCGAACAATCTCTCACGTACTTCTTCATACTTGCGTTGCTTTTCTTCTCGATTCCGCAGCGCAATGGCGTGACGTTCCTCAGGGGTAGGCTCTGGTGGTTTATTGTCATCGTCCGAATCGTCATTATTATCACCGTTCAGAGCCAGTCGTCCAAGACCAGCGGCTGCGGCGTTGACAGACGATGATTGCCGAGAAGGATGCGGATTGCGACTCAAAAGAGTCACTGCCGGTTTGAACTCCTGCTTGAGAGGGACATTGGAGCGCGATTCCAGGAAATGGAACGTTTGCGGAGTTTCGCTGTATGTAGAAGAACGGTCAGAATGCGATTGCTCAGGACATGGACAGCACAAGAGACAGGTTGTGGTGAAGAAGATATACGTACGCTTCCGCCCATAGTTGCCGGTTAAATTCCGCTTGCTGCGCCCTGCGCTGTGCTTTGGTCACTTTGGAGGATACTTTCTTTTCCGGTGGAGGCTGAGTGGGGTCGGACGCTAAGGTCTGCAGAGTTCGCGGTCAGATCAGTGGATTATAGAAAGTGAATCCAGAACGGTTGATTCGGCCCTAGAATACGGCTATGTATAGCGAGAAGGAGGGCATACATCGGCTTGTCTTTCCCAGTCGTCTTCCCATGCATCGGGTGTCTCAGCGGAGGACTTGGCGCTCATTGTTCACACGTATAATCTATGGGAAAGAGAAGAAAATGCAGATGCAGAATGAACAAAAAATTCCAGATGCAAATAATGTATTCCAAGATAGAAAAATTTAAACCAAACTCTCTCCAGGAGTAGGAAAATCGGGGGAGTGAACAAAGAGTGACGAGGGAGGGGAAAAAGAAGTAAGAGCCATTGAATTCGAAGAGGGAAAATCTGCTGCTGCTTAGTTAAGGTTTCCTTCGGGGTTTACTCCGCCTTCGCATGAACCACCACGTCAAACCAGCTCACGATAAATCCTCCTGCTCTAGACGAACTGACGATATCAATACCCGCTTTCGCTGCTTTAAACCGAAGTTTCTCGGTTTTCATCTTCAATATGGCTACTGGTATGTACTTTCGCTTCTCTCTTTGTGCACCTTACCTCCGCCCGCCATTAAGTCTCTCTTTCATCCCGCTCTTTATCCCCGCATGGTATCCTCAACCCAAGACATCCGCTTCCCAAAGCCCGAAATTCCAGATCCCACTAACCAACCAATCCAGATCCAGACGGAGACTCCCAAATGGCTTCTTCCCCCGAATCCTCCCACATGCACTCCGAAGACTCCCCAGTCGGAGCTCGTACCCCTACGAACATTCGTAGCGCCACCTCCCAGTTCCCAGGCACCTCAGAGCTCTCTCCGCCCGGGTCGCAGACACAATCTGTATCAGCTGATGTTGGGGGGCTCGCTGGACTGGGGAATACTAACGCGTCTGGAGGCTCCGCGGAGACGACATCCGCTCAACAGCAACAGCAACCGGGGGCATCGTGGAATAACAAACGGGCGGAGGAGGAGTACCACCGGGCAATGGAATTTGTGATTGATCAGGACTTCAACCTAGGTGGGTTCAACTTCGCGTTTTGGTTTGGTGGCTTAGAGGCTTGATTTTTCCGTGTGGTTTGGGTTAAGGCTGACCGTTGCGGTACATAGACGAGTTCGGGGACCCATTTGATGACAGGGATATGGAGGAGAAATTATTCTAGAGATATGGGCTACAGGTAAACATGGTGTTCAGGGTGCTTTTGTGTTCTTCGGTGCTTCTTTTCTCGGGGGATTTGAGTGTGATTCCTGGTTTGAGACATGAATGATTTATGAGATATGATTGTCGAATTTGAGGGGGTTTTCTGAGGATATAGCTGGAATGAGACAGGCGATGAAGTCTAAAGCATTTTATGATTTATAGACATCTACTAGGAGAAGAAAAGTGAGATCTGGAATTGCAGTCGATCCAAGTTGAAGAAGTTGGAGGTGGTGATGGTCATTCAAGGTGTAAGTAAGACAAAGATGCAACATCCAACGGCGATCTACGGAGTAAACATGGATCATTATATCATAGACATTTTAAGTTAGCCCACATAGCAAGCTAATCATATGAATGATAAAGAAAACATATCTTAAAATCAAAGAAGTCCACTCACCATTGGTCAAAGTTAACATTGGTCTCTTCAGCCTTTGTGATCGAAGCAGTCGTTGGCACAGCAACGGGCCGGGCCAAACCCACCGAAAACAATTCACTCTAGTCCATCATATCATTTATTTAACTCCAGTTTCCACGCGCACCTCTATCACTTACCACGAGACGACCTTACTCTGCATTTAGTACCGGATCCCTTCATATTTATAAGACTGTGTATCGACATATCAGGACATCAGTAGCGCCCAGAGTCATTGTCTATACCGTCGCTCTTTGACGTCACAATTGTTTCCATTACTCGCGTCGGTGAAAGAGGTAATGTCAACCACCGACGAGTCTGCGATGCGGGCAGAACCTGATTTACAAAAATGGTAATTATATCTTGCATTTACACATTCCGCACATCAAGATTTTGAAGGACACAAATAATCTACCTGTCCCAAGCCGAGGCATTGATTTGTTCCTTTGAACCCCCCTTTTTTGTTCCCGATGCACAGCTGTGCCTGTCCCAACGGGGAAATTTCAGTGACTTGACACAAGCGCTACACATACGAATCTTACACCTCCTGAAATACCGCTAACTTGTGAATCGCGCGGTTTCTACAGTCCCCTTCCAAATCCTAAATTCCAACAACTCCAAGAAGACAGGTTCCGGTTCACTCCTGTCAAAGTTGTGAAGCCCGCCCCGCGCATCTGGGATCGCCAGCCTTCCACCCCGTTTCTGGCACGTCCCAAATCGCGGAAGGTGTGGAAGCGCTTCCGCTCCTCGTTCAACAGTATGAAGGCGCTGCAGCGCTTGATTTCCGCGCAGAGTGCTCCTGATGATCACGACGACCTATACACCGAAATCAACACGTCGCGGAATGAAGATTACATGCGCGGCGTCAAGAGACGGTGTCTCGTGCATGATTCCGAGGAACAGGTAGAGACAAAGGCGTCCCGAGGACGCTCTTTTCTAGAGACAAAATGGGAGTCAGAGGCCAGTGGGAAAAGGCGTAAGTCACCATCGCGTGTCCTTATCATGTTGTTCTTGGGGAGCCAGTTTTGACTTTTACTAGGTAAATTTCCCGCCTATCGCAGTCTCGTGGACAGCCCCGAGCCTATCGTAGCCGATTCTCAGGCGCTAGGGGCCAGCGACAACGATGACAGCGATACGAGTTATCAAAACGCACCCGATGCTGCCACGTCAGGTGATGAAAACTTGCCGGATACGGCTGAAAGCGACGAATCGATGGATGGTAGCCCAGACACGCCTACCAGATTGGCTGCTCCCGCGGCCTATCCCTGCACGCTACATGGTTTACAAAGTGGGATGGATGGAATCACTGCCGATATAAAGGGATCTGATGATCTCAGTCAGTCCCAGGCTGACCTGCCTGGGTCTAGCTCTCTAGAAGCTGGTCCTTCGGAGAATATAAAGGAGCAGGAAAATGATGCTGTTTTGGATGCAATGACGGATGATCTACAATCTGGACTATGCGAATCACAAACTTCTGCAACGGTGTCTCCAGAGAGTGTGCAGCAGATAGACGCCACAGAACCACCAGCAGCGGCACCCGTGCAGAACCTGACTGCAGAACAGGAGTCGACTTTGGTTCGATCGGCACTACGGAGCTCTTTGGATGGCGAGGATGCCGAGTTACTCAATAACTTTTTATCCAAAGCGAAAGCCAAACGAGAGGCCAAAGCCGCAGCAGCTGCGATGGTTACGCAGGATACAGAAGAGAAGGCCGACCCGGAATACGTGGAGATCCCCGAAATTCCCACACCGCAAGGTCGTCGGGTCCTGGAGGATCTGGATGCCAATTCACCCTCACCGCAGAAAGCCCAGTTGTCGCCATCCAAGGCTGCGGGCAAGGACATTGACGATAATGAAGATCAGCTGCCTTCCAGTCCCCGTCGAAGCACCCGAACTCGTAGTGTCAAGCCCCCACCGCGGATGACTACTACGACTTCGGCGGCTCGCAACACCTTGACGCTTCGTCGTGCGAAGGGAACCGAATTCGTCTTTCTTAAAAAGACCGAAGCCCAGGAACTGGCACTGGCGACTCGTCGGAACACGCGAAAGAATAAAGGAGATGCGATGTTGCCGAAGTATACGCTACAGACTTTGGCTCAACAAAAATCGGATTCCGATGCCACATCCGATGACGACAAATCTGCACGCGATCCTGGTCGGCGGCGGGCGTCCGCAAAGAGGGTGTCATGGAACGACGAGCGACTCGTTGAGTACGAAGGTGAGAGTGGAGAGGGGAGTAGTGATGACGCTGCTGGCCGAGGAGGGAAATCTAAAAATTCAGAGAAAAGAAAGGCGGCCAGTAGCCGCACGACGCGTTCGCAGGATCCGTCGAAGACTGGTGGTGACACCGTGCCGGCTGCATCGACTACTGCAGCGACTACTGCAACTCCTCGCCCGCGGCGTGTGCGGCGACTAGGAACACCTAAACCTACTGCAGCCGTTGACGCCAGTGCATCTCCGTCCACCAGCATGAGCCCGCCCGAAACACGCAAAAAGCTGATCCCTAAGTCTCCCCGAACGGCATTAGCGGGGAGTGGCGCATCGAAAAAAATCTCCCGTGTCAGCACCCGGAGTGACACTCGAGCGTCAGGAGACAGTAGCTCACTGAAGAGCTCAAGTCTTTTCAAGGCCCATGCCGGGTCAACACCGATGCCAAGGCGAGTGCGATCGTGACCGTGACGGTCCGTCTGAGCATGTTTTTAACATATCTTCATGAAGGCTATTTTTCGGCTTGCTCCCTTGGTACAAAGTGTAGGACTGAAGGGCTGTACATATTCATAATCCTGTCCATATTGTCTCCGACCATTAATGATCTCTGGAGTTGGACGGCGTTGGTTTAGACACCGAGCTTTGCTATTTACATCCATAATATAATTCTTGTTGCTCTCTTTCTTTCTGCATTTGTTGTGGCCCGCCTGGGGAAGAAGAGGAAGAAATCCGGGGGAATGGAGAAGACGCACAGAGCCTGATCGGCGGTGTTTGTGTCGGTTTGCATGTGATTTATGCAATCTTACCCCAAGCGTCAACCTCCATTCTGAATTCTGCTCGTTTGTTTACTGTGTACATCTGAACCCCGGCTTTCACTCACGGTCTCGGGCCTTGACGCCGATCTTTGTCAGATCAACTCTCAGATCTCGCTTAACCTCCTCCAAGTGAATGCCCTTTCGGGAGAAGGCAGCATTCATCGTCCTATCCGGGTGGTAGGCTACCGAGTCTTTCCGTAGAGGGGCTCGGGATATGGGATCATCACGAAAAGTAAACCCATTATTATGGAGCACGTCTTATTATCTGGACTCCATCTACTCCATAACACGGTGCAATCATGATTGTGATGATGAACTTGCCTGCAGATGTGGTGAAACTGATATCCAGTGGTGTATGTTATGCCACTATCGTAATACCTTTACTTGTATTGATACCCGACTTCAAGTTAATACCTCACTTTCCAACCCTGATATGCACCGGAGCAAAAAAAAAAAAAAGAAAGACAGAAAGAAAGCGAGAACCAAAAAGAAGAAAACAAAAAATTAAATTGGCATAGCCCAAACTCCCTCGATGCAGAATGATATCATCCTCCCCCACCGCTCCCTAGACCGAGATATCTCCAACGAGCAACCAAAACACGACCACCATTCAAGCCATCTACCGGGAACCATCTACCTGTCGAGCTCCGATCTTCACGGTATGGAACTTGGCTACTCTTAGCCAAATTGGCATCTTCAGTAGAATAAGGAAAGTTTACCTACTCTTCATGAGGATCTTCGTCGATCAGAAGACGGATACAGGTCTACAAGATACCTGCTACACGGTGGCAGGTACATGATCATGTACATAGGTACATACATACCACCCTTACCTGCAATATCCAAGTTTCCCTCTCTATCAAAACGCCTCTGGCTTATCAGGACCCAATCCCTTGGAAGTGTCTCGCGGACCTATGGCACCCCTCCAACTGTCCATTATGAAACATGCCTTCCATCTCAACTCACCGGGTATCCATTACCTGAGATAAACCAAATAAAGAAAGACCAGCAGGCCAACCATACTTGGCGCAGTACATTGTTCTACAGAAACGGAATATGGAGCGGGTGTCCCTCGGTTCCTGAACCATACTTGAGTTGGATAGACAAGGACGAACCACTCAGTTACATCCATCGAGGGACCAAGTATACTTACCACCTACCTACCACCGTATCAACGAAGGGACAGGATAAGAACTGCGCCGACGCTACCCATGGCATCTGCCCCAAAATTTACCAAAAGAGTAGAAAGTTAAATCAAACAATGCCCCAAATTTAATCCCTCAAAACCCTCCAAGTGGGAATCCATATCCATCGTCCATCAAATCATGGCAACGCACCGCCCATTGCAAATGTAGGTCGTCTAAGGTACTGTACCTCTCTGCCTCATACTAAGTGGGACCCCTCCATGCACACCTTTCCCATTTCATCTGTTTCCCCACCGTGGAAACCCGAGTTTATGATTGCATCCCACGTCATTCCCGACATGCCCTCTCTGGCGGGAACAACAAGGGTAGGGTTACGGACGTGTAGGGTTAGGTTTTGGAATGGTCACGGTTCCACTGGGTTGCACGGGCTTTACCGCATTGGGGGGTTCGGTGTTTTAGGGCTTTTCCGGATTTGCCCACCGGAGAGAGTGTCCAAAGGCTCCGGGATTTCCCGACCTTGTTGAGGCTTTTTGTTTCGCTGAGGTTGTATTGGTTGTTTTCTCTTCCGGCGTTGTATCTTCTGCCTATCTCGGTGGTACTTGTATTCGAGATCCTTACTGTATTGATGGTGGTTGATATTCCTTCTTGACCTACTGCTGTCTCCTAGGTTAGTATCTATTTTTACATTCATATTTCTTGATATATAGAGATCTATAACAGTACGACAGTAAGAACTCTCCTGCGAACTCCGTGTAACTATCCCAAAACTCAATTGAATCCATGAACTCAATGGATAGTAGTAATTAGTATTGTTGTATACTCGGGATCCATTTCTCTTGTTCTTACCGGGTCTGGCGCATAGCGTCATCCTACATAACTTACTAAAGCGCTAGCCGACCTGTCGCATGTCATGGAGGACAGTCCTCCGAGTCCACCTTTCTCATCTGTGCTAATTACAGTAGGGGGATGCACGTCGCAGGGGTAACTGCTTTCGAGGCATGGTTTCTGGGTTCCAGAGAGCTTCAACTTTCATTGTATTGGTCCTCTTCTGCTCTCACTTTGATTGCCCTGGGCGGCTAAAAAATTAATTCCAAAAAATTATTCAACCACCTTCCTAAATTCTAATTTTATTATTTTTGGGACTACTTGGGTATATTCTGTGTATAGTATTCTATTATTCTTTTTATTCGAATTTTTGTTTTTTTGTTTTTGTTTTATTTTTTTTGTTTCTTGCTTTTCTTGTATGGTACCTGGTAAATTTTTTTCTATGTATGTTATTTACAAAGTATTCCATCCAAGTTGGTCATGTCGTAGACCGTGTGACATTTCTTCGTTTGATACTATGGGAATAGAGTAGCCAATGTATACTATATAGGTTTTTGTCTGCCGAACAACTCTCCAAGTGTTTATGTCCCGCATAAAGAAATGAAGTCTATTGTCCCATCCAGAGCTGTCCTGCCTTTAAGCAGACAGGTTCTTGGCGGTCTCCTCAGGCCACACGTCGTAGCCGAAGGTGTCCTTCATGTTGACGAAGCGGAAGTGACGGCCCTCGGCGACCTTGTTGACGGCCTCAAAGTCCGCGTCGGTCAGCTCGATGCTCTTGTAGTTGGACTGAATCCGAGCGGGGTTGGAGCTCTTGGGGAGCACCACGTAGCCGCGACGCAGACCCCAGGCAATGAGCACCTGGGCCAGGGTGTTGCCGCCCTTCTGGGCGATCTCGTTGAGAGTCTTGTTCTCGCTGACCCGCTCGCCGGTGGTGGGCACCTGGTTCTGGGAACCCAGGGGCGAGTAGGCCGCGGGGAGGATGTCGTGCTTGAAGCAGTAGTTGACCAACTCCGTGTTGGGCAGGAAGGGATGGACCTCAATCTGGTTGACGTGAGGCTTCACCTCGGCGTACTTGAGCAGCTTGTCGAGACCCTCAATGGTCCAGTTGGAGACACCAATGGCCTTGGCCTTGCCTTCCTTGTAGAGCTTCTCCATGGCGCGCCATGTGGGCTCGGGGTTCTCAGTGAGGTCCTTGAGGATGACGTACTGTGATGATTCCGTTAGCTTTCGGGACGTGAAACTCGGCTGCGGAGCATGATATGGTCCATACCTTGCCGTCGGCACCAATCTTGGGGTGCTCCTGGTCCTCCTTCTCGGCGGCAATGGGCCAGTGAACCAGGAAGAGATCAACGTAGTCCAGGCGGAGTCTCTTCAGGGAGTTCTCGACCGACCACTGGACGTCCTCCGGGCGGTGGAGGTGGTTCCAGACCTTGGTGCAGACGAAGATGTCTTCACGCTTGACCGAGGGGTTCTTCTGGAGGAAGTCGTGGATACCGTCACCAACCTCGTCCTCGTTGAGGTAGAACCAGGCACAGTCCAAGTGACGGTATCCGGTCTCGAGGGCGGTCGTGACGGCCCGGTAGGTCTCGCCCTTGGAGCCCTCGCTGGCGAAGGTACCGAACCCGACGGCGGGCATCTTAACGCCATTGCTCAGCGTGTAAGTCTTTCCGTTCGACATGTTGGGCAGCTGTGATAATGAGATTTGGGGTGTGGGTATAGTGCGAGAGAAAGGAGTTCAAAATGAGAAGCTTTCAGGGAAACCAGGAGAGGGGTTCGTGGGTTGGTATAGTAGGAAAATATAACGAGAGGGGTATATTGGCGCGAGTCGAAGCTCCGCGAAAAAGGTGGGGTGGAACAACCACAACGACGAGGGGTTAAGTCCAATGATGGAATTCCCCTTAATTTCTTTCCTAGGGACTGGTTGATTGATCATTCCACTTTTACTTCTTCCGGCGAGCTCTCTTCCTTTCGGTGGTATTTTCTGGATCTTCTTTTCTACCATTCTCGGTTTCTCTCCAGACTTTGTTGATGTGGGAATGATGCGATGTGAAATTACAGACATCCAGTACGTACGATACTACACCTATACACCACCAGGTACACTCTCGACAGACAGACATACAAACAGCAGACATGCTAACGACGAGTTCTCTCTAGTACATCCGCAATCCCCACTCCATGACGGCATCAACAACCACCACCACCACCACCACCACCACCACCACAGCGGTTGCAGCGAGAGGAATGTAAAAGGAAATGAAATGAAATGAGAATGTACGACGGGACTCCACCAGCCGAGAAAGCCGCCATGACATCATTTGATTTCAGAGTCGAAACGGCGTGAGCGTTTGACCCGCTCGATCGTCATCGTCTCCATCGATCTCAAGCGCTTCCCATGGGTGGAAATCTTTGACGGCCAATTAATCGCCACCCTGGGGGGGCCGCTGGAACCTCTCCTGTCCAGTCACCGTGCAGGATGGCTTCATGCTGGTTCGGAGGATCAGCTCTCTGGATGCTCGTGCAGTGAGGGAGGGAAGACGCCTGGAGGGAGGGTGGTTGCAAAGAAATGGAAAAACCATCCAAAGAACAGACCTGACGGCCAATGGACCGGAGAAGCACTCCTTCTGCTGTAACCCTCCCGCCCCGCCATCCTGCACTGGTTCGGGATTAGCCTTAGGCAGCTCTCTGCAGCTTTTCTCTTGGTGGGGGGACTGAACTCTTACCTTCTCCGTACCTCAGGTATTACACTTTCGCATTACCGCAGGGTCCTTGGATGGTCCGTAATTTTACAATACGGGGGGACCTCAATCCACGGGTAACTTCCTTTACGAAGCTGGATTGGGCCTAGTGCGACTCCGCCGTACCCGCAGCAGGCGTATCTCTCTCCCCGACACCGAATCAGCTTGATGCAAATACCAAATTCGTTGATGACGATAATTCTCAGGAATTCATCGATGATGATACTCCTTCGACCAAAAAAAAAATAAAATAAATTATCCCAGAGTGGAGCCCTGGGCGATGATGGATGCGTGCAGGGTAATGAAACTAAAAAAATAATAATAATAATATCATCCTTCTTTTATGGAAATGGAATTGACCGCCACTGGCACGGTTGATATATTAGTATCAGACTTGCCCTCCTCGAACTCAAATGGTTATCATCTTTTCTACTCTACCTTTTCAGAACACTCCCAGGAGACTGCCCTATAGCTCGAGGAAGCTTGTTGGCTGTCGATCCGTTTATCTTTTTCCAGGAGTGATATCATCACCTCTTATATATACATCATCACCCCTCCTCCCCTCTATCTCCTCTCCTAGAGATTCCTGATCAATTCCACCTATCTATCTCGACTTATCTTCACAATGCCTCGCTTCGACGACGCTGACTTTGCTGTGGATCCCGCCCCTGCGGCTCCCGGTACTGCTCCAGCCCCCGCTGCTCGCTCCCCCAGAGATGGCCGTGGCAGCCTGGCGGGTTCTCTGCCCATCCCCAACGATGCGGGTGCCACCATTGAGATCCCCGCAACCCGCAGCTCCATCAGCGATGCTGCCCAGTACATGCACAACCTGAGCCTGGCTCCCTCGACAAGGGATCGTCGTGGCTCTCGCAACTCCTTCGGCACCTCCCTCCCTATCCCCAGATCCCCTCGGGTGTCTCGTCTGGCATCCGTGGTCGCCGCTGATGGCAACTCGGTTTCCCGCGACCTCCTGGCTTCTCAGGTCCAGGACATGTCCAAGGAGAAGGTCGCTGCTGCCAAGAACATGGCCTTTGCCTTCGATATCGATGGTGTGTTGGCCCACGGTAACCATGCCATTGAGCCCGCCAAGGAGGCCCTGAAGATGCTCAACGGTGACAACGAGCTGGGCATCAAGATCCCTTACATTCTGCTCACCAACGGTGGTGGTAAGACCGAAGCTGCCCGTTGCGAGCAGCTCACCGAGGTTCTCGGTGTCCCGATCTCGACCGACCAGTTCATCCAGTCTCACACCCCAATGCAGGCATTGGCTGAGTACTACGAGACGGTGCTTGTGCTGGGTGGTGAGGGCCAGAAGATCCGTGAGGTCGCCGAGAACTACGGCTTCAAGAACGTCGTCCACCCCAAGGACATTGTCGCCTGGGACCCCACCGTGTCTCCCTGGGGACACTTCACCGAGGAAGACCGCGCCCAGGCGAAGCCCCGCGACTTCTCCAAGATGAAGTTCGACGCCATCCTGGTCTTTGCTGACTCTCGTGACTACGCGACCGACATGCAGCTGATCCTGGATCTCTTGCTCGCGGAGGATGGCAAGTTGTTGACCCGTGCCAAGGACCCCGTCGCCTCTCGCATCCCCATCTACTTCTCTCAGGGTGACCTGATCATGCCTACCGACCACCAGGGACCCCCCCGTCTCACCCAGGGTCTTTTCCGTATCTCCATTGAGGCTCAGTACAAGGCTCTCACCGGCGTCGACCTGGAGCGTGTCGTCTACGGCAAGCCCGAGCGTGCCACCTACACCTACGCCGACGAGGTCCTCAAGTCGTGGATGGAGCAGATCCACAACGAGAACCGTCTCCCCAAGAACATCTACATGGTTGGTGACAACCCCGCATCCGACATCTGCGGTGGTAACATGTACGGCTGGAACACCTGCCTGGTCCGCACCGGTGTCTTCCAGGGCGGTGACAACGACACCAACAACCCCGCCAACTTCGGTGTCTTCGCCAACGTCTTGGAGGCCGTCAAGGCTGCCGTCCGCAAGGAGCTTGGCCAGGAGTTCAAGTTCAAGTGGAACCCCAAGGTTAACCCCGTCACCGGCGGTGACAGCGGCTCCGCTGTCGAATAAACGACGATCATGCCCAAAACCTAAAAGGAACAAGGAACTTCCGTTTCACTGGCGTTTGGTTGATTCCTTTTGATATGCTTCTATCTACTATATTTTCTTTCCCCCACTTTTGATGCTAGACCCCAGCGTCTTTCACGGCTTCTCTTTTTTTTTCACGGGTTTGAACTTTTGATATCCATGGTCACCATCTAGCCTGAAACCAGCAGTGCGATGGTGGATCTCTTTCCTTACATTCTTCAATTTAGACTGGGTTATATTTATGTGATGATGCAAGGGCATCAATGAACAAGTCTTGTTTTAAAACATCATGAGGTTCAACTGGGTTTAGATACACGTATAGATTTCTTTGGCTTAGATTTTAGCAGCAATTGAAGCGCCTGTGGCAGCACAACCACAAGGAGAAACTCTGTTTCAAACTTCTTTCTCGAGTCGTTGACGACATTCTGATGTAGACGAACTTAAAGCTTAAACCCAATCACTCAGGGTAGTCCATTCATACTACGCAGTAGATCAAAAGGACCCTCGAAACATGAATGCCAACCCTCTGGAAACACGTAATCTCCCAATTCCTCCATCCACCTCTACATACATCCCTCTTTGAAAACAATAAAACTAGAAACCCATGTCCACCTCCCCAGAAGAGAAAAAAAAAAAGTAAAAAATTAAATAAATAAATAAAACTCTGCCACAGAGTTTTTTACCAACGGGATATCCCGGCATATACCGATGGGCTAATGCATGGCGTGTTTCGCGTTCGCTTAGAAGCAACCTAACCACAGCCACACCCGAGAAGAGTCAAACATGCCTCCGAAGGATGCTCGGGTATATTTGCCATCCATCCCGTGTTCGGGTCGGCGTGGCGGACCGGAAAAGACCTGACGGGAAAGAATTTTTAGACTTCAAATGGCAGGGTTGCATTGAATTTACTGACATCTTCGTGTATGTATTTGCCACGTGGGGGTCCGTAACTGATATGTGAGGTATTTACTATGTAGGTTTTCAAATACGGCGGTGGAAATCCGAGTCGTCTATGTATAACGTATACTGGTGTATTGTTGTTTCTGGTGGAGGTTCGACGCATCTCGGATGTTGGATCCGGATAGGTATGTAGAGCTGTTGGAGAAGTTGGATGGGAGAGTAATCGAGCTTGTCTTTTCGGGGAACTGAGGAGAGGATGTAGATTGTTTGCTTGAGTTGTACAGCTTTCTTGCGAATTTTTGCTGTAGGTATAGTGACATCCTGTACCTCATCGTCGATCTCGATCTTATCTGCTTCATATAGTAAAGTCGATCTGCGAGACAGTGCTATACTCTGTATTATAATATCATGTGTGTTGAATTGAACCAGCTTTAGACCAGTTATGCCGATAAATACTACACACTACAATGCCCCATTGGCAGCGACACGCTAATCTATACATACACTACTCTACCACCAGAACCCACTCATCTCAACCTCAAGAAAAGAGTACACGTCGAAAACTCATTCACTCAGCCCTAACTCCCTCCCAAACTCCCTCAATGCCAAAAAAAAAAAAAAACACATACACACAACCAAAGCACAGCTCCGATAAACTAATCCCTGCACATCCAAACCCCATATTCCCCTAGAAGGCATGCCAAACCCCACCATTCCCAAACCGAGATAGACAACCCAGACTTGCTGTTATCAGGTTAGATCCCTCACTTAGTGCCCTGCAAAGACCGCGATACCGACTCCTGAAATGGGTTAGCAAAGATCAAGCCGTCACGAGGGAGATCTTATCAATCTGGCGCGCCCCCACAGCCCTAATCTCGATCTGGGGATCAGCGAGTGGGTAATGACATAGGAGGTTCCGGATTTCTCAGTACATGACGTGCGTTTGTCTGCGGTTCCTGAGTGGTTGCGAGAGCGGGTATCAGAGTGAATCTGGATGCGTGAGAACTGGTGGTGTTCTGGTGGGCTTTGCTTTTCTGGGTATGTAGAAGGGGTTATGGGGTTGGTTTTTCTGAGGCTTGGACCATCGGTTCTTTCCTCTTGTACTGAGGTTTGGGGATACTGGTTTATTGGTTTTTGTGAGTGTGAATGGTTTTGTTATGAGTCATATATGTTGTTGTTGTTGTTCTCGTGGATCTGTAGGGTTCGTTTTTTTTGCACCTTACAACTTTCAAATGTGAAGACAAGACAATCACCGAACACAGAAATCGGGGTAACTAATGACTAGTCATACGTATGTCGAATATACAGTAGCTTGCAATTGGAACCCGTAAGTCCTCCTAGTTGTATTTGACCTTCAATTCTACCACAAATCGTGCTTTCCTTCCACCACCATGTCACACCAGGCTATGTTTTTCATCGAACACATTTCCCACCAAGGGCCAAACTACAGCCCAAACTTTTATGCCTCTTTTTTTTCTTTCTATCTATTTCTGAGACCATAATCAAAGGCAGGATCCCCTCTAAATCTCTGAAGTTACACTCCAGGCTATGGTTATATGGTCATCACACAGACTAGATACTACTGCCACCAGAAGTAGCAATATATTGATATTCCAGTCTGAAACTATCATATATCTATTGAACTCTCATGTCCGAACTGGCATCTGCGAACCTTCATGCAAGTAGGGTAGAAGAACAAGATAGCGATACTCTTTGTGTTTTCTAGGCCTGGCGACATGCACAGATATTCATACGTAGCTCAATGAGTATACATCTTGATAACTCTGTCCTGGAGACCTGTGATATGGGATATGTTGCCTGTTTTTGTTTAAGAGACACATAGATACCTTTACAGAAGTTCAAACTCCAGGTAAAATGTCTCGACAGTATTACCTACCCTGTAGTCAGGATTCTTCCAAAATGCCACTGTCATGCATTGTCAACCGTTCAATGGATACACCTGGTCCACTTCATCGAGACACTCAGTATGAATTATGTTTCTTCCTCTGTTGAGATGCTATAATCAAGGCAATAACTCCATCCGGAAGGGCTGTCCGAACGTCGCAAACGACGAGGCAAGCCCTATTCAGGGAAATTTATAATCCTGGCCAGGCTTTATTGTACGTTCAGCATGAATTTAACAACCAGAATACTGGGAGAGAGAACGACCGTCTATGAAAGAAAACATCCTTTGGCCATACTAAGTAATTTACATAGTGAGGTGGGGGGAAATCGTGCCGTTCAGTCTGAGGATTTCTTGATCGTGGAGATGTGCAATCAAGGCTTCAGGATAGCCCTCCTTCCCACCCTAATGCGGTTACTAAGATTAGAACTGCCATATTTCAAGGCCCTAGTATTGTTTCACAGGGTTCTACTGAACATAGGGAAATTGAATTTGCCGAGAATCCAGACATTCTTGGGTCATGCATCGTCATGCAAGGACTCTTCAAGGGAAACAAGAATCAAGTATCCGAAACAGGTTTCGCGAGCATTGCAGTCAAACTTGTGGACGTTGTTTTTGGAGATATGCGTAAGGTTTTTATCGATTTCTTTAGTACCCCTTGGGTGGGTGGTATATAGGTACTTTACTAGTGGATCTCTTTGTGTTATTCGTGCAGCCTTCTTGGGAAGTTGGCGTTAAGTGTTTGGTTGGTTGGAATGGCCTTATTTATCGGTAGGTAAGGCGTGAATAGTGCGTATGTGTGGTTCATTGTTTGTCCTAGTTAGATATGTCAATATATTGCTTGAACGATACGATACGTTGAGCTCCAGCAAGGTACTAGTGATAGACTATCTCGACTATCGAGTATAGTGAATCGAAGACTGAATGGATGGACATAAATACAGGAGTTAACTGGGGTGATTAAAAAAAGCTGGAGATTTCCGATAGAGCTGTTTAAAAGGCTAGACTAGATGAGACAATGATTGCCTAACTTGGATAGGAGGATGGATATCCATATAGAGACGGGATAGCGAAACTGCACTTCTGCATCCTACCGTGGCAGCTTGATTCACGACCTTCTCTCAGCACCTGCGAAATACATTGTCAGAAAGATGATCGGCAGTGACCACTCTCGGGATTCAATAGGGTTAGCTCGGTTGTCGCTCCTGCGCCTCAAACACTATCTATCAGAGAGGATGTTAGATGTCGTGAGCTAACCTGCTGCCGGGAGCTCGGCGTAGAATGTCTGACATTCACAGAAACGCCGAGTCTCAGGGGTTTTTACAGGGGAAGCCCTGGAACTCTAGGCCATATCTGTGGTTGGCTCGAGCTATTGGGAAATATGTATATATCCCAGGCGCACTTCTACAACCCTAGCTACACCCCTAGTCAGTCTGATACAATGCCATGGGTAGAGAGACCTATAATTCTATAGCAGAAAATGGAATTGGAAGCACCCAATTCACCCAGGTTGAAACGCGATTGTTTGATCCCGGTAAAATTTTTGTCAGTACGGTTGTGCCATGGGGTCCCGAGATGGTGTGATGGTGGATACGTTGTCAGAAGCACATGACACCTTGTATATTGGATTTTAGCCAGCATTGATTCCGTCATTCCCCTAAATATGTGCTGTTCAGTGAAGCGACGCCAGCATGCCAATACCTGTCAAGAAAGCCTGTCACAGAGCACTAGGGCTTTGAGGCTCCAGTGTGATACAGATGATGTAGGTTTCAGTCCCACAGGAGTTTTCTCAGACGGTAGTGGGATCCGTGTTTCTTTCTCTGAATCGTGACCGTGACACAGGTCATCGAACCACCAGTAGGCGGAAAGGAGGGCTGGATGCTCGGAGCAAACAAGGGGTCTGGGCAAACAGCGGCGATCAACCCAATAGAAAGTGGAGGAGGTTAGGATTCCCAACAGCTCGGCGTACATGATCGGGACTCTTGGCAGCCTTGACTCAATATTGGACCATGGTCCAGCGTACATATCCTATACTGCTCTCGTTCAAAAGGTTTGGGTCGTATGTGTCAATCCACGGCCGGCAAGGGGGCAAGAACGACCCGCGGAGTCAGACGATCGAAACACTAGAGGAGTTGCACTAAGCACGTTCCATCATTAATGATTCTCGAATGGGTGGGGGGATGTGGGATTTCTCCATGGTGATCGAGTCGGATGCTTTGGAAACTTGGGGTTGTCAGCTTCACTAATGGAATTAATTAGTTCGTTCGTTACTAATTATTGAACTGTCAGTCCGATATGCCGGGGAGCTGGGGGGCTCGGTTTTGACTTGAGGACCGGCCGGTCTCAAGCATTTCCCCTCATGGGGGGAATTGACCAATCCGAAGTAGGTTCAACCTGGGACAGCCAACAATGGAAGCGGAACTATGCACCTTTGGGGGTTCATAGTCGGGAGACCATGGTTAGCGAGATGACGAGTCTTGACGCTTGGGTCATGGCGAGAGAGTTACGAGATTCCAGGGACATCAGTTGCAGCCCTTTTGCAGCTTAGCTCTCTCCGCACCGGTCACGGGACTCCGTCCCAGCCCCAGGCGGCCAATCACGGCACGGGAACCAGAGAAACTATTAGGTAAGGAAAATCTTCGCGTTGAACGTGGCTGCATTTCTGGGGTATTTTTGCTTTTGGCGACTGGGGACCAGATCGCAAAGGTACTCTCCATGGGTTTGGCGACTCGTCGGTGGTACTCTGATTGAATTAGACACCCAGGAATGCTGTCGAGACTAATCGGATCGGTTGGTTCTCCCTCCCCCAGGCCCTGGCGATGCATTATGATACAATCAATACATAAAGCCATCCGCCGTTGTTGTTCATCGGTACCAACGGGCCCCAGGTCACGGGGCCGGTCGGGGGCGATTTTTCATTATGTCATAGAATTTCCGGGCGGCGATCCCGAAAAAAGTAATCTAGCGCTTATTTAGTTTAGTATTTGATCTCATTTCTGCTTAATTAATTAATTCGATGGTCATCGTTCTGCGTTGTCTCGATCGAAAGGGGGATTGTCTGCTGAGCTGGCGAACTTGCTGTCCAGTCGAAATCGTCTTGGAGATTATTCAGACACATAGGATTTTATTTTTTATCTATTTTATGTTGTATTGTTTTCGTTTTATATCTTCAGATTCATTGGCATCAGATAAGAAGAGAGAGAGAAAAGAGAAGGAAGTATAGAATATGTACTGGAATTCCGCGCTGACAAGGATCTCCGGCACCAACGGCCTCGCTGGGCCAGAACTGCAGAAGGATTCCCTCTTCGATTTTCTATAGTTTTGATTCGATCTATTTTTAATAATAAGGGTACAGTAGAAAACTGATGGATAGCAATACCTTAATCGTATCTGTATGGAAATTTAGGTTCCCCTTCTAGCGAATTCGCCGCATTCATCATTCAGTCATGATCATTCACGCCGCCCCAGTGACTCTGGCCTCTCTCGCTCTCTTTCATTTTTTCCCATGGCTCCTCTTTTCCTGATATTTCCATTATTCATGGTTTTACCTTTTTAATGCCATTAACTCCGCTGGTACGACAAATAGTTTTTAATTTTTTTTTCCCCCTTTGGATTCTCCATAACGCCTTACTTAATAAAAACTTGACGTTTTTTTTATTCTATCCTTTATCTTTTTACTATTATTTTTTTTCTGCCACTCCGTCCGGACTTCTTTCCTGATTCCTCACCAACCACTGATCTCACCATCATTACCATCATTATCACCCTCCGCCAGCCTCTTGACCACAAAGCTCAACTCAGGAGATCTTTCTACAAATCAGAAGGATCGTCGTCACTCCGTGAGACGATCAGCTAACGTTCACTTGCGAAACGGATCCTTCTGCACCCATCAATAGTGTGCCCGCCTCTCGAGGAGGCGCGGCCGTCGTTCCATCCATAGCATTCTGTGACTAACAGCTTCACTTTTCTGTCTCCTCTTCCTATAGTCTGGTCTTGTACCCCCCCCTCGGCCTTAATCTTAATCGTCCACCGGGAAAGTCTGTGTGGAATCCGGGGAAGGAAAAGCTTTTTTTCTTTTTCTTTTTCTTTTCTATTACCTGACATTCGGATTTTTTTTTCCCTGGTCTCCTCCCCTGGTCTTCTTCCTCTTCCACCCCCCCTCGCCTTGTAACGTAACCTCTCCGGGACCTGTGCCCTACAAGCTATATAGAGAGGCTTCCGCTGTCCACCATGTCCTCCGCCGCAGTCCCTCCTGCGCTCTGCACCCACAAGCCTCCCACCATTGCACTACCATCTGCTCTTCCCGGAGATACTTCACCGTCCAATCTATCCCGCGACTCGTCGCCTCATTCATCCGCGTGTTCCTCGCCAGACGGTTCCAGATCGACCAGTCGCCGCCGTCCGTCGGTTGGTTCGATCAAAGAAGACGTTGACGGTATGTCACCACCGCGCATTCCACTCGGTCGCTGGGACGCAAAGAGCCGTCGCTGATCTGTGTTATGGTATTCCTATAGGCATTGCTCAGTCCTTCGTGGATACGCATATCGACCAGCCTTCCCCAGAACAGCCGAAACAGACGCCGGTCGAAATGCAGCAAACCCCCGACTTTTGCTGCCCCTGTGGCGGCTTTCTAGGCTGGAAGCAGATCAGACTAGGTGGAAAGAGTCTCAGTAGGAGCTACAGCGATTTGCGGGCTCTCGGTAATATGCATGCCCGCGGCTGGGCCTGGGAAACTTCTCCGCCGCCTGTCAAAAATCCGCCACCTACTAAGACCTTGCAGGTGGAACAGCCGAAACCGGCCGCTGGCTTGTCTCGTCTTGAGACCCTTCCCTCCGAAGTGCTCGGTAAGTGCGGACTCCATCCTGCCGTGGCCGTGATACCGGTCTGCTAATGAACCGCTACTAGACCAAATCATATCCTGCTTGGCGTTGGACGTACCTCCCAACGGGTACACGCCACGAAACGTGGACCTGATCTCGTGCCTGTTGGCCTCCCGGACGTTGCACGCAGCCACCCTGGCGGTGTTGTACAGGAACATGACCTTCCCGCACTCCGTCATCTTTTCCAAGGCGCTCAACCACATGTCTCAGTATCCCGCGTTGGGCACGTTGGTTCGTCGCCTCGACTTCTCCCACTTCACCTCGGTAGGTTTGGGACGCACCAAGCAGATGAACGCCGAAATCCAAAACCTTACCTCGAAGACGCTGCTGAAGTGTCTGGACCTGTTGCCGAACCTGAAGGAGTGTTTGTTGCAGGAGCATGTGGAGGGTGACCTCAGTGTGGAAGTGGTGCAGAAGCTGCTCTTCGGCCTTCCAAACCTCTTCGCCGTCGATTTCTGTGGCTGCTCAACCCAGTCCTTCTCGGCAGTTTTTCAGGAAGCATTGATGACGGGGTCTGGTCTGCCAATGGCGATGCCAAACCTGAAAAGGGTCTCGCTGCACGAGTGCAGCAGTCTCCCGGCGTCGGTTTTTGAGGCCCTTTTGCCCCGCTTGGTGAACCTGACGCACCTGGATGTGACTCACACACAGATTAGTGAGGCGGCCCTGTTCTCGATCCCGAAAACGGCGAGAATCACCCACCTGAGCCTGTCTCGCTGTACTCGTCTGCAGGGATCGAGGGTGGTACAGTTCTTGACCACTCATCCGGCTGTGTGCGACTCGCTGGTTTCCTTGAACCTGATGACCGACCCGACGCGGAACCGACTTCTGGAAGAAGACGATGTCCATGCGCTACTTCCCCAGTTACCCTCCACGCTTCGCTCCCTCAACATTGGAGGCGCGAAGGTCAACTCGGCCCACGCGCAAGCGCTGATCCCCTTGACCAAGCATCTGGAAGAGCTCGGACTCGGTTCGGCCGAACTGTCCGCTCAGGACATCAATCTTTTCTTTAAACCACCACCCCGGGCTGCCATGGACGTGGATGGATCGGCGGAAGTGAAAGAAGAGGATTGGGTCCCGCCGACGCTTTGCTATCTGGACCTCACCAAAGCGCCTCTGTTGTCGCTGGGAACAGTCTTCAACCCCAGTTCGTGCCTGCTGCTTTCGCAGCAAAGCTATCCGCTGCAGGTCATCGAGTTCCACGAGAAGCTGATCGCTCCTTTGCGGGAGAGAACCAAGAATGCCCGAACGTCCCTCGGCTGGACCGTTCGTGAGCTCGGTCGACGGGGATGGTACGTCCGTGATCCGGCTTCGATGCCCCTTCAAGTACCCGACGACGGCTCTCGCTCCTGGAAGATGGGTGCCAGATGGTGGGGAGCAAGAAAGATCCCCGTTGCCGTCGGGGAGGTCGGCGGCATCTATGGGCACTACATGTTCAAGAAATGAGGGGGCATGTTAAAGGACAGGAAATTTGCGTTTCTTGCTGTCCAAATCTTCCATGGGATGAATGATAATACCCTACTTTGTTACAATTTTCGTTTTGTCGGTGGCGCGCTTTGTTCATCTATTTCCTCTCCTATCATGGGCGCTTCTTGTTTGGCTATATCCGGGCAAATTGTACAGGGAAGCATAAGCGATCAAAAGTCGGTGGATTCGATGTTATGCCTCATGATTAGCTTTTGCTTGAGTTGTCTGCATAGCGGGAGCGATGTTCTTTTGAGCGTTAGGATTTGTCTGAGTGTGGTCTTGTCTTTGCGTATTTTCTGGTGTTTGCGATATCCCCATTCTTCTGGTTGCATTGGGTTATTACGAGTTTTGCTCATTCGTTTTGGTTTTGCAAGGCGAAGGATGGCTATTTCTGATATTACTGTACTCAGACCGTGTCGGTTCATAATGCATTCAGATTATAATTAGCAGTATACTGCTGGACCTGTGAAAAGTAATATTGCTACCTGAGCGTAATGCATCCTGAATGGGGGAACTTAGGGCTAAAGGCGGACAATGGGTCACGTGTCGATGCGGTCATGCTCAAAGCTCAACTTGTTGCGGAGCTTCAATTTCTCCGTGAGACCGTCGTACCTCTATTTTTTTTAACCTCTCCCACAAAGTGGTCCCCCCGTTTAGAAGGCCTTTGACCTTCCACTCTCGGATTCTCCGTTGGGACTTTTTCCTCCCGATGGGTGGATTCCGATACGCCGCCCTGGACAGTGGACGCTGTCGAGTTCGACGACGATGGCACCTCCGAGCGGGTCGGCGGCATACAAGAAGAAAGATGGCACCCTGACCATGTCCCAGGATCGCCAGTCGGTCTCTTGGATCCCGGCGGCTGGTGGTGCGACAGGAACGATCACGCTGTCTGTTGCTCAGATCACGAGTGCGTACCCTCTCACCCTACCTGGTCGAAAATATTTGACAATCGGAGGCAACCTTGGCCACCGGAAGCTTCTTCGAAGATGAGGCGGGACTTTTACTGACCGACCATGGAAAGATCTACAACAGACTCCGGCAAGTAACCCCAAAGTCATGCTGAAGATTTTTGTCCTTCCCCCAAACACGCCAGAGAATTCCCCCGAACAGTACGTCTTCAACTTTACCGCTGGAGCCAACGCGCGCGCGGAAGCGGACGCCATTAAAGATGCACTCAGCGCGTCCATTCAAGCAGCAAAAACGGCTCAAGCTGCGCCAACACCGTCTCCTGCCCCTGGCGCGGGCGAAGGTATGTCAACGGCCATGGCGGTTGCCAGTGCCGTCTCGGCCAAGAGCAGCTGGGATGACGACAAATGGCTAAAAGGAGATGTGGAGCTACAACAGTCATTACTTAAGTCGGATCCGAACCTGCAGCGCATGTTCATGGAATCGCTGCATACCAAGCCGGATACCTTGACCGCGGGTCAATTCATGTCGCAGTTTTGGTCGAACCGTATTCATCTTTTGCGCGCCCATGCCATTGAACGGTCGCAGACGAGGGGCTCTTACAATGTTCTATCGACGCTGAAGCCGCGCGTGGAGGATAATGTGACCAAGTTAAATATCAGCAAGGAGCAGATCCAGTTGATTTTCAACCAGCACCCTCTTGTGAGGCGTGTGTATGATGAGAACGTACCCAAGTTGAGCGAGGCACAGTTTTGGTCCCGGTTCTTCCAGAGTCGACTATTCAAGAAGCTGCGTGGAGAGCGGCTTTCGGAGACTGACGCCACCGATGCCATTCTGGACAAATACCTGCAGGCGGACGAGCATGGTAATTTCCCACGGGAAGCTCACGTTCCGCATTTTCTTAACCTGGAGGGAAATGAGGTGAATAACAGTCAGCGCCGGGGAAATCGACCTGATCTCGATATGAGATGGTCCGCACCAGACAAGGTGCCCATTATCCGAACCCTGAACAGTCTAAGTGAGAAGATCATGGCCAATGTCGCACCGGCTGATGGTGATCCGCATGCGCCAGTCGGTATGGATGAGGATACATATAACGAAATACAACTACGCGATTTGCGCGGTGATGAGGAGGCAGACCGCGTCCTATTAAATATTCGAGACCAAAGCCGGTTTTTCTCCTCCCAAATCAAGGACTCCGAAGACGAACAAAACAGACTGTTTGCCCAACAAGATCCGGAAAAGATTCTTAGCGAGCTGCGCAGGGAAATTGAACAGAATTTACCTGATGATGGTACTGCGCCACTGGGCAGGCTTGTTGAGCCGGAAGAACTTGACGACGAGAAGGCAGACAGCCAACAGCCAGGGTCTAGAGCCAGTCTTCAGAAGTCTTCAGCTCAGATAATCGCTGCGATTCGAGATCGTCGAGCCCAGACGGATGTGTCCTCCACTACTAGCACATACGGTCTGTCGAGTAGCCTCTACGATCGCTTGACGTTGACACATGCTACTACGACGGAGTTCCTACACCAGTTTTGGCAGGCATTCCTGTCAGGCAACCCTGATCGTGCGGCAGAAGTATCATCCTTATTCGACTCGTTGAGTCGGGCCATGGAGCGAATCAAGGCAGTAGCACAGGATGCCGAGGCAGAGCGACAGGTGGAGGTAGACCGGCGGAAGCGTCATGCGCGAGAGGTCATGGAGGCGACAGGCAAAAAACCTCGACTCAATCTATCGAACATACAGGGTGGTGAAAAAGCGGTCAACCAATTGATGGGGCCCACTATTCAAGCACTAGAAACAGCGCAGGCGAAGTATAAGGCAGCGTTAGCAGAAGAGATGAAGGAAGCATCCGCGCAATGATGTATAATAGAACCCTTAGATGAACAACTAGTATCTTTGCAGTAATTCAAACCACACCCCAAGTATTTGACACTCAAATTGACTCTGTCATTGCAGCAGAAACCACTAGTGTAAGGGGGAGAGCTAAACTAGCGCATCATACACTATTGACTATACATCAATTAGAGTTGCACTCGGCATGCCGAGCAACCCCACAAGAACCCGCAGCCTCGGCCCGGCCTCGAGCTCAACGCAACGTGTTCACGCATCACACCATCCTCTCCAACTTCCTCTATCTCCAAGCCCCCAAAATTCAACACCAACACCAACACCAACAATCCCCCCTCCCACGATCCAAGAGGGGCTCTAACCCCTCAATGCAACAAACACCCCAATAACGCCCCTCACGAAATCCAACAAGAAAACCTCCACCTGTCAACCTCTCAACCACCGAACCCAACCCAACCCCAAGAAAACAAGTAAAAAAAGACACCAGAGCAAAAAGAAAAAATGCACACCTCCGGGCTAACAAACACACCCCTAACGAAAACCCTCCTAATCTACACCCTCGCCTCCTCCATCGCCCTCTCCATCCTCGACATCAAGCACCTGGCCCCGATCCACGTCTCCCCGCATTTCTGGCCCTACGGCCAATTCTGGCGCGCCCTGCTATGGCAAGTCGCGGGGTTCACCAATTCCACGGAGGCGCTGTTCGCCGCCATGCTGGTGTACCAGTTACGGGTTATTGAGCGCGCGTGGGGAGCGAGGAAGATGGCGGTATGTTATGTTATGTTATTTCTTTCTTATCCCTGTCACTCTATTTCACAGACTATTCAATAGTTTGAGGAAGTTGTATGTGAAGGAAAAAAGATGGTGAACAAAAAAAAAAAAAAAAGGCTAATGAAGAAATAACAGACCTTCCTCCTAACAACCTTCCCCTACACAACCCTCCTCCCTCCCCTCCTCCTGACGATCCTCCTGCGTCCGCTCTCGCTCACAAAACTAAATTACCTGCCTTCCGGGCCCACGGCGACCATCTTCGCCTTGCTGGCGCAATACCACTTCTCCATCCCGCATACGTTCCGCTACCGCATCGCGACGTCGAGCTCCAAGCCCGCGGATGACGACGCAACGGCGCAGTCGGCGGGGAAGTCCCTGACCTTGCTTTTCTCGGATAAGTCGACGACGTATCTGGTCGCGGCGCAGTTGGCGCTGTCGCAGTTTCCCGGGGCGCTGTTGCCGGCTGTTGTTGGGTGGTTTGTGGGGTTGGCGTGGCGCATGGAGATATTGCCTGGTGTGGGTGCGCGGTGGAGGGTGCCGGCTTGGGTTGTGGGTGAGAAGGAGAGGACGAGGACGGTTGGGCCTTCGGGTGGGGAGGAGAGGTATGAGGATTTGAGGCGGAGGTTGGAGGGCGAGGCTGCTGCTGCGGTGGCCGAGGCGAGTGGTTCTTCTGCGGGACAGGGTTCGGGGGTTGGGTTGAGACAAGGGAGGAGGGTTTGAGACGTGCAGAAGGTAATGAGTGTTTTGAGGTTGATTTGGTTCTTAACGAGGGTTGGTGGATGTTGAAACTACCAAGTTTTGCTTCAATGCCATTCTATATATCCCTTTTATGTACTCATACGCCTGTACAAAATCACTTCATCCGAACGCCGTAAGCATGATATGCTGTAATGCTTTTTAGGTTACCGGCCACTTCGACTTCGTCGCATATTATCCTTGCACTCGTTACAATACCATTTGACTGCATCGATTAGCAAAGCTCGTCGTAGGTGCGAATAAAGGTGCAAGCCACTCACCATTCTTCCCGGGCGGTTTCGTCAACCCCACACAAGACAAGTGGAACCATTCGCGGGGACAGGCGTCGTTGTCGCATGCCACCATCTCACCAAAACTGATTTCATTACAGTAACAGTATCGCGGCTCTCCCTCTTCGTCTTCGTCGTCGCCCTCATGGTAGGATTCTTCCTCTTCTGAAACCGCCCTCTGTTGCTGCACGACTGGCACACTGCCATTCTTCTTGTGCGATCGTTTGGCCGGTGCAGTGTCCGTACTCCGTGTTGGTCGGACCCGCGGCGCGGGCTCGGAGAATGTCGCCAGGACGGGAGTCGACGTCTTGGACGATCTACCCTTCGGCGCTGGTGGGTTGGGCGCTGGAGGAGCTGGGATATCACCAGGCTCAATTGACTCGGCGGGCTTTCCATCCGTGTCTTCACGTTTTGTACTGATGGGCGCTGATACCTTGGATGCAGCTGCTTCTGTAGTCTCAGTTTCCATTTCCCGATGCGCGTCCTGGCTCGCCATGGCGACTGTCTCCATCTTCGGTGTATCCTTGGGTGTTGTTCTGGCTTCACTGGTTTTATCTACACCGCAGATGTTAGTATGATGAGATTCAGACATGTTGAAATCAAAGGATAATGAAATAGGTGTCCAGCGAACATACTATTATTAGCCACGCGGTTGGACGCTGAAGATGATGGTCTTTGGCGTCCATTCGCCGTTTGGGTAGAATTCTGTTGAGCGCGAGAAGACTGCGGTCGGGTTGCCGCATTAGGCCCAGGGCTTGCTGCGCTCCGCGGGATGGCGGCTGCCCCAACCAGAGGGGATGGTGCTAGAACAGGAGAATTTGCAGCAGACGCAGCAGTGTTGTTCCTGAATGATTCAGTCAGCCCATTGGAAGCTCAGGAAAGCACCGAACAAGGAAATACAGGGCATACCTCTTTCGTGCACCACCCGCGTTCGCATTAGGTGCCCGAGACCTTTTCTTGGTGGCATCTGCGGCGTCCTTGGACCCAGCACGACCAGAAGCACCAGCGCCACTTGCAGACCGTTCCATTGCAGCCCCAGTATCCACGGTTGGCGGCCGCTCGACTTTGCGTCGCTTCGTCTGGCCTGATGCACCAGCTTGACCATGACCAACTGCAGAGGCATCATTCGCAGCAGCGCCTCGTGCCTTGCCTGATTGTCCCTTACGGCCGCCCGCGCGCGCATCATCAAAGTCAGAATCGGCATGCGTCCGACGCTGCTTACGTGCCAGAACAGCCTCACGTCTCGCTTCACTCCTAGAAGCAGCTTCCGCTTCGTGAAGGGCGTGGGCCAGATCCTTGTTGGAGGCAGCTTCGCGACGAGGGCGCTCGTTGGTGGTGGTCTTGACAGCATTCCTATTTGAATACGCCCAGTGTGTGAGGCTACCCAAGCGTGCCTCGTCACTGATCTCGCCTGCGATGAAAGGGAAAATGGTATCGAGGCGAAGGAGCTGACGATCTAGTTCATCGTTCGCATTCGAAATAACATGGTTCTTCTCGTCTGCGGTCATCATTAGGTCTTGAAGGGTCTGCCGTACTCGACCGAGCAGGTAATGCCGGTTCGAGTGTTCCTGAGGCTCGACCGCTTGCGAAGCACCCTGTAAATTAGGGACATATCTTAGTATACAGTTTCTGAGTGTATCTACCGCCCGCGAAAACTCTTGTATGGGCTTACCGTAGCCAGATGTTCTTGCGACACACCAGCATTGTCAGGCGCTTGTGTCAGAGGGGGAGCTGCTTGTAGCTCTGATGAGGCCTTAAGTAGCTGCTGGAGGTTATCCTCAAGAGCCCACGCTTTAGCATCGACCTCTTTCAACAGAGAATTGTGACGGCGAAACTCTCGCGGGAGGGCCGTGATGGCGTCAGTGAAATGTGTGAGAGCGGGGTAAAACCCATGGGCAACAGGCGGAGTAGGAGGTGTGTCAGTAAAGGAGCCATGGCCATATGCAAAGGAGGACCGCCCAAGGGTCTTGGAAGTTCTTGATGGATTTGTCCGTGTCTGGCGCACCGACTGCCGGGAGTTGACGGCCGACGATGAGACGGCGGAAGACATTGTGACGGCGTGTAAGGGACACAGCGCCAAAGACCCAAATCAATCAGGAAAGAGGCAATCACAGATGATGACCCGCCAGGAACACGATCGCTGGGGCATGGACAGGTGAGGGACGAAGCGACGAAGGCCTCGAAGTGCGGAGAACGGCAGAATCGCTTTCCCCTTTGGGTCGGCGTCAGGTGATTGGTGCCTGTGGATGACCTAAGGCTCCAAACACGGCTGATTAACCATCCCCTATGTAGTTATGCTCTGACGTCATCATAACAACCCTAACTTGGACGATCATTTCATAGACTTCGTTTACGACCAGTGATGCGAATCAACACTTGCAGGAAAGAAAAAGTAAATTGTATATCAAATCTTTAATTTACACGCACACACAAAAGACATTTGCTAGGTATAAACAGGCCAGACCATGTATCGTGTGTCAGTATTCAGAAATCTAATGTTCCAACACAACACGACTGTAGATTACTAGTAGGACGTTGTCAACAAATGAAATCGTACAAAGGAGACTAAAGCGAGTGTTCGCTGCCTCATTTCTCTGAAGACAAGGCACCTAGTACAGGCTATTATATCCCTTGCTCTAAACTATCCACAAGCTTACTCGCCCTTCAACCGCTCCTGGTGAACGGAGAAGGCCTCTTCAAGGAATTCCTGCTCTTCCTTAAGATGGACACTCTTGAGACCAGTGGCAACGGATGCACTGGGGGAACGACCAGCGTAGAGAACGTGGCGACGGTTGTGGTGCTCCGTCTCGTTCAGCAGAGTCTCAATGCGAGGCTGAGTGTAGCTCCAAGCACCTGCATTCAGAGGCTCTTCCTGGGCCCAGACAATGTTGCGGGCGTTGGGGTAGCTGTCAAGGTTCTCCTTGAGCTGTGCCCAAGGGAAGGGGTGGAGCTGCTCGATACGAGTGATGGCAGTGTTACGGATGCCATTCGCCTCACGGTGTTTCAACAGAGAAGCGTAAACTTGTCCGGAACACAGGATGACACGCTCAATCTTCTCAGGCTCATCGATGGTAGAGCCGTGAGCAGGGTCAGGGATGATATACTGGAAGTGAGAGTCGCCAGTGAAGTCCTCAAGGTTAGAGCGGGCAATGGGATGACGCAGGAGTGCCTTCGAGAAGAAAATCACAAGAGCTGAGAATGAAAGTTAGTATAGTCCATGTAAAATAGAGGGAAGTTACATACGCTTGCGGAACTGGCGGTGGATCTGACGACGCAGGATGTGGAACAGGTTGGAAGGCTCGGTCATGTACGCGATCTGCATGTTGCAGTCTTGGTGCTGGCGGTCAAGCTTGTCCTGGGAGGGGAAGATACGAGGTTCCTCGTTACAGAGCTGCAACCAGCGCTCCATTCTACCGGAGGAGTGCTCTGGGCCCTGGCCATCGTAACCGTGGGGCAAGGAGACAACAAGACCGGAGCGTTGCAACCACTTGGATTCTCCCGAGGCAATGAACTGGTCAATAATGCACTGAGCGTTGTTGGCAAAGTCACCAAACTGCGCTTCCCACATCACGAGGGCGTTAGGGGAGGTCAGGGAGTAACCGTATTCGAACCCAAGGGCTCCGAATTCGCTCAGAGAAGAGTTAGAGATGACGAAGCTACCCTGATCCTCGGAGATGTGCTGCAGACCGGTATAGGTGTTCTCGTTCTCCTGGTCATGCACAACAGCATGGCGCTGGGAGAAAGTACCACGCTCGACATCCTGACCGGAGACACGGACATGGTAGCCTTCCGAGACGAGGGAGCCGAAAGCAAGAGCCTCGGCAGTGGCCCAGTCGATGTTCTTGCCCTCATCCACGGTCTTCTTGCGGTTGGCCAAAATACGCTTGAGGTTACGATGCAGAGTAAAGCCTTCTGGAGCACCGCTAATCTTGTCAGCAACGTGCTTCAGAAGAGGAACCTCAACACCAGTGGGGAGGTGAGGCAGGACCTCGGTGGCCAGCTCCTTGGGGGTCTTGAATCCGTTCCATGCGGAGGTCAACCATTCCTTGCCAGTAGGCTGGTAGTCCTTGCTACGGTCGAAGCTATCGTTAAGCATACCCCAGACCCACTTCTTGTGCTCGTCGATGTCCTCCTTAGTGAAGGTACCCTCGGTGATCAACTTCTCGACATACTTGTCAAGCTGGTTCTTCTGAGCGGCAATACGCTTGTACATCAAGGGCTGGGTGAAAGAGGGCTGATCGGTCTCGTTGTGGCCCTGCTTACGGTAGCAGACAATGTCAATGACGACATCGCTCTTGAACTCCGCACGCCAGTCTGCGGCAACCTGGCAGACATAGTTCACGGCCTCAACATCATCACCGTTGACGTGGAAGACAGGGGCGTCAATCGACTTGGCGATGTCCGAGCAGTAGGGGGTGGAACGGGAATAACGAGGATCGGTAGTGAAACCGATCTGGTTGTTCACGATGATGTGAATGGTACCGCCAGTGGAGTAAGCAGGCAGGGAGTGGAAACCCATGGTTTCGTACACGACACCCTGGCCAGCAAAGGCCGCATCACCGTGCAGCAGCACGCCCATAGCAGAGTCGAAATTCTTCTCATCCTTGTTGTAGTGCTGGATAGAGCGGGTCTTTCCGAGAACCACGGGGTCTTCGGCTTCCAAGTGGGACGGGTTGGCAACCAGAGACAATTGGACACGCTTACCAGAGGGAGTAGGGCGCTCGAAGTTCATACCCAAGTGGTACTTGACATCGCCAGAGCCTTCATCAGAGGGCTCAGCGGAGCCAGCGAACTCACTGAAGATGGACTCGTTCGGCTTACGGACGACGTTGGACAGAACATTGAGACGGCCACGGTGGGGCATACCGATGACGATGTCCTTGATACCGTAGTCAACACTGCGGTCGATCAAGGCCTTCATACCAGGAACGAGAGATTCACAGCCCTCGAGACCGAAACGCTTGTCGTTGGGGAATTTGGTAGCAAGGAAGGATTCGAAGCTGTGACTCCAGATGAGACGGTCGAGGATGCGGCGCTTGTCATCAACAGAGTACTTGTAAGGCTCGGGGATCTCGAAGCGGTCACGGATCCAGTCGCAAGGCTTGCGATCAGGGATATGGATGTACTCCACGCCGTAAGAGCCACAGTAGATACTCTCACAAGTAGCGATGATTTCGCGCAAGGTCATCTTCTTACGGCTCTCGGTAGCGAAACGAGGCAAAATACCGGGGCCAAGGGTGAACTCCTCGTCCAAGTCGCGCTCGGTAAATCCATAATGATCAAGCTCGAGTTCCTTGGGCTTGTTGTAGCCGAAGGCCTCGGCCTCACCACGGATGCCCAAAGGGTCAATCTTAGCCTTGTGGTGGCCACGTGCCTGGTAGGCGCGAACAAGTAGCTGAACCTTCAAGTGATTTGTGACGTCGGTGCCGGCAGCCATGGACAGTCCAGCGCCAGGCATTGTTTGGGGAACACCACCGGTCGGGGTAGGGACAATTGTCGGGGGTGGTTGGAAGGCCTGTGAGACAGGCATGTTACCCTCCTCCATGTTTTTGAAGTAGGTTTGCCACGAGATGTGGACGCTTGACGGGTCGTTCTTCCACGCCAGGTACATTTCGTCGATATAGTTTGCAGTGCTGCCCGAGAGGAAGGAATCATTGGGATCCTATGAAGAACACGCGCCAAGCGGGTCAGTCGGACCGATTTCACTTTGCAGTATATCAATCTCTCAAGACATTATGTAGCTTACCACGCCCTTATTCGTGTCCTCCGCGGAGACGGCGTATGCTCTCCTACCATTGGACAAACGATCAACAACGGCGAGAGGACGTCTCGTGGTCAAGCCAAATTTTGAGCTCTGGCTGGAAGAGGCATGTCTGGCAGTAGAAGCAAGAGAGATAGACCTCCTAGAGGCTGAGACGGCAACACCGCGCAGCATACCGCTGCCGGTGGCCTTGATGGCTGTGGTACGAAGCATTGCGGGATTTTTTTTTTACAGCGTCAACAGAAACAAGGAATCACAATGTAACAAGAGCTGGAAGCGCTTCTATTACGAAGGCTCTAAGAGTTAAAAAGATATAAAATTGCAAATCAAATATAAGAGACCTAGTCAGTCCGTTAGCATATTTGCACTCGTCGACTGTTGTTACCAAAGCTGCCGAGAATTTCAGACGGGCCAAGGGAAAGGAAGACGCACGACGTGTCGCAGAAAACAGGTGTCGACTAGAATTGCCGTAGCACCTGCACAAAAACGGGACTCATCAGAGAGCGCACGCACTCTGGATAGAAAATAAAGGTTTTGGGGAGAGGAAAGTTAGGTTGCAGAAGAACCTCAAGTTGGGGAACAGGAGAGAGAGCAAGGAAGCAGGATCCTAGCCTAGGAGCGAGAGAGGGTTTGCCGAGATCTACGGCTACGGCTATGACGGCCTTGTGGCTGTGGCTGGCTGTTTTCCCTTCTGCAGAAGCCACGTTGCTGACTCAGCCACACCCTGCCAAGCGGGCCGAAGTTGCCGGCTTGCGACCAGGTCACCAGCGAGGTACCGCCACACTTGGCCGGCCGGGTATGACCATTTCCCGGTGCGGGTTTTTGCGGATGACCACGTCGGCTGGCCAATCATGTATACGTCATTAGGTGAGAGAAACAAAACCGTCAACATAACCAAGATCGTTATATATTGAAATCACGTCAAGCAAATCAGTCCGATAGGCTCACTGCAAGAAGAGTTGGACGCAGTCAATAGACACACATGGGGCAATCAATCATCTAATCATTAAAATTGTACACATTTTCGCTTTCCGAGTCACGTCTCAAAACATTAAGGTAGGATAGGTCAACCGTAACTGAGGCAGAGGCATTATGTAAGTAATTTGAACTGGAGGAAACGCTATATATACCGTCGCAATGGCATGTCTATTGGTTGTAACTGTCATTCCGGGGCTCTGGAAGAGTCCCAAACGTTCATAGTCGGCGGTGTTCATTCACCTTCAATACTCTTTGGTTGCTGGGAGAGGATATGTGGTGGTCCCCACTTGTCAATGGGAGAATCAGTCGCACTTGTGCCACCGAAGGCATCCGGAGGAGCATTGTAGACTGTTGGACTCACGTCAGAAAGACCAGTGAAACTTCCACGGTTCGACGAAGGGTGCGGATGTGGAGGTGGACTTCCGCTACTACTGCGGAGGCTTCCATTGCTCCCACCCCAGGCACCACGCCGGAGCCTCAATAACGCGCTGAGCGTCATTTCATCCTCGATACTCCCCATGTCCACCAGCTGGGCCAGGCCAGGGCTCGACAGTGGATTCGAGTGCGCCGCTCCGTGAGCGGCTAATGAGATGACCGAATTGCGCGTACTCCACTCGCTTCGTTCGGTGATGGGTGTTAAACTGGGTTCCCTGAATTTGCCACGGCTGCTAAAGCTGCGAGTAATACCTTCAATCCCGCGTGGTCCAAAGTACCCGCCATTTGTGAGCTCTGAGGTACAATTACCATAGGCCTGTGCATAAAATCCGAATTCCTGGCCGTAAAACCCTTCGTCATCATTCTCCAACGCCTCCGCGTTGGCAGCGGCGATGATGGGGTCATCATAAAGAGCAGCATCATTGTCATCATAATCAAAATCCTCAAATACGGACTCGACGCCTACTGCGTCGGCCAGCTGGCTCAAGCGGCTGTCGTCTGACACTAGCCCCGAATGAGAATCCACAGTCTGCGTGACGCTTTCATGGCCCAGAGACTGTTCACTAACACTGATGCTGCGTCCAAATCTGTCAGTAGTGGCAGAGTCATTGGCTGCCTTGGCCAGAGCATTGTGCAGTGCCTCTAGGTTGTGTTCCGACAATACACCCCCATACGACTTCGCTGGCCCCACGTCGGGTATTACTTCCTCCTCATGGCCGTACCTCCTGGGGACCACTTCTCGGTAGTCACTCGCCATGCTTGGAACATGCTTAAGGCCGCCATCGTGTCCGGGAAGTCCATCATGTTCATTCAGAACATCTCTAATGCCAGGGTTTGGCTCCTCCTGCCGAACAGATGCGGCTCTTTGGGCTGCCGGCTTGCGATCATACAGGTGACTTGTCTCATCATCGAATATTGATTCATCAAATTTTTCGCCTTCGATATCAGCAGCGAGATCGCCAAACTCTCCATCGTCAAAATACAAGTCATCGTCGTCCTCGTCAACGGCTAGTTGTGAGGTATTCAGATGAGCGTTAGTTGCCATTTGTGGGGCCACCGCCAAAGGCGCAGTCTGCGGCTGCGGCAAAGTCTCTGCTTCACGGTCGGAGAGTGATTCGTTGTTCAAATGCACAGCTGCAGGATCACACATAGAAGAGCTCTGGCTCCTCTCAGGCTCAGGAGCCAAGACTTGGTCACCTTGAGCGTTCGGGAAAGGAGCCATGCTCGGGGCATTGGGACTACTCGGACTAGCAATTACCGGGGACAAGCCAGGGGCAAGCCACGATTTGTTCAAGATGTCCCCCGGCCCGGAAAAGTCCTCGAAGTCATATTCCTCATCTGCATCAACATTGACGCCTGGAATTTTTTCCTCCAGGTCATCCATGTCGTCTATAAGATCATTATCAAAATCGTCATCTGCATCGCTAAATTCTCCGTTGAGTCGGGCTTTGGCCCTTCGTGCAGCTTCCTTCTCTTTATGTTTTTCTTCCAATAGCTTTTCTTGCGTTGAGGATTCCACACCATTCATATCAAAGCTGAATCGAGACGCGTTACTCTTGAGATGTTTTGGTAGCCCCAATGGTTGATGTGGTACTATCTCGACAATGTCTGCATCCAGTGGCGCGGCATCATTTGTCGGTTCAACGTCTTGGCATTTAGTAGAGGCATTGTTATCGGTAGCATGAGGTTCTCTATCAGGGTCTGGTAGGCTCGATGGTAGGTTCCGGGCAAAGACAGGAACAGACTTCGCATCATTCTCATGATGGGTTGGGTCGGTTAACAGGGAGGACTGCAAATAAGCTTTATTCTCAACCTGGAGTGCTTTCTGGTCTTCTTCAAAGTGCTCTCTAAAGACAGGAGAGTATTCACTATGTCTCTTTCTCTGGTCATTCACAGGGACTGTCAAATCATTAGTATAACCCTGTGTCCCGTTGGCCGCCTGGGACGGTTCGTGCGAACTATGTCGGTTAGACACGCCATGTAGTAGAACAGGTGCTGCGGACAGGTTCCGACGAGGTCGAGGAGCGGAGAAATCATGAACAATGTTTCCACGTATTCTGGGGTCATAGTCGTCTGGTATGGCAGGGATTACGTTACGGGCCCTGATATTCGCATCCTCCGCCCGGCCCGCTACCTGGGAAGAACGTCTTCTAGCCAAGAGGGACATGGGGTTCAAGAGATGAAGCATCGCCTTCCCCGATTTGTGGTGGACAGGTTCCGTAGAAGCATCCCGATCCCCTTGCCGGCGGCTAATTGTACTCTCCTGTTTGTGGTCCCTTCGCGGTGTTATTGTCCTTTCGGTGGCGTATTCATCAGGGGGTGCCTTGGAGCGAAAATGGCCTAATTGCGCCATGTCGGGGGTAGATGAACGCTTCAGATGACTGGCGGAGGATTGTGAATGGGAGTTCAACAGTCCTTTTCCGAATGAGAGCCGGAAGGGTGAATTCGGCTTAGATGAGTCGCCCTCGACCTGGTCCGGCCGTGAACCAGGGAAGGATCGCTGCGAGTAATTCGATCGTGGTGTTAGGGATAAATCTCTTTCTCGTTCTTCGGGACTTGAATGGAGGCGAACATCTTTATCGGAGGAGGAGGACGGTACCGCAAGGGTGGCGCAAGAGGACGGAGCATTGATCGCAGCAGCAGATACGGCGACATTGTCTTTGCTCAAATCAATTTCCGCATGATAATTGCTCGACACCTGGGTATCTGGTTCTTCCGAACTGAACGTAGTCGGCAGTGCCGTCGAAGTAGGGATGACTGGGAGCTGCGGAACGTTGCTTGCGCCATTAACCCTCGCAGAAGAGGAGACGGGGGGAGCACTGGATCGGCGATGATCGCGGCGCCAGTATGAGAAGACAGTAGAAGGCGGCATGATGAGAGTTGCAGTCCAAGCTCATAAGCACCCACGGTGCTTCTAGAAGAGCGCGCGCTCTGTTTAGAAACCACAAAATTCTTCCATAACGCTTGCAATTCTTTTTCACACGCACGCTCTGCGGAGAAGATTACCACCAGGTGCGTGGGGCAAATTAAATTGGACTGTCTCACACGGGCTCGGGCGGTGCAATGCAATGTTCACCACTACGTATGTCGGGGTTTGTCACGAGAAACAATGAGATGTTTAAAAATAGTAGGGTAGTTTAAGTATAACTAAGATAAGAGTATGCGCCAGTATGTAATGTACTAGATCTGCGTTGATAAATGGTCAAATCAATGTCAGATGCTAAGGCAAAAGGGGGTAAATGGAAGAAAAAAGGTACGTCAGGGACGGGAACAATGTCGCTGTCCTTCCGAATGCGGACAACCTGGGCCCTAACCCGCTTTTCCTTCCCTGAAAGAATGTCCCAATGACACGCCCATGGAATTCAGCTGATGCTCAAATGCAAAAGAACAAAAAGAAAGGAAAGAGTTCTCAGGGGCTCCGGAAATGGTCTCGTTCCAAACTGGCCTGAATTGGCAGGCACTGAAAGCTTGGCATCCTTCAAGCTATGATAAGGATCCCCGGTGCAGGACCCCGTCAAGGATAACAGAGCTCAGAAACAACAGCATCGCGCCAGATCATTCGCCTTGATTACTGAAGAGTAAAATGAAAATGAAATACTATACATACTTGCAATGCAATGCGTTCGCTAATCTACAGGACACCGCAATGACCCATGCTTCCAATCATCATAAATAACAAGATGCGCTCAAGAAACCTATCCATCCTTCAACCAACGCAGAACAAAAATTAACGATGTGGTAATGGTAAAGAAGGAAGTAAGAAGTAAAAGGACGGCCTTATACTATACTCTGTCTCCATCGGTCAATCATCTCACGCTGGCCCGTCTCGACGCCTGGTCGTACGGGCTTATGCGGCGCAACATAGCTCAGATGATTCATCCCCAGTATAGCATCGCTGTAAAATGTATTCGGGTGGGCTGGTCCATATCCAAAGGAATCGGTCCTTGCAGGTCCTTGGTATTGGGCAAATCTTGATGGCACCGGCTGTCCGGGGTGCGCCGAGAATTGGAGAGACATGCGACTATCGTAAGGAGTTTGGTAGGTCGAAGTACGATGCAATGCGGCCTCCCTGGAAATTGGTCGTCCTCCAGGGGCCGGCCGTCGGGCATGAAGTAGGTCCGCCATACTTCTTCGGTACCTGGGCACCTTCAGAGTCGAATTTCGTGACTCCGTTTCCTTCTGAAGACGTGCTCGGCGTTGAGCCAAGGTTTCCTCTTCTGGCGGTCCCTCGTCTTCTTTCTCCTTGTCGTTCCCATTCATGTGGTCAACCTCCGCTAGTATCTCGTCGGCAAATTCACTTCCTGTTGCAGATTTACGGCGGTCGTTACCCTTCAAGCGCTTCAAACGATCGGCCAGGGTCTCCCCTTCGTCGCCACTATCACCCTCAGCGGGCTCCTGTACATTCTGCGTGTACATGGTAGTCGGACGGTTGTCTGGGCTGCGTGGTGGAGGAGGTGGTGGTTCACCCCGCAATCTCGCGCGGCGCCTGCTCAAGGGCTCGCTTTCTTCTAATTCGCGCCTCTCCATGAGACCCAAGGGCCTGTTATCATCAGTAGCAGTAGCCTTCTCGGGAAAAAGCATTCCGAGGGGCACATCGTCATCGCCATCATCGTCTGGCTTGTTAACATCGGGACCTTCCCAAGCAAGGGTAACAGGCCGATATCTTCTATGTTCACTCTGCTTCTGGGCAACAGCATCAAGCTGGAGAAGCGTTGAATGCAGTCCTACAGAATTGACAGCAGTCCGCTGTCGTTGCCGCAGCTCGTGTTTTCTCATTTCGAGTTCCGCTAACAAGGTAGAAGGAGGTCCTGTAAATGGAACCTCCTGTTCGTTGCTTTCACCTTCCTCGTCCTCGTGGGGATCATGCTCAGCATCATCTCCATCACGAGCGCCTTCACGTAATGAAGTACCCTCATGCATGTCTGCTGCATCAGCTTCTGTTTGGTGGTACAAGTGATGTGAGGCGAATGAACTTGCTCTGGCATCCGAGTCAGAGGAGGGATTGTCGACTCTGAGGGTACTCCTTGACATGTGTTTCTTCTTCTGCGCCGCCAAGTCTTTAGATGATGCCTTGTTGGCGTACACTTCTGAACCGACAGCGCCAGCGTACGGATGGTCTGTGAAGGCAGTAACCGGCGCATTTGTCGAGGCATCGAGAATGCTGTCAAGTGTCGCAACTGCGGAAGACTGTTTGACTTCTACGTCAAGTGGTGTGGGGGGTTGTTCAAAGAAAACACTAGCACGAAGCTGCGGAGGCAGATCCGCTGGCTGCTTCTCACGCTTGGAATCTTTTGTATCGCCTAGAGCCTGACCAGACAGCCAAGGAGCCGATTTTCGGTTTTCAGCAGTGACTGATCCAAGCAACTGCGTCCGACGCTTTTCCTGTTCAACGGTAGGCTTCTGTGACAGCCGCGGCGGCAAATTAAGCATCATCGGCACCGGAGCAGGGTAATATACCATATTCTCGCCGGTCTGCGGCTCCTTGTACGACTCCGGTCCGCTCGCCAGAGGCGGCCTTGTCAAAGATACTTGTCGCCCAAGCTCTAGGCTTTTATCGTGGGGAACATAATGCACACCATCAAAGTCGGTGAATAGAACCCTGGCCTGTTGAAAGGTGTCCCCTGACGCAGCCGAGGATGGTCGTTGAATTTCATCCGGGGTGTGACTATACTGGCCATGGTAGGCAAAGTCGGGCTCTGCGGGAGCAGGTGGTTGTGGAGGGGGGTTAGAATCGTTAGAAACGTGCATCATCGACTGGGAGAATCTTTCCTCGGGCATATGTTCGGAAACTTGGGCTAATCGAGAGGCAGACATAATTGACCCTTGGCTGGATGGTACTGTTCCCTTCATGGGGTTGCTTTCACGGACGGAATTGGAGACTGAGCTGACCGAGCGCCTCTTCTGTTCACGATCCATCTTGCGGATTTCGCTGCCAATATCCGCCGAGCTGGAGCTAAGTTGTTCGGCACTCCTTTCCAGCCTCTCTACATTATTCAAATAGGCACCTTGTAGCGATTGAAGATCTGGGGTAGGATGGCTGAGAGGAACAGGGGTATCGGTGATCGGAGATCGCAGGGGAGGTTCAGGGGAGCCGGCGTGGGCAGCTCTAGTGTCTAGCGGCGCAACGCGACGGAGACTATTAGACCTCCGGTTTGTCGGAGGATCGGCGACGTCGTAGTCATCTTCCTCAACCATGTCATAGCTTGTGGAGGTCATGGACCGGATCAACGAACCTAACCGGCCCATGCTAGAATCCTCGGCGGTTTTGGCTGGCTGCAGATAAGTTCCTCCGCCAATATGATCGGCATCTAAAGGAAGTTGTTGGAAGGTCGATTTGTGCGGCGACGAGCTTCGGGAGACATCAGAATCGGTCGCGTTGGAAGCCACCTCGTGGTCGGTTTGAGAAACAGCGTTGTACGCCATTTTGATATGTGGTTGAGGATGGCAGGGTGCAATCAAGGGCCATCAAGGGAAAAGGCACTCTGTCGTGTGATCCACCCACAAAAAAAAAAAAAAAAAAAAAAAAAAAAAAATTCCCAAAAGAGGGGAAGGTTCTTAGGGGCGTTTGGTAGCAATCAGGGAGAGATAAGGCGGGAGAGGCCTTCCAAGACAAAGGTCATCACAATCAAATCGGACGTTAGGGATAGAAAGGAAGGGAAAGGGAAATTTTTGAGACAAGAGAGAAATAAAAGGAGAGAACTTAGAGAATAAGCAGGTGTGAAAAAGCAGAGAGAGAGAGAGAAACAAGAAAAGAAAATAAAAACTTGGAAAAGTAGGATAAGGATGACGGATTCAGATTAACTACCAAAGACGTACAAAACAGGGCATGAGAGTTGGGATCGCATACATACTGTACAGTACCATACTCCTGGATGGTGAACGGAATTGGTTAAATCCAGAGGGATGAAGTAGTACGTACTAGGTACAGTACTCTGTACTGCCTGTATGTACCTATTTTTGTTTTGTATGGTCTGTGGAATGTATTAACCAACTGGAGGTCCCCCTTATAAGACCCTTAAAGTATAGGAAGAATATGTATTGTCCATTCTTGTCATGTTTCCACCGTTGGTTCCTTTCGCACTTTTTAATTTTCTTGAATTATTTTTTTTCTTTTCCAGGTGAGCTAAATTTGGATCATGGGGAGAAACAGACTAAATTATCCGCCACCATGTTTACAGGCAACCCTAATTAAACTAGTAGCCTGATAAAGACAGACACTTTTCATCACCTGCACTTTAATATGCAAAAAGGAAATTTATCTCGAATCGTAATACTAATTTACAATCCTAAAATTATATTGACAGTCAATTGCATTCACACGCATCAAGCTTGTCAGCTTTGCAGGAACTACCTGCTTGCAGATGATGAATATTTGTAAGAACTTGATACATCAAACAGCAGACGCCGGATATAGCAACCACTCAAATTCAAATCTACCATCAAATCTGGGTCAATAATCGACTATTAATTACTATTAAATGTCTTATCCTCATCCTCCGCACTACACTATCGAACTGCGCCTCGGTCTGTCCTGCAGGACGATTAGTGAGAATCTTCAAATCGAAGTGCTAGTAGTGTCTTACCGGTTTTGTAATGTGACAGCTAAGCATCTAACAGATCAAGGCGCTTCATATATAAGATGAATTAAGCTCAAGAGTACAATGTCAATGACACTGGTTACAGACTACATCTGAGTCTCTTGGAATGTCCCTGAATGCAATAAATCCACTCGATAGTAGCGTCTTGGCGTTGGTGATTGATGGAAATTCCATGTTCTAGACCCTTTCATACGTGAACTTGTGTATTACTTGACTCCACTGTACCTTTTCAACGGTTCCGTTTTCAACACACTCTTACAGCATCAACAATCATGTTGTAGAGATTACAAGAGAGGTATACATAAGTCTTGAAATAAGACTACTTATTGCTTATATGGAGAATGAGAGACCTTACTGGTATCTACCAGAATTTTATCATACAGTATATGCAAGGGTCTCTTGTTTTCCGCTTACCAGTACATCCATGTCCACACTATCCGATTACTAGTGGCATCAAGGTGCTTACGAGGTGTATCTTAGTTTTACACAGTATATTGTAAACCATGAGGTATGTACATGTCTATTCAAAGATAACGATGCAACGGCATCAAACATGTTCTTCAGCAATCTGTTTTGTCTTGCAGTGGACTGATAAGCGGGGCGTTACTGATGGTACTTGTCCAGGCGACGTTTCCATCCTTAGTCGACCAAGTCTCAATTCCACGGTACTATCTCGATTGTATCTGTTTGTCCTTGGCTAATGAGTATCCACTTACGGTCTACATCGTATCGCTAGTCATACTTCCATTGGGGTAGTCAGGATGGATAGGATAGTCACATCGAACTATGAGCGCTCGCAGAATGGAACATCAAAGCCGCTATAAGGACAATGTACAGCAACTAAAAAGATCATTCAGGTAGATATAAAGGTAAGCTACAACAGCGGTAGGTAACCACGATTGAGCCTGTAACACACACGCTAAGCAGCAAGACCATAATATCCTGAGTTTGTGACCTGGGCGGCATTAGAAAGGAATGCCTAATGTGCCATACGGTACAAAGTAGCCCATAGAATACTTTGAGGATGCTGATATTCCTCCTCGGGTATTAAGAGAGCGCACAGATTTAGCCCGATTGAGCTTCTAAAGCAGGAGAATACCCTGTGAGGGGCTGTCTGAAGAGCCTTACAAGGGCTTGGATAATGACTATAATGGATTTCAGTACTCATATTTAGTTTTGAAAAGGGGCAGGTTGTGTTAAGAAATACCTCTGATGTATCTCCCTCGGGGCATTTCCGTCATGTTATGCAGAGTGACAGGAACATATTATACGTACTGTTTCTATGATATAAATGAGGTCAGGGAACAAATCTGAGTATGCAAAATAGACTTTGGATATGTACAGTCCCTGCTGTTTCCCTATATGGAGTGGACTTAAACTAGAGAAAAGCCGTGAACTCTCAGAAGGATATCTATATATTTTCAAGACCCCAAACCTAGTAGCACGACAATGACGTCACCGGAATCAACGAAAGATGACATCTAAAACCCTTCTCTACAACGAAAAGGAAACAGGAGAAGTCAATAGGTTAAAAGACCAAAAGTTAAATATTACTGCAGTGTATGTCAAGCTACGAGGCTCTTAAAGTACCTTTTAAAAAACGATAACGGCACACGTGACATCGCGAAATGTGGGACGCGCCTCAAAGTGACAGGTGACTTCAAGAAGTGAGGTCGCTGATCAGGTTCAAATTCTAGATTAAGAGACAGTTACACAATCCAACTCCTTCGAAATGTCATACTATGATATTGACTCTATCTTAACAGATGCCCAGGTACGTCACGAAAATCTACACGTACCAGTCGGACGTGTTTTTAATGTCTCACGGTGATAGAAATTGCCTTGCACATTCGAACTCGAGGTGCCAGGGCTTGGAATTCTAGAAGGCAATCCGGGCGACAATGTAAGCTTATGATTTGGATTACAACCAACGAGGATGGCCGTGGATTGACAACATCAGATCAAAGCTGGTACTCGCATCGACCTCCCATTATGGCTGGGTGAAATGCTCTCTATCGGGTGAGATCTGAACAACCCCCAAACCCCCAATCAGACCGTATCTAAATTAGCAAAGAGCTCGACTGGGCACTTCTCGTCTAGTCACACTAGATATCCCTTCAGCATTGTCAGAACGGGTCATGAACGCCTTAAAAGCAGACCCTCGGACTGTTGATCTGCGGGCATTAGCGCCGCATTTCTACAGTCTGAGCGAGCGAGTTTTGGAGCTTTTTGAGGAGGAAGAGATGGTCGATGTTCTTATTAATGTCTGTTCACCCCCCGCACACCCGAGGAATAAGGAGGAGGAGGAGGAGGAGGAGAAGAAGGAGAAATGCCTTGGCTAATAACTCATATAGACATTCAAGAAGCGCGCCTCAGAGATTGCTGACCATGCCCACAACCCAAAGGGAGCTCTTGGTGACGGCGTTGAGTTTCTGCGGGGGTTAGATGAAACGGAGAGGCAGTGTACGTGGAAACCAACTCTACAGCTTACAACCTTCTGGCTTGTTTCTAATCACTCGGTCTAGTGTTCCGTGTGGCCCATGATAGTGCCAAGGAGACACGGATATGGGCTGGGGAGGCTAAGAAGAGGTAGTTCGAGGGGGGAAAGTATCACCGTCCAAATTTAACAGATTGAGCTGTGCTCGTCATATGAGCTATGTTTATTGTTTTGCCCGGGACGCTAGTCATGTGCTTAGGGCTTGCTGTGTTGGTGGAGTTATATGGAATTGGCACTCGCATAGAAAGGAGCTTGCGAGCTATTTTTGCTTTCAAGTAGACTTAAATTTAACAAGCTTCATGGTGTTTTATCTTAGCCCACATACCCTTGAGGATTATCAGTGTGTACTCTAGATCGAAACCCTAGACGGTTACAAATAGCCGCAAACTAGCAATGTGGGCTACATATGCGTACTACAGAGGCAGGGGGGGGGGGGTGTGTGCACTGCAGTCCGAAACTATATACTGTAGTATGAAGTCGAAGAGGTCTGTCGGGCCATTAGGAAAGGCTAACTTTATATGTTCCTGATTAATGCGGTGGAATACTAGTTACTGCACAGGAACATCTTGTACAAGGTTCAGAACCGACCGAGTAAGATTAGGATTGCTTTTGGCGGTGTAGCTGGAAGCGAGACGCGGGCATCGTGGGCTGATCCTTTCTGTGGGGCTTTGTTTACATAGCAACTTAGTAGCTTCTGGTTGTCGGGACTGCAATGGAGTAAGTATCTTGAATTTGTATCTATATTTCTTGGAAGCGTTCCAAGAAGTATTGGGTGGGGTCATGAGGAAGTTGCTTGTTTCTTGTGGGATGTTGACGTTTGCATTCTTTTTCCAAACGGTCTGCTAAGGTTAAGAAGATCAGCTGGATGGTCGATGGGCAGGGGGTTGAAACGGTTGGTATGGCAAGAAGGGAAACCTTCCACCATTGAACTAACAACTACTAGTACTACTTTAGTTAGTCCGTAGTCGTAGTCAAGAGTCCAGCCCTTGCGACAGTTGGAGGATTCATTAAATGGAATCTGCAATGCTCATTGGTGAGCGATGAAACAGCCGAGGGATGTGGCTTTCCGATTGGTCTCTTTCTTAGAATGAACCCCTTCAACAAGACTGCGTTGAGTTAGTAGGAAAGGACGATCAACCGACGGTGGGACTACCGTAAGGTCCCGACTATGCCTTTAGTGGTTTTAGTGCTTGCCTTTGCCGGGGGACCTATCACGCTTGTTGATTGAAGACTAGACGATGACTTGGGGTTGTTGAGAGGATTGAACATTCGACACATTCTTGGATGAAAGAAGAGAGTGCGCGAGAGATAGAGAGATACGGAGGAATGAACAGGGAATGCAACTAGCCTGCAATCAAGTGTCAAGAAGGTGTCACAACATTCAGTTCCAATCCTCTCCACAATTTCAATTGTTGTCGCATGGTAACCGGACATTCCCAGCTGATCCATGGATGGGGGGGAAATAAGGGTAATATCCCGTTCGCAGAAATAAGACTAACCAGAAGGAGAGTTGTAATGGGATCGTGCAGCGTGTGGGGATTCTTTTTTTTTTTTTCTTTACCTACTCTTTCTCTCCGTCACCCTCCTTTCTTGGCTGTGAAGATCGACTCGTCATACCTTTTCCCGTCACATTTTAATCTTTTCTCCTCTCTCCCCTCACATCCAGAAAGTTACGTACTTGCCTCGCTACCATTTCTTTTGCGCGGTGCTTTCGCTGTGTGCGCGTTGTTACCCTGCCAATTCCCTGCAGCTCCTACGATTCACGAGAACCCATCCTCGACCTGTATCTCTGCGCCAGACTCCTCGCATCGCCACTCGCCCAATAGGGAGTGTGAACTTAGCTCGTTTTCTCACTCGACCTGTCGATTTAAATCTCCGCCTTTAATGAAACGCGCGCATTAGGTGGACATAGTCGCACTGTTCTCCTGCACTCTACGTTCGTGTCGTGCATCTTGTCAATTATGCGCGTTCGGTAGCCGAGTTCGTCATCTAGGGATCTCGAACCGGCATGGACAAATCACCCCAAAGGCGAAGCACCGCCTCGGTGCACTCAACCACCCCTTCGTCATTGCGAAATTGCCTATACCCTTCCCCGGCCACGGCTCTCCCAACTGGTCATACGCCCCCAAGACAGAGTCCGGAACTGAAGAGTTGGTTAACCCAGCCTCCCCTCCCTTGAATGATTCAAGGGATACCAGACTTCACAACGGTATACTAACTATTCACTTGTTCCTTCAAGGTAACTCTCAATCGCCAAAATCTGCAGCGCTCACTCGGGTCAAGAGACGGATTAGGATGGATACTCCATCACATATGAATACTGGTACGATTTTTGAAGGCCGTGGGATATTCAGGTGATGCTAATGTGCCATACAGAAATGTCATGGCCGCATGATCTATCTTCTGTGACCGGCTCGCCCAAACCGAGCTCGCAAACCTCTAGATCAAGTATGTTTGCAATGTGATTGTTGTGGAATCAACAGATCATTAGACATATTCATGTCTCATACGCAATATCTGGAATTCTAACGTGATGGCCCTCCGTAGAAACCCCCGAAACTGGATCAACATCGCTGGTGAACCCATCCTCCTCTCTGCTACAAGACCTGTTGAAAGAGCAGCGTGCGACTCGGGGGTCGCGTGGCACAACTTCAGAAGACACGGACGACAATGGACCCCGTACGCCTCGTACGCCAGGCCGTTCCCGCTCCAACTCTCAGGCCCAGTCACAGGAAGAGCCGGGCTCTGATCGGCAACGAAAGATCAATAATGCTCTGGCTGTGGGTCTAAAGCAACCCCGGGAGATGGGGATGAGAGAAATGGACCAAGTGAGTGGCGCCATGGTAGCTTCTACCATGATCCTGCAGTCACTAATAGAATGATAGTATATCTCGAAGATGAATAAGCAGAACTTTGACTTGAAACTCGAGATCTTTCACCGTGCCCAGCAAATGGCGGCAATGGAAAAGAAGCTTGAGCGGATGTTGGAGATGGAAGAAGAGCTCCAACGCCTGCGGGATTTAGAGGACGAGCTACAGGAGTTGCGGGATGCCGAAGAAGACAATCAGAGGTTGCGGGAGTCCAACGAGCAATTACGGCAGGAAATTGATAAACGAGACCAGGCTGTGACAGAGGCGGTAGAATTAATCTGTCAGCTCGAAGCGAGAGTGGAGGAGCTAGAAGCAGCCGGAGATCATTCTAGACCTTCTACAGCCCGACCTTCTACGCCTGATGGCCCAGGCCCAGCTATTGAAACGCCCAAGTCTCCTACGCCTGTGGATATCCCAGAACGGATATCCTCAAAGAGAGGTGCAACGTTTGGTGACCAGCATCGCCGAAGGTCTTCGGGTACACGCCATCTCAAGAGAGCACCGTCGTTTCTCCTTCACGAGAACCAAAACACGGCGGCTCTGCGAAGTGTCTACAATCCTGCCGACGACCAGTCTCGCTCCGAAATGAGCATACTTACGAATTCCGAAAGCCTCCACTCCATGAACGAGACCGGCGAACCTGATTCCCCGAGGCTTAGTGCACTGAGTGAATGTAGTGAACTGCATATAGGAGATATCACTGGGGCGTGTAATGACTTTGATGAAATCGAAATACCTGTTCGCAAGAGAGCATCGACAGCGCAGAGTTCCATATTCTCACCCCTTCCGAGAGAAGATCGAGAAAGGGATCGGTTACGTTTTAGCTCATGGACTCCGCCGAAGCCAGATATCGATCCAGAAGGCACTCCGAGAATGAATATTCGGCCTGTGCTAGATGTTTTCAGAGACACTGATAAGCCAAGCTTTGAAAGCATCTCTTGCGATAATAGCTCTAGTCAAAAGACACATATTGACAGCGTTTTTGGAAGCTCTAGGCTACCTCCTACCCCTGACACGATGAGTACCGCACATGCATTCGGAACCAACCGGTCCAACGGCAGCGCTACGGAGAAGAGCCAGGTTGATCAGATTGCGGTTCTTAAGCGGGGACTTCGCCGTCCTCGTTCCGCAGACGAGCTGACCACCAGGCAAAGTTCCGGCAATAGCAGGCTGACTGATGGTACAGATACCAACATTAGTGAGGTTATGCACCCACCGCTTAGTCCCGACGAACGAGACGAAGCTCCTGCTATATTTCCCTTGGATAGCATATCATCAAGGACCGGCTACATGCAAAGCCAGCAGCCAGTCCATGGGTCGAACTTTGGCTACTATGGAAACGGAGTCTTGTTCAACCGGGATGATCTGGAACATGTTCTCTCGAAGATAGACAACAACTACTACTCGTCACCTAAGTGCGATGAGGCTGAAGAGCCCGCTTTGGATACACCATCTACATCACCGCCCCTTACCCCTCAAGATTGGGTGGAAGCAGCGAAATCCGGTAACCCCACTGGGAAGACTCGTGCCCTCGCCCCGGCTATTGGCCCTGTTCCTACCAAGTCTCGACCAGGTGGTACTAGAGCTCCAAGCCAGTCCTCATTCCTTGGGCGTCGCCATAGCGTTGACTCGACCGTGCCGGACCTTCCGATTATACCCACGCTTGATCTAGGCTCCCTGGAACCTGTTCGCCAGCCTGAGCCGGACCCAGAACCTCGACGAAAAATCAGTTTCCGGCCTCGGTTTTTTGGAGGCTCAAAAGCGACGCGCCGTCTCCAACCATCACCCATTCCTGATGCCACGAATGAACAGGATGGAGCACCCTCTCCAATCATCCCCAAGATTAGACAAATGGGGCCTTCGAAGTCGGCCAGTACAAATCAAAACGATTATTCGCCCACATCCTATGACAACGGCCGTACACCTGCCCTTGCATATGCCGATACAAAGGGTGGCGATATGCGCAGAACCCTTCCTCATTCATTTACAGATTCCAACATGCTGTCACATAGTACCGTAAACAGGCCACCCTCGTCTCACGGCAAAGGACACAAAAGACGGAGCTCACTTGGAATCTTCGGCTGGATGAAAGGGGCCAGCGGTTTTGGGTCGTCCCATAAGAAATCTGAACCTGATTCCTCTGCGATGTCCACGCAGTCCAGTTCGTCATTCAAGGACAGAACCCCCTCCCGTTTAGCCTATGAGTTTCCGGTTGCGAGCACTGAGGTCAGGGATGCTCATTTAGCTTCCATGAATGTTGCAGTTGAAGACTTCGCGTCTAGTACGAAGCGGATCTCTTGGGTAGAAGAAGAGACAGCCCGACGGCCTAGATATGTGGATCGTCGCCGTCGAATTTAATCTAACCTCGAGAGACCGTGTACACGATATACAACAAGAAACGCAAACCGAAAAATCAGCATCCATTATCTCTTCACCACTATACGGTCTACTCTAGTTCTTTTGTTTTAATGCGTCACGATACCCCACGAGTTATAGTCTAACAGATGGCATGGATTGTACAAGTATTTGCATAGCATTCGTGTCTGAGAGGTTAGGAGTCACTGTCTGGATTTCTTATGTCTTTTGGTGTCTGGTTGGTACGAACTACCGTTGTCTATCCTTCCTTCCTTCCTTTATATTTTGTCCTCTCTTTATCCCACTCTCACCCCAGTCACTCTCTATGAATTTCCTTCATGTCCTATTTCCTACAGTGGTTTGCATATCCAAGTGATTTTTGAATTGCGATGACTGATGTTCAATTACGTTTGCATCTTGGAGGGGTCCTCATTCATTAGCATCTTTTGTGTTTTGTCTTGTATTATCGATTTATTATTGTTATTTTTTCCCCCTTTCTGTTGATTCCCTTTTACTTTTTATCTCTTCGTTGCGAGAAAGTCGTCTATCTGATGAAGTTATGTATGAGTTTCAATTCGCCTCTTCCTATTATTGCCATATAAACTACCATGCTGGTTCACGAGTCGGCCATTCGAATCCAATCTATATAAATCCGTACAATTTATCCAACCAAACCCATCCAGCCCAAACTCCTCCTCGAGTAAACTACAGTACAATACAAAAAGTCACCCCAAAAGACCCCTCCCCTTTTCACCGCCTATAACGCCCAAAGCAGAGTAGAAATGAAGAACCTCAATACCAATTATTCCCAGCTTCGCCCAGCTTCTTCCCCTTGGGATTCATTGAAAGAATCCTCTGCCCAGGCAAAGTATCATCCGTAATAGCCGACTCAAAGATCCCCGAAATAGCCCTCTTCCCTATCTCCGCAAAAGAATCGTACCCCTTCCCCGCCTCGTCCCCATTTATCGCCGCCCACTCCCTCGACAACCGCGGCGACCGCCCATCTCCCAAATCAGTCCACCGTGTCACGACAATCGCATGCCGGAACACGTTGCGCTGCGAACCACTCCGGTCCTCGGTGAGCTTGACCTCAACCAGATACTCGGAGGGACACTCGGGGCAGCGACGCATGGGCCGGCACTTACCGCAGAGTGATGTGAGGGCGTTAGGGTTGTGGATTCGACGGTGATACATGTCTTTTGCGCGGTGCTCGAGGCCCTGCAGGCCGTTTGTGGTGCGGGGTACGGGGATGTGGCCGAGGGCGCATTTGCAGATGTTCATGAGTTCGCCGTCGCGCCAGTGCGCGCAGACGGAGAAATATGGCCAGTAATCATCGCGCGAGTAGAGGAGAAGTCGCTGTTCGCTGACACTGAGGCCTGGGTCAGCGAAGCAGGTGCTCACGACCCGCATGAGCAGTCGGCCGTGGTGGATGTGGTATCGGGTCTGGTGGTACCAGCCGTCCCTACGCCAGCGACGGCATAGGGAGTCAGGTGGGATGCCGTAGCTCGGTCCGAATCGGTATGCGCGCATGACGAGCTGGTGGAAGGTGAAGTAGAGGACTCGACCGTGGGTGATGCGGTGGCGGGGTGCTGGGCGGGCGTTGTTGCGGGCGTTGGGGCAGTCGAAGAGCGGATTGACTACGTCTGCAGGCTCGAGCTTTTCGCAGCCTTCTTGTGTGCGGCGATGGTATTTGCCGCAGGGGAAACAGAGGAGATGGTGAGGGAGTAGTTTGTCTTGTGAGATGAGGAAGTCCGCCTTGTAGTCGTGGTTTTCTGGGAGGTTTATAGTTATCCAGGGCTCGCGGCCCAGACGAGTGTATAGTGTTCGGCTGGAGAAAGCCAGACTGGCTCTCTCGGCGGGATTGAGATACTCAGCGACCTTGGCCCAGAGGTCCGATGTTAAGCTGGCAATCACGGGCTCGCCTGGCGGTCTGTTGTCGAATTCGTGTAGTTGCACGTTTGGGTCGGAAGGGTCGAGATCTCCCACACCAATTGAATGCAGCATTGCGGTATGATCACGGACTTCGCCTAGCTGTGTATCTTTCTGAAGATTTGCTTCTCGGTGTTTGAGTCGGTGGGCCTCCCATGGGGTCAGCGAAGGCACCTCCGGGACGTCATTTTTGCTTGGTAGAGCTTCTCTTAGATTCGGAGCCGATGCCTTCCGGAGGACCTGACGGGATTTCTTAGGTCGGAGAGCGCCGGCGAAGAACGCCCGAAAGCCACCGCGCTTTTCTCCAGGGCTTTCAGCGGACATTTTGAGAGAATTGGCCGTTGAGAGTTGAGATGAGAAAGAAGCTCCGGAGAGGGCGGAGGAGTGGATACCAAAAGAAGAAACAAGCTTACCGGAAACTGCGGAATGCGACGGGAGCATGTGATCAGCCACTGTGGCTGGTGCCCCAACGATATTTACGTCCAGTACGAAGTCAACAAGTACGGAGTAGTATATATATATATATTTATATATACACACGAGGCGTATCCAATTGCATTAGGGCTACAAGTACAGCCTGATCAGACATTACACAATATCACTCTGGACACAACGGAAACAAGGCGCTCATCAAGCTGCGTTAAATCACAACACTTTTGTTTGCACGCTTACGAAAAGCGCTTCTCAACGGCCTTCCAGTTGATGACATCCCAGATGGCGCTGAAGTACTCGGCCTTGCGGTTCTGGTATTGAAGGCTAACCCGGTATTAGTTATTGCCCAGGAGACATTCTGTTAAAGAAAACTTACTAGTAGGCGTGCTCCCAAGCATCGATGCCGAGAAGAGGCTGGAACTGGCCAACGACAGGGTCCTGGTTCTGGTCGGAAGTCAGCTACCTGTATCCTGAGGCGCTCATAAGGAGGAACTTACGGCATAGGTCTTGATTCCGATATTTCCGGTCTGCTTGTCCTTAACGAGCCAAGCCCATCCGCTTCCCTGAATGCCAGCGAGGGCGGCATTCATCTTGCTTTGGAACTCTCCCAAGTTGCCGAAGCTGTCGTCGATGGCCTTGGCCAAAGCTCCAGATGGGGGCTCACCACCGCCCTGGCTCTTAGGGGCAAGGTTCTCCCAGAAAAGAGTGTGGTTGATGTGGCCACCACCGTGGAAGTTGATCAGGGGCTTGAGGTTGATCTGGGTGGTGATGTCCTCCTTGGCGATAGCCTCCTGGAGCTGTTCGATGGCGGCGTTGTAGCTGTTGACATAGGTCTGGTGGTGGTTCTTGTGGTGAAGCTCCATGATCTTTCCGGAGATAGAGGGCTCAAGGGCGCCATAGTCATCTGTTATCCAGTCAACCAACCATCACATTACGTGCTTTCAGGAGCCAAAAACGTAACACATCTACTCATTCGCACTGCCAAGATAGAAGAGAAAGAAGATAGAACGGAATACAACACAACAGGCGGGCAAATTGACATGTTCTAGGGAAGGGGGAGAGCCATACAAGCCAGGTCAGGCAGAGTGGCCTTGCCACGGGCAAAGGTCAAACCCGCAACACCCGCAGCTTTGGGAGTAGCCGAAGCTCCAGCGCGAAGAGTGGCACGGGCAGAGGTACGGATAAGAGAGGCAGCCATGGTTGGTATGGATTTTTATGTATCAATTGAATTGAGTTACGTTTACAAAGTAGTGACGAAAAGCAAAAGAGAGGAGAGTGGTAAAGGAGAAGAAGAGAAGAAGAGGAGGAGAGGTGAAAATAACCGGAAGGGAGATTCGACGTAACGAACGTCATTGTTGCTCGGCCCCTCGGACTTGAATTTTCCCCGCGCCGAAATGTCCGATAATCAACTTTCCTTTCTCGTTATCGTGCGGATCTCAACTGACAGCTCCTTCATGGACCTCAAACGTGTCGCTTGACCGTTTCACTGCCTTTCTCCCCTATTCGACCGCTCCGAGATACCGCACACTCCTTATCCTGACACCTGTGATCGGCCATGGATTCGGATTCTCCCCCGGCCTCACCATCCGCCGGCCAAAAACGTAAAATTGACGACATGAGCTCCGACGAAGAAGATTTTCGCCCCACGATGGGCTTTCGCGGGTTCGCTAGAGCATTGTCACGCTCAGAGTCGCCTCCGTCACTTGGTGGCTTAGGAAGCGCTCGTCGCAATCCCTGGAGTAGCAGCACGCAGCCAGCTACTCCAAGAGGCGGCGCCAGCAATGCCGGTAAAGGGAGCAAGGGAGGAAACTCCTTCGCCGCGCGCATGATGGCCAAGATGGGCTATGTTGAGGGTCAAGGTCTCGGTTCGAGTGGTCAAGGTATCGTCAACCCGATTGAAGCCCAGGCCCGGCCACAGGGTGCTGGTTTGGGCGCTGTTCGAGAAAAGACAAAGCAAGCCCGGGAGGAAGAAAAGCGGGCGGCGGTATTACGAGGTGAAGTGGTAGAGGATAGCTCAGATGAAGAACGAAAGAGGAGGCAGAAAAAGAAGGAGGCGCGCAAACAGGGAAGCCGGAGCGGCACTGGCACACCAGTACCACGTGCGAAGCCTCAATTCCGTACAGCTCGAGAGATGGAGGAAGATATGGCTGGTCTTGAAGTACCAAATGTCTTGAAGTCATTGGTTGATGCCACGGGAAAGGAACAGCGAGTGTTGACCTCTACTGCCGGCTTGATGACTCCGTCCGAATTCGTTAAACCTGGTGAAGGTGAAGCTCTCAAGATCGCACAACGGGCGCGCCATGACCTAGAGGCTTTTGCGGATGAATGGAAAGGCTTGACTGAAAGGAAGAAGTTCATTGATCTAGAGGAGGCGCAGCTTGTGGAGCAAATGGATACACAACAACTCCGTATGGACCAGCTAACAGAGTTGGTCGCTGCCATTGGGAGCTTGGAAATCTTCCAAGATGAGAGCACGCGGGGACGCTTTGACGAAGTCACTGAGAAGTTGGAATCCTTGGAAATTAAATATCGGAATGAAATTGATGAATACCGTCTCCCCGAGACAGCTGTTGCGGCCATTCATCCTCTGTTTCGCCAAGCGATGGAGGAATGGGAACCTCTTCAAGATCCGACATACCTCGTGTCAAATCTCCGTCGCCTTCAGCCCCTTCTATCCCGGAAGAAAGACGATCAAAATGCACAGCGACAATCCACTTCACCTTATGAAAGTATGATATACACTTTGTGGCTACCTCGTGTGCGCTCGGCACTCCTAAACGACTGGGACGTTTATGACCCAAAGCCAGCCACTTCTCTCGTTGTCGCGTGGAAAGAGATTATACCACACTTTGTTCTGGCGAACGTTCTCGATCAGCTCGTGGTTCCGAAGCTCACTGGTGCTTTGAAAGAATGGAAGCCTAGAAGCAGCAGCAGACGCCACACTTCCTCACATCATAGTTCTCGCTTCCCATGGTGGCTATTCACATGGCTACAGTACCTTGATGACCGACACACCAACCCAAGGCAGCCTACAGGTCTCCTTTCAGATGCGAAGAGAAAATTCCGCGTTGTCTTGGATTCGTGGGACCTCAGAAAAGGCTTGGTCGATGGCATTCAGCTATGGCGCGATGCGTTGGGCTCGGAGTTTGATGTATGTCTACGAAACCACCTCTTACCACGTCTGGGTCGCCATCTTCGTGAAGATTTTGAAGTCAACCCACAAGACCAAGATGTCTCAGTACTGGAAAACATCTTCAAATGGAAAGATTTCTTCAAACCTAACGTCTTCGGGTTATTGTTGGTTGCCGAATTTTTCCCCAAGTGGCACAATATTCTGTATATTTGGCTCACCAATGACCCAAATTACGAGGAGGTCGGCGAGTGGTTCTCCTGGTGGCGAACCCAAATTCCCGAAGATGTCAACGAGCTGACTATCGTCGACGACGAGTGGAAGAAAGGTTTGCGGACCATGGACCTTGCATCTCGTTTGGGTGATCGCGCTGCTGCTGAGCTCCCACCCCCATCATCCACCACTGCAGAGCAGATTCCTGAGGAAAAGCCCCATGTGCCAGCAGAAGCGCCATCAACGAAAGCTCGCAAGCCCAAGATCGTGGAAGAGGTCGCCTTCAAAGACATCCTCGAAACCTGGTGCACAGAACAGGGGCTCATCATGCTCCCATTGCGAGAAGCTCATCCGCAAAACGGTCAACCTCTTTTCAGAATCACAGCAAGCGCTACCGGAAAGGGTGGTGTCGTGGCCTTTATCCAGGGAGACGTTGTTTGGGTGCAGAACAAGAAAGCAAAGGATATTTGGGAGCCGATGGGATTGGAAGATCAGCTTGTGGAGCGTGCAGAGAGCAGATGATATCCCTTACTTTTTTTCTTCATTTGTTATATTAGCCTGGTCTACCGTTTTGGGCTGGTTTTCACGATACCTTGTATTTAGATATCTACTTGTCATGATTACATTGATATACACATAATTATAGAAGTGGCTGAAGACACCTTCAAACCATTGAACAGATCATCCAGCTGCAAGTAAACGCTCGTCAGCCCTAATACAATGAAACGAGACAAGACTCCCATACGTCAAGTCGCGTTACCACACCCAGAGGAGCAATATATATCAGACGTAACAGTCGTGAATACGAAGTGAAAGGAATGATATAGTAGCAATGGCATATAGAAGGCTAGGGAGTAACTGTCAAGAATGAAATTGCGCAAGACTGGATAGAGAGCTTTGGAGCAATAGGCTCGTTTCTTCTTATTTTTTATATAAGTCACTTATTCAAAACTCTATTCAACAAGCAATCCGATGTGGTGTAATGGCTAACATCGCTGTCTCTCACACAGCAGCTCGGGGTTCGATTCCCCGCATCGGAATTACTTTTTTCTTTTTGGTCTCATCTATCATCATCTATATTTCCTTGTGATATTTGGGGAGTTCCTTTTTATTCTTCTTCTTGCTTGTTTATTTTATTTAGCTTTGTCGTTCATATTTTTAGAGTATAACCTGTATGAATATCTGGTGGCCGTACTTGATTGAGACTGGCGAACCCTGTCAGACATTGTCGATACATTGTATACACTCCCATACAAATTAAGATAAGAATAACATGAAGGGTCACGAAACCCAACGCGTATATATGTACATACACCGAAAACATTTCAACAAGAGTAGAAAGAGAAGAAAAAGGGCCATGATCATCACTAATTAACCACTTTTTTGTATTCAATGGAATCATAATCATTGAGTGCTCCGGTATCCATCAAATATAAAGCCATCCTCTGGGTCCCTTCTGGCCTCACTGATAAAGTAAGCCCTATCCTTTAGCGTAACGTCGTTATGAAGAACATAAGCTGAATACTTCTATCTAACCCTTGTTGTTGTACTTCTCATTGAATGCATTCACAGCTAACACGGAAAACGTTAATATTTCTCGGAAAGAAAGATTCTACGTAAAGAGTGTTGTCACTTACCAATGGCGATCTGACGGTACAGCCAGTTTCTTGAACTCTCATCCTGCACCGGGATAAATGGACCATTAGCACCCCCCTTGAGGGTAATACTCATACCAGTGCGCTCTTTAGAGATTGTTTGGATGTCCGTCAAGCGTATATCCCATTCAACCTGGAGCTTCTTGGTGCGCACAAGCATTATCCGGTCGTATGTCAACATGACCAGCATGTCTCTGCCGGGAAGTTCCAAATGCGCGATATAGTCCTCGCTGAAGTATTTACCATCATCCGCTGTCTTGAGCCAGAACTGACCCAGTGCCTCCCGCTGTGAATATGGTCGCACAATGCCGTCTGTTGCAATGAAACGCGTGAGACGAACACGGTCCAGGCCCTCTGCATCAAAGACAGTAGTAGTGTTCCGGACACCTTCAGCAAGATCTATGAAATCGTCAGTATCTGAGATCCGTGGGTCGCACAAGTGCACATACTTGAGGCAAGATCAAAAGCGCCAAGGGCAGGCTTCGTAGCGAGACCTAAGACACCCTTTCCGACACCCTTAAAAAACCCTTGGATACCCTCCTTTTCAGCGCCCTGCAGTGGATGACGTGCGAGTCCTCCGATACCGCTTGCTAGGCTGGTTGCGAATGCATTACCACCAGCTGTGATACCATATAATGCATGTTTCGGCCGGTTTCGAGATTTAGACATCCGCCGCTTGTCCTGGAACTCCTTGTCCAATGTGGCAGCAGCAAGACCTTTAGACATGCTTCCGGTAAGTTTGGCCATGCTGTCGGAGAATCCGAAAATGGACTTCTTAACAAAACTTGTGGCCCCTTTGGCGATACCTAGACCAAGTTCTTGAGGCCTATCAGTCAGAACTAGTCCTTGGTATGGCTCGTAGAAGATCGCGGCAACGCCAGAGCTGACATTATTGAACAATCCAACGGGGTTGCCGAGGAAATCTGCAGATCCAAGGATGACATGCACTTGTCGGAGGAACTCCTGGGTATAGTGTCTCTGAATGTTGCCAACAAGAACTCCAAGCGATACACGAGCATTCTCCAGCATTAGTGCGTTAAGCTGAACAGGTGCATCATTGATGTTGCCCATCGACATGGTCATGACATTGACAACGAACATCAAAGGATTTGATGGTTGCATAGTGTCTTCGGCGTTCACTCGCTCTGTCCGCATGAAAGAGATGTCAAGCTGCATGGGCTGCAGGTGAAGAAGCTCGAAGTAAACATCCTGACCAGCACCTTCACTTTGAGGCTCCGGGATTCTTAGATCTTCATCACAAAGTTTTCCCTCCTGTTCTTCTGACCATGAGGCACCAGGGACCTTCACAAAGTCCAGCATTGCAAATACAAAATCCTCATCAAGCTCTAGCGTCATTTGTTGCAGAAGCACAGTGGCATACTTGATGTAGAGTACACCATAAGAATCATCTTTCACTCGTGTAATCATGGCGTGGAAGATTGGATGTGCCTCCATTTCTTTTCCGGTCTTTGGAACAACGCTGGGGTACAACAACATGGGGAAAATACCTCCATAAAGCTGATTATCAATCTGGATCCACTTGATTGTGGTATTCAGCGTTTGATAAACCATGGATTCCCTGTACTTAATATCAATCTCGCGGAAGGTCAAGTACAACAGCTCTCTCATGTTCTGATTGATCAAGGAGATGCCAATACCACCAAGGCGGAGTTGAGCTTTGAAGTTAACGTCAGAATCCAACTCCTTAACCTCGAACCCGGTGCTCAGACTGCTCTGAGAGGTCTGTCCTCGTTGCTGTCTATACATGCTCTTTGATGCCTTGAAATTCGACAAGACTAGAGTCTGAGTAGGGCCGTCGGCCACAATATTGATGTCGACAATCTTCTGGTGCTCACCATATTGCGTTGGCGGTATCCTCATTGGTATTAGATTACCGATCTCGGCAAGCTTGATATGCCTTTCTTTTCCATTACAAGTCAGAACGAGAGATTTGTTCTGCGTGGCTGGATAATCCCAGGCATATGGCATGATACTTCGAGGTGGAAGACGGTAGCGGATCGGCCGCCAGCCATTTGTCCTGCCATCCTCGTAATCTTCCACATTTGGATTCTGAGGGGAATTATTAGATTAGTATATGTATTTCATCCCGATTCTTCCAGCCACTTACAGCTTGATAAAATATGAACTCCATGTCGCTCTCGTTCCGCATGGAAAACGGCCAGTTGCGTGTTTCTAGGTTAAAATGCAGGAAGAGAGTTGCATTTTCCATCATAATGTCCACTTTGATGAGTTTCTGGCGTTGATTTGCCTTGGCAAGCTTGACATGCACTGTACCAATGTCTGCAATGTTGAAAGGAGACGACCATTGGTTGTTGACGCCGGGGAAGCACAAACAAAGTTGCTTCTCAGCAACCTGGCGCAAGAAATGCAGAGGTACAAGATCACCGCTCTTGATAGTAAGAACATTGGAAGAACCCTGTTCTCGAACCAGAATATCCTCATCAAGCTTGTTCTTCAAAACGAAACGAGGCGCAATGGTGACAACCTTGGTCATCTTGTATTTGCCTTCACCCTCAGCAACAGTCACGCCGGAATGGAACTCAGATCTACCATGTCTATCTGGAAGGACAACTTCGAATGTACTCCCAATGGCTTCGAAACTCTGAGGCTTGCTCCAAGCAGAATCGCCTATCCTCAGTATGGATCGGTTCTTCTGATCATCGCTTGGATAGGAGTACATGTAAGGGAGCGTTCGTCCACCGTTCCTTGGATCAGCCCTCAGCCCTTGTCCAGCTGCTGATCGAGCCGATTGCAAGAACCCTTTGCTTTGTATTTCCATCGAGAGACCTGTCTTGTTCAAGACGAGATACGGACTGTAGATTGATACCTTGAATGCGCCTCCACTATCAGGCACGTTGAAATAGTGAAGCTTCAACCTCAGTTGGATGCCTCTTTCATCTTTCAAAGGCAATACATGCTCTCTCCTGAAGTCTTGTGCATTGCCGTTGATTATAGCAAAATCACTTTGTCTGAAGACAGTATCCTCCAAGTCGATGCTGAGAAGCAGTAAGTGAGATAGTTCCACAACATGGACTGGGCTTACGCCCCCTTTCCGCAAGAAATTAGTCCAGTCCTTCTTCGTATTCTTATCATAGATGCGATATTTGAAATCGTAAGGGAGGAGATTTTGTATCTCCACAGGGGCAAATATCCGGACACGCATGCACGGATATGTGCTCGTTACAGGATCCCGTGAATTGAACGTAGCATTCATTTGGAAGTAGAATGGCGGCGCTTGCTGTCCACTCTCACTTAAGCATTTTATTGTCCGAGTTGGTCGCCGCATAAGGTCTTTCCAATGTAGTTGCTCGTTCGACCACTCATACCCAAAACCTTGGTCAGGCCGAATAAGAAGAGAATGCATGTATGCAGCTCCCACAGGTGCAGGCCGAGAGTCTCCAGGGAGGATCTTCTCTATTTTCAAAAGATGGCCGTCATGAGGATCGAAAACGCCTAGTTCCACTGGTATCTGGGTATTGTTCTCCACAACCAGGGGAGAGCGGATAGTGATGTACTTGACGTTGTCGGTGCCCAATTTAACCTCAACAAGAAGTCGATGCAGAATGCCATCTTTCTTTGGCTTCAGATTGTACAAAATCTCTCCTTCCCGAACGACAGGAATACGGCTCACGCTCTCAAAGCCACTTCCTTCAAGCTTGATACCGACCAGACCGGCATGACCTTCGGGTGCGAGTGTTTCACGCATGGCAGTCGAGTCTTCAAACCTCCAAGGATATTCCTCCCCATCAGCCAATTTAGCCGCCGGCCCTTCTTCGTCTGCACTAACATCAGCCCAAACGTGAAGGTCAAAGCCTGTATGGTTACGGATTCTATATGGGGCATCCGCTCCTCGTGGCTTTGAGAGAACGTCTTCATCAGTCGAGAGAAACTGGAACGACTTTGACGCTAGTGCAATTGTGGCAGAGGTGAGGGTGAGCTCCATCGTCTTATGAGAATAGGCGTCTATCGAAAGGACATCAGGATTGACCTCTTTTGCCATATGGAAGCCCAACTGCCATGGTTCTATAAGGGGTTCCCAGGCTGACTTAGAGAAGTTATACACGTTGAGGAATGTATCGAAGCTGGTGTCGGCTTTCAGTGTCGACGACCAATCACGGACGTCCACAGTAAACTTCTTGACACTCCAGTCAAGCAATGGCAGGTCGTGTAGGTCTCCTATAAGGATTACCCTTACACCATCGATTTGGGCATTCATTTCTTCTTTCTTGAGGATAGCTGAACGATGCGATATAAGCTCTTGTTCGGTCGTATCAATCACCCCACTGGAGCTATGATGTGACCTTGGCGCGAGTGCAGTCGAGGTCGGCCTGCCGACCGACTTCCTTCTTGAGGACTTCGTACTAGTACCCTTTCCATCAGAGATTCTCTTCACTTCGCCAGTTTCCCCTTCATTAGGTTTCTGAGCTCTCATCTCGGATACCTTGTTGACAATTTGAATAGCCATTAAGATGTCACGGAGAGAAAGACGGAGGACAAGGGGTTCAAGATGAACATTGATAGAGGTCAAAGCAGAGCCTTTTTCCTGAGGGCGGCTGTCCATGGACATTTCCAGAGTGAAGTCATCTAATATGCGAAGCCTACTGGTCTCAAACTTGTCCATACGGCACAAGAACATACCAACCTTGGATATTTGCAGGGTTGAAACATTTTGATGGGAGTAAAGTAATTGCTTTGTTCCCAGCACAATAGCCTCGGTATGAGTTATCGCAGGATTCGCGATCATGATCACCTGGGCATCAACGAGATTCAATCGGAATGACACAGTCATCTGCCCAGCAGGAGGAGCTGGAGTATTCCCACTGGAGGGCGTAACAACAGAATCATCAGTATCATCTGCGGTACTAGATCTAGGTTCTGATCCTTCCGGTGTATCGTCGCTTTCCTCTTCTTCCACTGGCTCTTCCGTCGCAAACGCGGAATTG